CACAACCCCAACACTTCCCATCACCTTGAGAACACCATTCCCAGAGTGAAGCATGGTGATGGCAGCATCATGCTTTGGGGATGCTTTTCACTGGCAGGCACTGGAAAACTGGTCAGGATTAAAAGAAGTCTGGATGGTACTAAATACAGGGCAATTCTTGAGGGAAACCTGTTTCGGTCTGCCAGAGATTTGAGACTGGGACAGACGTCCACCTTCCAGCAGGACAATATATATATATATATATATACCAAGACACAGAGATAATAAACTGTGGGTGAAATTATTTGCAATGTAAAGTTTGCTTATGAACCAACTCTCTCTCTCTCTCTCTCTCCCTCTCTCTCTCTCACCCAGGTTTCCTTCTAATTCACAGTCAGGTGGAGGTCAAGGTTCAGGTCAGGGTTCTGGGGGTCATTACAGAGATGATGGAGACGATGACCTCTACCAGTAGTTCGGCTCAATGGGAAATGAAGAGAAGCCATAATAGGTTACACTATAAATGGAGCTTATATGTTTGTGAAACATTACAGCTCTTTATGAACTGTAGAAAACAGCTTCCACTATATGTTTTATTTCTGTTAGCTGTTTCTTAAGAATCTCAAGAATGTGTCTGTAAGACATAGTGTGCAATACATACATACATATATAAATAATGCAATAGTTTGTGCAGTATTTTCTCCATCACAAGTACTTATTGGTCTTCAATTAGCTTCTGGCATGTTGGAAATCTGATGCATTCTGTGTGTGTGAGTGTGTTGTGGTCTTATGCTGGTGGACTTAATTAAGAGTAACTGTTTTTAATAGTTGTTAAAAGCTTTTTAATGTGTTCTATTGTCTGTTGTGGTGTTATTTTGTATTTTTTTGTGCTAGAAGCAGGTTGTAATACAGAAGGATATTCAATAAAACACTGGTAACTAATTTGGCTGCTTGAGTGTATTAGAAATAGCGATTCAGTGATGACACTGAAGCTCTTTCTCGAGCCTAAATCCAGCAATACCATGGCTGATAACCTGATATCAGCACAGATACCAACACTTTTAAATGTCTCTCTGTGCACATAAAAAGAGAACATTTGTAATTTATCCAATAAAATACTTGACATTACTCCAAAAGATTAGGCATTAATCTCTGCAGTAACCCAGGGTGCAGTGAACAGAGGGAGGGAGGGATGAGGAAGTTTGTAGGACTGAAAGGATGGATAGGAAATAGGGAGACTGGTAGATGCTATGCTGACTATGTTGCTACCAGGCTACACTGTTGCCAGGCCACTATGCTGACTATGCTACCCCTGGGCTTCACTGTTGCCAGGCAGCTACGCTGACTGCGCTGCTGCCATGCTGTGCTGTTGCCAGGCCATTACTTTGACTTTGCTACTCTCAGGGTGCAATTTGCTGCTGGACAAAGTACTGTGCTTAACATTGGTGCTCAAGCTAAATACTAGCACAACTAGAGATCTCACTTTCTTTGGATAGTCCACTATAGTCCCCTATAGATTTTCTACAGATGTTTAGTGGTGGGGTTAGGGGTAGGATTAGAGCCAGGCTTAGAGTTAAAGAAAATGATGGTCAATTTAGTAGATATTTAGTTGAATGTAACTTAAATGAAGTATCTACAAAGCATCTAAAGTTGATACCATTGTCTTTACTAAAGCTAGAGCTTCTTGAACAACAAGAGAAGCCGTACAAGTCATTCATCCCGATGATAATGGACTCAACAAACCTTAGAATCCATCTTAGAACCTGTTTGAGGATGTTTAAGAACTAAAAAGTAGTCCTGACTCACAACTAGAGATAGACAATTGAAAAGCTGCCTCTACATCTGGTTTAAATGTGTTTAAAACAATAGCAAATGACGTTGAGAGCATTCAGATCACTACCAATAAATGTTCTGCTAAAACGGAGTACACAGGAAATGAGTCACGCAGAAACAGCCTTATAAAAGACAGGGTACATGATTCAGCAAATAAGGTGAAAAAGTTTTAAAATTGTGTCATTTTAAAATGGACACAAAAATGGTGGAATTTGAAAGGGCTCACCACACTGCCAAGTTGGACCCCACGCGCTGAGGAACGACTGTTGTAAAGCTCTACAATGACAAGGAGAAAATGCTAACACTGCCAAAAAACACTCGTATATCACAAAGATCTATGTCAATGAAAAATTTTCTAAAGCTGTGTGTTTGAAAAAAGGAGCTATTAGCCAAGCTGCATGAAGCATGGCAGCAGGGAGATACTGCATATCTCAGATATGATCAGCATGTTGGTCATGCTGGCCTTCAGATTAGCTCAAGAACAGCGTAGAGAGCTTCATGGAATGGGTTTCCATGGCTGAGCAGCCGCATCCAAGCCTTACATCGCCAAGCGCAGTGCAAAGCGTTGAATGCAGTGGTGTAAAGCGCCACCACTGGACTCTAGAGCAGTGGAGTGACGAATCACGCTTCTCCGTCTGACAATCCGATGGACGAGTCTGGGTTTGGCGGTTGCCAGGTAAATGTTACCTGTCTGACTGCATTGTGCCAAGTGTAAATTTTGGTGGAGGAGGGATTATGGTGTAGGGTTGTTTTTCAGGAGTTGGGCTCGGCCCCTTAGTTCCAGTGAAAGGAACTCTTAATGCTTCAGCAGACCAAGAGATTTTGGACAATTTCATGCTCCCAACTTTGTGGGAACAGTTTGGGGAGTTTGGCCCCTTCCTGTTCCAACATGACTGCGCACCAGTGCACAAAGCGAGGTCCATAAAGACATGGATGAACGAGTTTGGTGTGGAAGAACTTGACCGGCCTGCACAGAGTCCTGACCTCAACCCGACAGAACACCTTTGGGATGAATTAGAGCGGAGACTGCGAGCCGGGCCTTCTCATCCAACATCAGTGTCTGACCTCACAAATGCGCTTCTGGAAGAATGGTCAAAAATTCCCATAAACACTCTCCTAAACCTTGTGGAAAGCCTTCCCAGAAGAGTGGAAGCTGTTATAGCTGCAAAGGGTGGGTCGACATCATATTAAACCCTATGGATTAAGAATGGGATGTCACTCAAGTTCATATGCGTGTGAAGGCAGATGAGCGAATACATTTGGCAATATAGTGTATTTCCAAGACTGACTTAGTCCTTTACTTTTTCATGTCTACAGCCCTTCTGATTTGTCCTTCTTTTCATGACCACACTACAGCTTTACATACACTTGACCATTTCTCTCTTCAACCTGACATTAATTTATTTTCTAACATAGACTTTGATACTAATATCCCAGACAAGTACACCGATCAGGCATAACATTATGAGCACCTCCTTGTTTCTACGCTCATTGTCCATTTTATCAGCCCCACTTACTATATAGGTGCACTTTGTAGTTCTACAGTTACAGACTGTAGTCCATCTGTTTCTCTGCATACTTTGTTAGCCCCCTTTTACCCTGTTCTTCAATGGTCAGGACCCACATGGACCCTCACAGAGCAGGTACTGTTTGGGTTGTGGATCATTCTCAGCACTGCAGTAACACTGTGTTAGTGTGTGTTGTGCTGGTATGAGTGGATCAGACACAGCAGTGCTGCTGGAGTTTTTAAAGACTGTGTCCACTTACTGTCCACTCTATTAGACACATCTTGTTGGTCCACCCTGTAGATGTAAAGTCAGAGACGATAGCTCATCTGCTGCTGCATAGTTTGTGTTGGTCATCCTCTAGTCCTTCATCAGTGGTCACAGGACGCTGCCCACAGGACGCTGTTGGCTGGATATTTTTGGTTGGTGGACTATTCTCAGTCCAGCAGTGACAATGAGGTGTTTAAAACTCCAGCAGCACTGCTGTGTCTGATCCACTTGTACCAGCACAACACACACTAACACACCACCACCAACAGTACCTGCTCTGTGAGGGTCCATGGGGGTCCTGACCACTGAAGAACAGGGTAAAAGGGGGCTAACAAAGTATGCAGAGAAACAGATGGACTACAGCTTGTAATTGTAGAACTACATAATGTCATAATGTTGTGCCTGAATAGTGTATATTACTAATACAATCAAACATTTAGAGAGGTCATTATTCAGGGACATTTCCATTTGTAAAAAATATCATAAGAAACTTTTTAAAGTCTTGGATCACCAAAGCCCACAAGAGAGTCCCGTTTAACCCCTGAGCTGACTGAATATTACTCAGTATTGCTAAAAGAAAGAAAATCTCATTTTAATTTTCATTTAAAGTCATCTCATTTTCATTTTTAAGTACAAAATCTATATATTCTTCAACAGTGGTGAACCATTACTGTTAGAGCTAGGCCTTCAGGCAATGAATGTAAAAACTTGGTCATCTATAATGATAATTTCTGCAGTCACCCTTATGGGACTTCTAATGGTATGTTAGCTAACACTGATGGATATTAATATTTTTTTGGCTATTATAGATTAAATACCGACTTTCAAAGCTTGTAAAAACATTGCATATGTTTTGTATGAAGCATGTAACAAACTTTAATATATCACTGTTCTCAGAAGAAAACCTCGTATCTTCAAAATGGTAACTTTACAGAAAAAGGAAAAACCTACTTTATTTTTAATGTAAGTCAATGGAACCAGGCTTTTTCCAAGTCATTTTGGGCCGTTTCTTTTTGTCCATTATTCAAGAAATTTGCACACAATGTAAAGGGAAACAGGCATTTTCAAATTATGTAAAAAACTGAAAAACGACAAACATGGAGATACAAGGTTTTCTTCCGACAGCAGCAATATATCTTTCAGTAAGGAGTCAGAGCATAAAGCTGAAACCTGGTTCTACCATTCATATCCACAATCAGAAATGAACCTCAGTCTGATGTTTTTCTCAAGAAATTGGTCCCACTCATTGTAAATCAAAATGTAGTATGATGTTAATCACATCCTGGCTATGTCAGTAGTTAATCTAACATGTAAAGCCTTCAGTTCAGCTCCTGAAGTCGATTTTCGTTTGAACATTTCATGATTTTAATGTTTTTCAAACCAAAATTTAGCAATGTCATAAGAATACACAGGGAATAGTTACATGATTGTAGTATTTAATAAATTGGTGATCAAACTGGTGTACATCTGTAAGAGAAAGCATACATATGACCAGAAAGGCAAAAAGCATTGGGTACAATCTGAATCTGCACACCTATGTATGCTTTAAAAAAACAAGTTTAGGTTGGGCATCCAGTGTAGTGTAAATAATACTTGAGACTCTCCAGGCCGTTATATCTCTCTCTGTTGTTATTCTTGTTCTCATGGCTTTCCCTGGTGGTGGGCCAGTATTCCAGCCATGTCCAAACCCCAAACAAATAGTGATAACTGATAAGAAACAACATGATACATACAGTTAAAGAATGTCTGCAAGTCTGGAGAAATGAACATGCTTTTCTCTTAAAATGTTCTACTGATACTCCTAATAAAACACACAAACAAACACACAGTAAGTCAATTTTTCAGCTATAAATGCATTATTTTGTAGACAGTGTTGTGAGGTTACACAAACCTTACAGAATTCTGGTAAAAAGCCCATTTAACGTAATGAGAAACTGTAGAACAGACTCTAACAGGAGGAATCTTGTAGATTGGATGAAAACTAGGCAAGAGCAGTGATGGTGACGTCTTAGTCTAGTGTTAAAATAAGCATCAAAGGCAGCTGACATAACGTGACCCAAGTCCCACCCTGTGAAACACCACATACACTAGGAGACAGCAAACACACCTGCCCAGAACAGTGCTATCCACGCAGGCAGCCCTATCCACGGGGAGCAGTTGAGGGTTAGGTGTCTTGCTCAAGGCCACTTCAGTCACATACTGTCAGCTCAGGGGATCAAACCAGCAACCTTATGGTCACAATGCTGGTTCCCTAACCTCCAGCCCATGACTGTCCACATGTTCAGGGGAATGAGGACTGAAGACATACATTTCTCCCAGGCTTTGTGAAGAGCTTCTGTGATGGACAAGAGCATGGTTTTGATTGAGTGTCCTGATTTGCATCCAGACTAGTTGGCATCAAGAGACTTTGTACCTCTCAAGATGGAAAGATAGCTGTGCCAGGACAGTCCTTTCCACAGTTTTGGACAAAGATGAAGGAAGTAAAATCAGTGTGTATCTCACAACTTTTGTAGGATCTGAGAATGGCTTCTTGAATAGTGGTGTCACTTGAGAAGGTTTGCAAGTGGAAGGAACTCATGTTAGTCATGAGTTAATGAGTTAATCATTGAAATCATGGAGAAAAGTTGGTGGAGGCGGTTTGGGTAGTAGGAACTGGGTCCAGTAGGCAGGCTGTGGGACCATTAATGGTTAATGAAGATGTTGACATGGGTAAGAGGGGGGTTGAGTAGAGAGAAGAAAGTGGAGAATAATTTGCATGGGCATTTCTGATAATTTGCATTTCGGCATTCAAATTGGTGAAGCCCTTCACTTCTTTCTTGGTACTTCAATAGCATGTCTGTTGTCACTGTCTCATTGTCATCAATTTTGAATGCCAGCCTGGACTGCAATGTTGTGCGACATAGCGCACACAACAATGGCAGCACAGTAGCACCATAGGAAAAGCTGAGCCCCCTCAAAGATTTGTGTGGGCCTAAAGCCTAGAGAGTGCTTCACAATCCTGTGCACCATGAGTGTGCACTGTTACACCTCCTCGGCCATAGTTTTGGGATTTAACACAAAGCATGGGAGATGGCACCCACTACAAACACCCACCAACAAATGCACTGTCCTTTGCTATCTGACACACCACAGAGTTTGGCCAGATAAAGGCTTCATGTGTCAGGCCACTTGGCGACTAGGTCTGCACATTCACTGCTGAGCACTCTTTAAGACAGAAGGTGATGGGATTCAGGGGGCTATAAGTGTACAGAGATGAGCGTCGACTGCACTTACATGGAAACACAGAAACTGATTTAGGCTTCTTGCAAGAAATCCTGACCTATTGGAAATTTTATCTAGGTGCGTGCATGGAACAGAAGTACTGTGGTGATGGAATGCATAGACTTAAAGACAGCAGCCTTGACAAGTCCATGGACATCACCAACGGTCAGCAGGCATCCACTGGAGGCATAGAATCAGAGGTATGTGAGGAGCTGCACAGTGGAACTGAGGGCAAAATTCCTACAGGTTCCTCTTGCCAGTGTCTCTTGCACTGAACCTAGTAGGGTCATTATTTCACATATGGACAGCATGTATCTCTCAACTCTCTCAATCTCTTAACCTTGTTGTCATTTAGTAGTCCAGTTAGTCCAGATAGTTCACAGTGGATGGCCCAGCAGCATTGATATCAATGGCTCAACCTCATATAAGAACTGACAGAAAAACAGTATTCGTCAAACAGCCACCATCTTCACTAGTGGTCTGTAATCACCTGTACTTATTTTCCTGCTTATGTATTTGAATGACCAATATGTAAGTTCAATTAGGTATTAATGTGGCTAATTTGGAATCACTTATTAGTTAGAGGCAATGGTAAAGAAGTGAACTGAACAGCATAACAAGGATTATGAGCTATAAAGTCAACATTATGATTGTTATGTTTTCATACTTAGAACAAGCGCATACTTTTTAAACAATCTTTGTTTTTTTACCAAAGTAGTAGCCTTGGGCTCTCTGTTGAACTGCAGGCTAAATCCAAATAAAGAATGACTATGAATAATTAAAAGTCAGATTACTCTAATTAGGTTCATAGAGCATGTTAGTTGAGAAGGGTACTTAGCGTTACAAATCTTCTTGGAAACGGACCCCAGATTGTGTAGTCAGATCTAACTGCTGTATAAGAGTGGACGATAAGCCCTTCTCCTTCTTCTTGGAAATGTTTCTTACCTATCTTCAATCTTCTTTGGTTCAGGCCCCATGATAAGGTAGTCTTTTCCCACTTTTAGGTTCAGTTTATCTTTGCACTGAGAATGAGCCCAAAAATTCCTCTGATCTTGGGGTTGAACCGGATCAGACCCTGAGCAAATCAAACACACACATGCATGTTATTAATGGATCCAGTGAACTACAGATGCACTATGAGATTGATTCTATTAGCACTGTTTCTTTGCAATATTTCTTTTCATGTTTAATTTGGTTCATTTTAAAAATGCTTTAGGTAACTTAATTAAGAACATTTGAAGTTTTTAGGAGTATTTTAATGACTATTATTCATCAACATAATGTCCATGACTGTCCACTAGGGTGACTTTAATAATTATCATCTAAAAAAAGATTGAAGTGTCTGCTAAATGTTAAAATTACTGAAAGTGTTTTAAGATTCCTGAGAAAATGCAGAGTAATTGAGCTTGCTAAGATGTTGCTAGGCAGTTGCTACCATGTTCCTAGCTGGTTGCTAGGGTGTTGCTAGGTGGCTACAATGCTATACCAAGTGGTTGCTAAGGTGTTGCTAGGTGGGTCTTACGGCACCCTAGGTATTTGCTCAGTGGTTGCTTATGTATCCCAGATGGTTGCTAGGTGGCTACTATGGTATTGAAAAAGATTGCTACTATGTAGGTGCTATGATATCCCATGTGGTTGCTAGAGTGTTGCTAGGTTGTTGCTGTGGCATTCCAAAAGGTTGCTAAGGTGTTACTGGGTAGTTGCTATTGTACCCTAGGTGGTTGCTAAGGTGTTGCTGAAGTTTTGCTAAGGCATCCCAAGTGGTCGCTAGGGTGTTGCCAGGCAACTGCTATGATATTCCATGTCGTTACTAGAGTGTTGAGTGTGGCCCCATTTATTCCTATTGGAAACAATCATAATTTTATGATGATTGTATGAAAATCATATATCTGATCAAAAAGCTGTATACAAGCACACCATTCCTAATCAGAATAAACATTTAAAAGTTGGAACATTATGTTATGAAAAAAACTTATGAAAAAATACAATCATGTAGTGATTTTAATCCAGTATGAATCTGCAGTGTGTGTAGATTTTACAGTCCGAGAGTAGTTATTTTGGAGGGATTTTAATCCAGAATCTGTAGTGTGTGCAGTTCATTAATCTGATTAATAATCGTGGAGTGATTTCAATCCAGTATGAATCTGCAGTGTATGTTGCTTTTACAGTCTGACAGTAATAATTGTGGATTGATATATAGTAAATATAGTGCAAATCTGCAAATCTGTAAATTGCAAAACCTGCAAATTGCATGACATTATTGCGTGACTGGAGCCCTTATTATAGGGGACAAGTGTAGATCAAATGAGCTCAGGGTATGGGGAAAAGGAGTAGTACAGAGTTGTTCATGATGAAGAGTCAATAAATAAAAAGCGAACACAGTCAAGTGCTGGTGTGGACCACAGGGAGTATGATGACAGCGGAAAATGATGAATGCAAAGGCTGCAGCAAAGGTGCAGCTTCCAGTCAGAGCCAAAACACTGAGATAACCCTGCCCATGCTCAACCAGCCCTGGGATACCACAAATCCAAGGAGGGTGACCAACAGAGCATGAAAAAGGGATATCTTCAGCTTTGTGTAGAGATGGTTCTCCAGGAGAAGTTAGAGAACCCTTCTCACATGAGCTATGTGTTCATCTAGAGAACAACTATAGATGAGAAAGTCATCCAGAAACATCAGTTTAATGCCTCCCTCAAGACCTCTTAAATGTTACAGTGGAAGACAGCCACAGTGTTCATCAAACTGAAGGGCTTAATCAGGTACTCACTGTGGCCTGATGCTGTGATGAAGGCCATCTTCCACTTGTCACCATCCCTAACCTCGATAAGGTTGTAGACGCTGCACTCGTCCCACTTAGTAAAAACTGAAGCCTGATACAGTGCCTCGAAGGCTTAGGTCATGAGGAGTAGGGGCTAAGGGTCTTGTATCATAATTTTGTTCAGGCCTTGGTGATCAGTGCATGGACAAAGGCCTCTGTCCTGCTTTCCTACAAAGAAGAACCCAGCCTCTGCTGAAGAAGAGGAAGGCAGTATGAAGCCAAAAGTCAATGCTTCATGTATGCAGATCCATAACTCTCCACTCAGAGCACAACAGAGAAAATATTCTGCCCTGAAGAGGACTGGCACCCAGGAGGAGGTCAGTGGCAAAATCATACAACCGGTGGACAGGCAGGAGCTGGGCCTTCTGTTTGATGAAGACCTACTTTAAGTAATCAGGAGGAATTTGGGATAGGTCAGGAACACCAGAGAGGGATGACTCCAGTTTGGATGGGATGGATGAACAGGAACCCTGGCACTGAGGCCCCCAGACTATTACTGACTGCATTACTCAGTTGATGCAGGGGTTGTGACACTGCAGCTAGGGGAAGTCTAGAACCAGCTGCAGTTGGGGAGCACTGATCAGGAACAAGGCGATCTGTGTGCTGCCCAATTTGCAGTGTAAGGAGACACGTCTGTTGTGAGACAACCCCTGGCTTGGGAGACAGCCCACTGATGGCCAATATTGGCAGTGGGTGTTCCAGAGATACAAGCAGCAAAAAGTCCTAGCTAAGGTGTAATCAGTGAAATTGCCTGTTGCTCCTGGATCTAAAAATGCTCTGAGGCATTGCTCCTAATATTATTCCCATGAAATAGTCACATTAAAGAACACCCCGGGGGGCTTGAGGAGAGGGGCTTGGGTCAGTCACAGGTCTCCCACTCTGTGTGTTGGCTTTTCCAGATGACTTGGGACAGGCTGGACTGAGTGCCCAGATCACCCACAGTACAGGCAACTTCCCTCTTCCATGGAACCCTGAGAGGAATACTTGAAGGGTTAGGTCTGGCACAGCCAAGAAAGGTAGTAGGAAAGGGAGCTCAACCTTGAACAGCACTCTAAAAGGAAAACCCAAGACTGCGGGGTAAAGGACTATTCACACCATTAACGTATGTTTTAAACGTAGTGGGACCTTTACACCAAGTCTGAGCATTTATTTTATCTAAATACTCTAAAGAGGAAGAAGAAGACATATAGTCCTTGAGTAGCACCGATGAAGAATTCATCATTTTTCTTTTAAGCACTGCAACTAGTCATACAAGACCACTTCATACAAGACCACCTCATACAAGAGCCGCTGCCGAATAATGTGCGATTCCAAAGGAGTTTTATATGTATGTGGGGGGAATTCAAAGCTCTGTTTCTGCCTGTTGCTCATCTCATTAGAACGGAACATCTAACGTCTTCAAGGGTATGAACAGCCTCGGACTACCTCTGCATTTTTAGTCAGCACGTTTGTTGTATAAGCTGTTGTGTTCTGCAGCACGCCACACTGGCATCTTGATGCACATTTGTTTGGGCTGCAACCATGAGAACAGAGCTCTGACTGGTCAGCCTGATTTTTAACACACCTGTACAATGCAGAACATCTAACAGATTCTGATTTTAAAAATTATGCACCCTTGCAGGCCATCAGTTTTGGACTCGATGTAAAACACTGCAGTAATTCATGTGTGTTTGTTTTGAAAACTTAACATATTTTTTCTTATCCTTAAAAATCCGATTGGTTTAAATAGTCTTTTGGGGTAAGATACCCTTAAGTAAGGGAGGAACAGGTGCTGCTGACTGCCCCAATCATGGTGGAGTGGCTCTTTGTCTTCCTCTGGTGTCCTAGCAAGTGGCCCAGCCCCAGTCTGGGCCCTTACACTTTCATTTGCTCTCACTGATTGTTATCATTGTTAATGTGATTGTGTCCGATGGTGTAATGCTGACATGAACATCCAGGCTATGACCTTTATATCCAGGCTATCTGTGGAAGTGTAGGTGAAATCCCAAACCAATCGGCCGGTCAAATTTCGATACATAGAATAGCCTCCTCTGGTAAAACTAATGAAGCTCCAATAGGCCATTATTTAAAAGATTTAGAGATAACTGAAAGGGTACTCACCCTCTTTAAGAACGTCTACACTGAAGGTGTAGATGTCTTCTAAGCCAGATCGCTTAATGTCTTTCAGAGTTGCCTTGTAAACTGAAGCACAAAAATGCAACAAATAAGTGATAAGTATCTGGAAAATAATAAAACAAGTAAGATCATAAAATGTAAAAAAATATTAATACAAATGTAACTACAAATGGTAATTCTTGGGTCCAAATATAATTGTGCACAAAGAGGCAACAGTATAAAGCTGTTTCACAGGCTGATGATAAATGAAAGCAATCAGTAATTGTTTAATAAGACCCAGAATACCTATATACAGACATAACAGTCAAATTCTGACATAACTTGAAATTTAACGTTGTTCAAAGACATCTATCACTTATGAACAACACACAGAAAGCAGTGGTAGTGTCCCTTTAAGCCCATAGTGGGTCACATTTTGTATGCTTTATCTGAATCTCAGTCTATATATGGGTTTTAATCTTGTAGTGAATGTTTATTAAACTCCTTGAGACCACCGGTGGTTCCAAAACACACTTCGTCATATTCTTCATAATTTTAATATGTCATAAGCTACATTCAAAAGGTGTCATATGAGAGCTGTAACTGTCTTCTTTCCAGTCAAATAGATGGGTAATGTAATTCTAACTCACATCTACTGAAAGTCGACCCATTTTCCCCACAAATCTGGGCTATAAACTATAAACAGATGGCGTCTCTTCAGTGATCTGCTCTGTAAAAATTATTTTTATAAAATAATACAAAGAGCATCTAAGATTTTTGGCTTTCAGCAGTAAATTGTAAGCCTACAGCAATATGTGTGATCACAAAACACATGCTCTGTTAATTTGAGGGGAGCTTTTACAAAAATAAATAAATAAAATAAAAATTTGCATTTATTTCATGCAGTTACTGAATAATTTGTCTTACGATTTGGTCACGTAAATTCAGATGGATAAACCAAAATATACTCTGGAGAATAAGAGGTTAACAATAACTTTAAAATGTTTAATTTACTGCAGCCTACACTGTCTAAAGTTCAAAACACTGTCATTTTTATAATGTTCTAGTTGCATGTAAGAATTGCAATCTTATAAATTTTCACACTACAAAAATCAAATTTATGGTAAAAGAATATCGGCCCCAAATATTGGTTATCAGTCTCCTTGATTAATAATAATCAGTATCATTATGGACCCTGAAAAAAATACCCTGGTCGACCCCTCTTTGGTTTGCATGATTCTTTTTAGAGCAGGATCAGAATAATAGGTTCATTTCAAATCAACTTACCTAGGACCCTGCCCAAGTCAAAATAAAGAAATTATAACATGTTTATATAACAAAACCGTCTACATTTTAAAGCTATGCTCCAATGCATTTTTAGTTAAGAGTTCTTAAAGTTTGCCATAGTTTGCCGCATCAGGATCTACATTACATCTCAAATATTGAGTTTACCTGCTTAGAGTATGACTGAACTGAGCTGAAATATTTATTTAGGTATAAATACAACACTGAAATATTTCAGTTTAAATAAACAGGTTTTAAGTTAACACCTTCAGACAACAGACAATTTTTAAACTTCGGTTTCATGTTATATGCTTCTATATTTCTATTAATTTTAATAATGACTAATTTCTGTATGCAATATTTGAATATGTATAGGCATGTACAGGCCTTTTGATCCTATACAGTGAGGGGAAGATGCGTTATGATGGTTTAATATTTTTTAAACATGACATATTTGACTAAGCAGTACAGAAATCCACTTACATGCTTGAACCTCTAATAAGGATAACACTGCTTTTTTCACTAAGGACCATTCTTTATTTAGTACAGTGAAAATTCTCCATAATGATGTACATCAGCCTCAAATACAAACATAGAAAGTATTCCTACCAAAATCCTTTTGACAGGCTTCTTCCGTGCGCTTGTCTTCAGCTGGAACTTCAGGATCTTTCAGCAGATCGCAGTTCACTATTGGAGGAGTAACAGTTCAGGTGTGAAAGGAGAATCAATCAAATGTCTTCTGCAGGACCTGCAAAACTGCCTGGTTTTATTCTTAAAAAAATGAATTTTCACAGGGAGATTCACTCGAAAGAGGCCCCAAATATTCTGTAATAACTCTCTCTAGGACGAAGCAATCTAAACAAAACAACATGCAATGAGCTCCTCAGTATATGGAGCTTCAAACAAGCTGGGCTGCCTCTGGGTTGGAGCGATAAGGTAGGTACCTGACAGGTGTTGCGATGTTTAACCTCCGTTCGCAACTTCCGGGTGCAGTCCCCCATTAGCTTCATGTGTCTGTCAGAAAACAGAGATCACTACCAGCATCTCATGTAATGCAGTTGATTGTACATACGAGAAGGTATGTAGCAGATTTTTTTGGTTCAGATTGCTTCATCCTAACGGGAGTTACAACAGAATATTCAGGGCCTCTTTCGAGTGAATCTCCCTGTACTTTTTTACTCTCCTGTTCCCAGAGAGTGTAACGTGCCAGAAAGATCCAGACGCTCACGGTTAAAAGGAGAAAAAGATGCTTTACTCTTATAATCAAAATCAAGATTTGTGGTCAAAAAACAGGCGTGGGTCAAATCCAGAAAAGACAACCAGTACAAAAATATAAGGCGAACAATCCAAAAGGGTCAGACAAAAGGCAGAGCTGAAGAAACGGGCAAAATGGTCATAAACAGGAAAATCAAGAGACCCTTATTAGTCCCACAATGGGGAACTTTCACCTGTGCATTTAACCCATCCATACAGTGAAACACCACATACACAATACTGAACACACAACACTAGGGGGCAGCCCTATCCGCAGCACCCAGGGAGCAGTTGGTGGTTAGGTGTCTTGCTCAAGGACACCTCAGCTCAGGGGATCGAACCGGCGACCTTCCAGTCACAGGGCCAGTTCCCTAACCTCCAGCCCACGACTGCCAAAATCATACGCAATCGAACGCTCAGTAGATCTGTATAAATGCAATACCTCACAACTAGACTATGCTAAAGCCCAGGCTTATAAACTGAACTACCATGGTCATATGACAGACAAGACAGGTGAATCGGTTTAGTATTCTGGTGAACGAGAGCACTGATTGGAGCATGAGGAAAGATCAGGAGCCACTTGGGTCATGTGATCTCCCAGAGGATTCTGAGGAGCCGGAGGGATGTGTGACAGAGAGACAGTAACGAAGTACATTTACTTGAGTACTTGAGTAGCTGTAGTGATGGCTACTACTACGGCAGATGAAGATGATAAAGGTTCTGGTCCCACTTTATTTTAAGTGTTTCTAATAACTGTGTAGTTACATGTGAACAACATATGTAACAACCATTTAACTACTGATGATTTAGTCAGTGTCACAGATGGATTACAGAAGTACAGCCTATATAATTACAAACATGTACCGACTTCAGTTTTAACTCTTGTAATTACATAAGTGTATCTTAATAGTTGTGACAACCTATTCATGTAATTACACAAGGGTGATAATACAAATACAATCACATTGGTAATAAGACTGGAACAGCAGTTGTTTTCATAAGGAAGTATGTAATAACTTACAATAAGATTATTATTACACTGTATCTGCCAGCTTTCCTAACATTTATCTAGCATTTATGTTGCTAGTGTTGTGACACTGTAACCAGTTTCAGCTTTGAACCATTCTGTAATGTCACAGTCCAGCAGACGTCCCCTTATCTTATCATGTAACTTTATAACATTAATTGTGTTGCATTTCCCCCAAAGCTGACATTACCAATCCATTATTACACATTACCTACATATCAATTACACAGGAGCTGTCCACTTATTTTAAAGTGTAACTTTAACACAACACTACAGGAAAGTTCCTGTGTAGTTGTTATAAAGGTACAGCATCATTACAGAATTGTATTAATCAATGTGATGTGATTAGGTTACCTTGTTACAACACAGTTATTCCACAGTAATCATGCAAAACATAAATGTAATGTTCTGTAAAACATACTTCCTTTAACTGCTGAAAAAGACTTCTGATCTGTAGTGTATCAAAAAGATACATGTGTAATTACATGGGCTGTACTTCTGTAATCAATCTGTATCACTGACTAAATCATCAGTAGTTACAGTGTTGTTGCATGTTATTCATGTGTAACTACACAGTTATTAGAGACAAAGTTCCTCACCAGTGCACCCATGATTACGTCTCAACTCCATGTTTGAGAAAGATTCATTTAATTCCAGTAAAAACAAAGTCGTCCTTCCTTGAAGTTGTTGCTGTTTTTATGCTACGGTTGGTCAAATAACATTTTATAGATTTTTAAGGATTTTAGACTTTTGTCAATTCAATTTTGTTTCTCTATGCTTTGTGACATATTCCACAACCTTTTTATTCTACAGGATTACAAGCAAGTCAGTTCATTAAATAGGTTGTTTCAGAGCCGTTATGTTGTATAAAATCATTCTGGCAACAAAAAAACAATGCGTTGACAAATGCATTGAAAAATACACTGAAAAAGCAAATGTGCTTTGTATTTGAATAATATTTGGCCAGGAGTATCTCGAGTAATAGAGCTGTGTACTGCCAGATTTCTCGACCCCAGAGCACAAACCTAATATTAACCTGTTATACATGTTTCACATATTGTATATTATGAATAACATACTACAGTCAGCTCCATAATTATTGATGCCCCTGGTAAAGATGTGTAAAAAAATTGTCTTTGTGGTTAATTAGCTCAATCGCAAGAGAGAAATCTAACCTTTAAGGCTTCTAAATTTAATCTAAGAATCAAAAATTCTTATAAAAATCATCCTCTCACAGCTTGTTGTCGTCTCTCCAAAACGTAAGAAAATATTTGAATTCCTAACATAATTGTAAAAAAATTTAAAATGATATACAATACTGTCATAAAACAAAATTAATCCTATAAAACGTTAATTCTTTTACCTGATTTATCTTTATGCTATGGTGGCAAAATCTATGCTGCCATGGCTGTTTTTATTAACTATGCAAACTACCGAAACATAACTATTTAACAGTGATTTACTGAGCTAAAAAAAACGTGTCTGCTTTTAAAATAAGATTGGAATATTTTCTCTTCTATGCTTCTTGTACAGTAAGTGGTTAAAAACACAGCTTGATTTCTTCCTTTTATTTTTCAGAGCACCCGAGGAGAACGGACCATTCGTGACGTAAGCCAGTCGACTTGTGTTGCTAAATTATTTACAGTTTAGGAATTTCCGGTTTGAAATATAATTAAGATAGATTGAAAATGATTGTTGATTCAATGAAGTTAACATTGATGCTTTAACATTGATTTAACATGGATTCTGTGATTGTTTGCCATCTGGGTAGTTAGCTGTAGCCTGAGGTCATCCAGTTTAGTGGATGTTTGAGAGGAGAGGAAATGAAGGAGCTGAACAGCTAGGATTAGCCTTTAGCCAAGCACAAAATCCTGATGCTGCTTTCCCATCAGCAACTTCAGGCAACGCCATGGTCTTGAGGCCTTGTTCGCACAGCACCTCCAACAGTCCATCATTTGTTGTGGCTGAACTGCAAAGCAGGGTCATCCAATGACAGACATGTTAATGTGCTGCTGCTGTCTTGGAACCCAAGGATCCGGGTTGGATATTTGCATAAGATGGTAGAATTCTGGGGTCCACAAGTCTCCAAAACTACAGTTAGACACCACCTCCATGCCAACAAACTATTTAGAAGGTGTGCCAGAAGAAATTAAGGCACCTGGAATTTACGAGACACTTCTTAAGCTTTGACTTGGAATAGCTTCTATGACCAGATGAGAAAAACAGAGGTTTTCAGAAACAAACAATTAAGGTGGGGTTGCTGTAAAATGAAGAATTTTCAGTGGTAGATGATTAATAAATGGTTAACAGATTATTAGTAACACATCAACAACATATCAGTGAAGTGGCTGTAGTGAAGCATCTATATACACTAAAGTAATTATATTGTAGATGTTCTGTTGATACATTACTTACATTAAGTAGATGTATTGTTAATATGTTTTAAACCCTATTAAACCCTAACCTTACAAACCTTACCAAACACCTAACTCCTAACCCTGGCCCTAATCCTAACCCTAACCTAAACCTCAATCCAAAACCTAACCCTAACCCTCACCCTGGCCCTAATCCTAAAACCAACCTTAACCTCAACACAAAACCTAACCCTAACTCTCACCCTGGCCCTAATCCTAACTCTGACCTTAACCTCTGTGATAATGGCTCTTCCTCCTCACTTGCAGATGAACTTAATGCTCATTATGCTCGTTTTGAGGCAACTAACACCTCACCTGCTGAGAAACTCCCCGTAGATGAGGAGAGCTGCGCTCTAGCCATTCCCCTGTCTGAGGTGGTGAGATCCTTCAGGGCAGTTAACCCCACGCAAGGCAGGAAACCACAATTGTTCCAGTCCCCAGGAAATCGTCTGTCACCTGCCTGAATGACTACCGCCCTGTTGCACTGACATCAACAGATATGAAGTGCTTCAAGCAGCTGGTCAAAGCTCGCATCTGCTCAACACATCCAGCCACTATGGACCCTCACCAATTTGCATACCGCTCCAACAGATCCACAGACGACGCCATTGCACTAACAATACACACTGCTCTCACACACTTGGACAGAAAGAACACATATGTAAGAACGCTGTTCATCGATTACAGCTCAGCATTCAACACAATCATCCCTGCCAAACTCATTCCTGAGCTCAGAGACTTGGGTTTGAACTCTCATCTCTGCAACTGGATAATGGACTTCCTGACCAGCAGAACCCAGGTTTTGGGAACAGCTTCTCTTCCACACTGACTCTGAGCACAGGGGCTCCCCAGGGATGTGTGCTCAGCCCCCTCCTGTACTCCCTGTATACATATCACTGTGTAGCCAAACACACGTCTAACATCATCTTCAAGTTTGCTGACGACACCACTTTCCTAGGCCTCATCACTGATGGAAATGAAACAGCCTACAGAGATGAGGTCAGTGATCTGTCAGAGTGGAGCCATGACAGCAATCTCTGTCTGAACATCAGCAAAACAAAGGAGATGATCATGGACTACAGGAAGCTGCAGAGGGGTGGTCACTCTCCCCTATTCATCAACGGAACTGAAGTGGAGAGAGTCAGCAGTGTGAAGTTCCTCGGCATACACCTCACTGATGACCTCATCTTGTACCTCCACACCAACACTATTGTGAGATCTGCCCGTTAGCGTCTCTTCTTCCTGCGTAGGCTCAGGAAGTTTGGTCTGCCTACTCAGATCCTCACCAACTTCTACAGATGCACCACAGAGAGCATCCTCACAGGCTGCATCACTGTCTGGTACAGCAGCTGCACCGCCTGTGACCGCAAGGCCCTTATAGGAGTGGTGAGGACGGCAGAAGCCATCATAGGCAACAGACTACCAGCCTTACAGGACGTCTACCAGTCCTGCTGCCTCAGGAAGATCTAAAAGATCCGGTCAGACAGCGTCACCCAGCACACAGCCTGTTCACCATCCTGCCATCAGAATCCTAACCTTAACCTCAACCCAAAACCTAATCCTATCCTTTACCCTGGCCCTAATTCTAACTCTAACCTTAACCTCAACCCAAAACCTAATCCTAACCCTCACCCTGGCCCTAATCCTAATCTTGACCTTAACCTCAACCCAAAACCTAATCTTAACCTTAACCCTGGCCCTAATCATAACCTTAACCTTAACCTCAACCCAAAACCTAATCCTAACCTTAACTCTGGCCCTAATCCTAATCTTAACCTTAACCTCAACCCAAAAACTAATCTTAACCCTAACTCTGGCCCTAATCCTAACCCCGGTTTGTCCTGATGACTTTCTTCAGTAAATGTAATTAAGCAGAAAGTTAGAGTCTGAAAATGACTTAACTGGTCGAGTTAATGTGAAAAATGACATTTAAACTAGATTTAATCACATTCCAGCCTTAAAACACCTCCAGAACTGTGACCATATTTTTGGAGAATATACCAACATAATGCTGTAACGCACTTTCAGCACAGCTGCACACGTCTGTAGGGCAGATGGTGCGAAGCATTCCATTTATTCGTTCGGCTGCATCATAAAACTTCACACAGTGGTTCTCTGAAATACAAATATCAAAATTCAGTTTTATGTGACCATTTTTTATTTATTCCTTACAATCAGTCATGCTGCTTTCAAGACTGATATACAGTCGTATGCAAAAGTTTAACATAAAATGTGACCTGTGCAAATATTATGGCACTTTTATATGTTTTGTTTTCCCCAATTTATTAAACTCAGCAAATATGTCACTGTTGTCAGAACAAAACCTTGTACCTCCAAAATGGTAACTTTACAGGAGAAGCAAAAAACATACTCTATCTTTAATGTAAGTCAATGGAACCAGAATTTTTCCCAAGTAATTTTCGGCTGTTTCTTTTGGTCCATTCATCATGAAATTTGCACACAGTGTAAACAGGCATTTTCAAATTATGCCAAAAACTGAAAAATGACAAAAATGGAGATACAAGGTTTTGTTCTGAAAGCAGCAATATGGAGATTAAGCACTAAAATTTGCAGAAAAATGTTTGTGCGATCTCTTTAGAGGATTTTCACTTAGAAAATCAACAAAATATGTCATATGACTTGGTGCCCAAACCTTTACATACAACTGTGTCTTATACAGTGCCTTGCAAAAGCATTCAAACCTCTTAAAAGTCATCAGGCTGGTCTGGATTACAAATGACACCTACAGACACTGCAGATGCAGTTCCAGCTGGTGTTTTCATTGCGACCAATATCCTCTTAAAGTACATTTTCAAAGTCAAAATAAATTATTTCGTCCCCTTGGGAATTACACTATATTTCCAAAAGTATTCGCTCGTCTGCCTTCACACGCATATGAACTTGAGTGACATCCCATTCTTTATCCATAGGGTTTAATATGATGTCGGCCCACCCTTTGCAGCTATAACAGCTTCAACTCTTCTGGGAAGGTTTTCCACAAGGGTTAGGAGTGTTTATGGGAATTTTTGACCATTCTTCCACACCAAACTTGCACATCCATGTCTTTATGGACCTTGCTTTGTGCACCAGTACGCAGTCATGTTGGAACAGGAAGGGGCCATCTCTAAACCTTGGAGGTCTGTAGTGATTGAATCCGCAGAAAGTTGGCGACCTCTGCGCACTATGCACCTCAGCAACCGCTGACCATTTTACGTGGCCTACCACTTCATGGCTGAGTTGCTGTCGTTCCCAATCGCTTCCACTTTGTTATAATACCACTGACAGTTGACTAGAAAATTTAGTAGCGAGGAAATTTCACGACTGGACTTGTTGCACAGGTGGCATCCTATCATGGTACCACACTGGAGTTCACTGAGCTCCTGAGAGCGACCCATTCTTTCACAAATGTTTGTAGAAGCAGTCTGCAGGACAATGTGCTTGTTTTATACACCTGTGGCCATGGAACTGACTGGAACACCTGAATTTTAATGATTTGGATGGGTGACTGAATACTTTTGGCAATACAGTGTATATGGTTTTATCTGTGTTCTGAGCAGTTTTAAGATATTGAGCTTTAAAAGAATTTGCATTTCAAATAGTAAAACTGATAAGTGGAACACGGCCTGATTCCGAGTTGAAACACTCCTTATAATGTCAGTGTGAATGGATGGGACTAAACTGCCATGGGTTGATTAGGAGAATATATGTAAATGTGTTGGTTGCTGTTACATTACAAAAACACTTATTTCAAAAAAGGCTGTTTTTGCAGCATAATGCCCACATATGAACTCAATGAAAATCCAGGAAAATCCATGTTTGCATGAAACAAGCACTGTTAAAATATATGCAGTTAATACATGCAGCATAAATGTGATACATAGGTATGACTGTTTGGTATTAATTGAATTCCTCACCTTTATCATTATACTCGTATACTGTTATCCTTGCTGGTTGAAGGAGACGAACATGTAACTTTTTGTGCATTCTGAAGGTAATTCTCTCCTTAACTACGTTTGAGACCTAAAGAGAGAGAGAGAGAGAAAGAGAGAGATACAGAGAGAGAAAAAGAAAGACAGAGAGAGAGAGAGAGAGAGAGAGAGAGAGAGAAGAGACAGAGAGAGAGAAAAGTGCCTTATTTTACAGTATTATGTATTTAAGCAATAGATCACGAGAGGGAGTGTGTTATCACGAAAATAACATCACGGCTGTGATTTGGTCGCTGTAGATCATCACAGCTGTGATGTTATAGTGATAACACACTCCTCGAGTGTTCTATTGCTTTTAAAACAACACTTAAATAAATAAAGTAATAAATTAATAAACTGGGCTGTGAACATGTTGCATTTAATATGTTTCAATGTTCGCAGTTCCTTCACCAAATTATAGTTCCTTAACAAGCAGCTTGTTGCTACATCAGAGTTCGAGCTCCGCCCACTGGCCGCACAGCCGGCAGTTCGTTCTCCAGCTCCTTACACTAAATTCCCAAACACTGTCGTCACCACTGAGCAGCTTTTTTGTTTTTATTGCGGCAGTTTTATGGCTCAGTCCGATTTGATCAGACTCTGAAGATGAGATGAAGTACAGACTGAGCCATAAAACTGCCACAATATCAAGTTCAGCTCAGTTTTGTCAGTTTTTGCCAGATCAATATTAATGTTGTTTTGTTCCAGCCAGTCTGTAAAGCATCTTACAGCCCATTTAGTTTGGCGTATGGTATTGGGTTCATTTCTGGCTGATTCCAGGTTGTTTAGCTTCTGTCACAGCTAAAAAGCTGCTCAGTGGTAATGACAGTTTGGGAATTTAGTGTAGTCTCATCTTTAGAGTCTGACCAAACCGGCTTTCAGTCAAATGTGATCTTATCTACAGCCACTGTCTGAGTACCCATTTTCTGTTTGTGGCAAAGTAAGAAGTTTGAGCGGAACTAACTGTTGTATAAAATAATAAAAGTGACACCACTATTTCGTATTTACAAGCACACTTGACAAGGTAAGTAAGGCTTGATCAGCACAGGATCTAGATAAAAGGCTCTAAAACAGACAAAAATCTCACTTTATTGCCCACCTCTAATTCATTGTTGTTTTTTTTAAGATAACTTCAGTGTTTACTGTGCAGGTTTATTGAACTGTTAAGGGATTGAGCAGCTGTGTATGTAAAGTGCTATAAAAATAAATGCCATCATCATGATATTGATTATTATCATGTTGTTAGTTATGAGTGTCTGTTCTATGTATTACCTTCTTGAGATAGATGATGAGGGATCCACGGTCGGAAAGTTTGTCCATCTCAAACCTCTGGATGTGCCTGTCGGTTCCCATCAGCTGCAAAAATTAAGACAAAACATTTTCCAAACTGTGCTCTAGTTTAATTATCTTTATCACATTACATTCTGTATCCATTTTATAATCCACTCAAGGCCGGGTGTTACAGTGATTTTACTGTTCTTCACATCATGCCTTTGGAACACCCTTAAACATGGCAATATCAGGGACACTTGTGGCTTATTGCTTTGTTCTAGTGTCATCACAGCTTAATGAAGCAGATGTTTGGTAGAATATCTCAGTTTATGCTGAAAAGTTGGTAACACTTTACTTGAAGGGTGTCTACATAACATTCACAAGATCTTACGCTCTAAGAAATGCGGGTGTGGTACTTTTTGTGTGTGGTCATAGCGCCCAAGGGGAGTGTTAGGTGAGCCAGGACACTAGGAGTTCCAGTTTAATAGCCATGCCTTTTATTAGTTCTCTGAACCCACCAAATAAGTGCACTATATACAAGTGACGAGAGTAAAACACAAACGAGTAAATAAAAACTGAAATCTATTTACAAAATAAACGAGGCTCAATGCAGCCGTTATATAAGTTATTTATCCCTACTACTACTTAGGGCTTGACAGCAAAAACGTCTGACTTTAGTCCATAGATTCCGTCCTCTCACAACTGCTGCTGTTTGTCTGCAGGACTCTTAAGGAAGATTCAGTCCGCTCAGTCCACCTCTTTCCAGCTTCGTGCAAGCTCTGTCTTTTGAGTTAAGCTCTATCGCTTTTATACATTCCTCTTCCCGCCAAACGCGATCAGACTGTACCACTTAGCAGTGATAATCTCCTTGCTCCTTTACCAGTTCATAGGGAGAGCTGCAGAAAACCAAACGCTCACATATATGGGTTATTTCATAATTTGCTGGGTAGTTCCAGATAACCCAGCGCTCCTGGGTTGGCAGCACGGACCTAAAACGGACCTGGGGGCAGTCGTGGGCTGGAGGTTAGGGAACCAGCCCTGTGACCAGAAGGTTGCCAGTTCAATCCCCTGAGCTAACAGTACATGATTGAAGTGCCCTTGAGCAAGGCGTCTAACCCCCAACTGCTCCCCGGGTGCTGCGGACAGGGCTGCCCACCTCTCCGTGTGCAAGTGTGCTCACTGCCCCCTAGTGTGTGTGTTCACTAGTGTGTATGTGGTGTTTCACTGCACGGATGGGTTAGATTGCAGAGGTGAAATTTCCCCATTGTGGAACTAATAAGGGTCACTTAATCTGAAAGGGAACATCGACGTAACATCCCAACGTTGGTTTTCCACTTCCATGGTTTCCCTGTGGTTTGAAAAGGCTGTGACAGAAGAACAAGCTAAAGTAAGTGACCTTAATTATTCATGGGTTTTTGGCCCTGTAGTATGTGATTTAGTGGAAGATATTGATATGTGTTAGATGTAAGTTCTGTTTAATTTATTTTGGCTTGAATTAAAGTAGAAAAGTGTGCTAAAGTGCTAAATAAAATAGCCCAAAATGGTGAATAGCTAAGTTACCTAGCTAGCGAGGTAGCAAGCAGGCAATAGTGTTAATACATAAACACATAATACATTAATGCTTCAGTACATGTTCATGAATATTTAAATCAAAATTCATAGAGCATAAATGTTTTGCATGATATTAATATGGACTACTATGCCATTTTACTGAGATACATTTTTTTTTTCAAAATAAAAGTTCTCACTTTCTATTTTGAAACACTATATTGTTTTCAGTGAAACGCCTCATTTCTGGACAGCCAGAATATAAATGACCTCACTTTACCTCCTTGGTTATTAAGTGGTTTGACACATTTTACCTATAATTTCAACTTCTTTTTAATTATTTGTTTCTTCTTTTAAGCATTTGTATTTTGCACTTTGTAATTCTTTCTCCTTTTTACTTTTCTTCTTTAAAATGTTCTTGTGGCTAAGGGTTACTTTAACAGTCTATACATTGTTGAGGAAAATGTTATTTATCCTGAGTTTAACTCTCTTTAACTAACAGCATAGTAAAGTGGCATGAGAAGCAACAAATGCTTAAGAAAAAGCAAATAATTGTCTGTTGTTTGAACAAAACCTTGTATCTCCAAGGTAACTTTACAGGAGAAGGAAAAACAGTCTTAATTTTTCATGGAAGTCAATGGGTAAATAATATTTTCCTAGTAATTTTGAACCATTTCTGTTGGTCTGTTCATCATGAAACTTGGACACATCATAAAGAGAAACTTACATTTTTAAATTATGCCAAAAAATTAAAAGCAAAAATGGATGTAGAAGGTTTTGTACCAACAGCAACAAATTAAAAAGAATTAAAAAGTGTAGGTGAAACGCGCCTGAGTGTCAAAGCACTTAATAACCAAAGAGATAAAGAGAGGTCATTTTTATTTTGGCTGTCCAGAAATGAGGAGTTCCACTAAAAAAAAAAAAACTTTTTAAAAATGAAAAATGAAAAACTTTTATTTTGAAAAATGTATCTCAGTAAAATGGCATAGTAGTCCATATTAATATCACACTGTTGATTTAAACATTCATTAACTTGTTATGAAGTGTTTATGTCAGATGTTATGTAGACACCCTTCGAGTAAAGTGTTACCAAGTTATTCAATTGTTGTTGTTTTTTTTTTTCTCTGATTTGCTGCACGGATCTCGTACCTTTTGCAGATCCCTGTTATCTGGTATAAACCCTGTCAGCAGGCTGATATCCAGAACTGTCATGGTGGATTCTCTGTCTTTCAGAAACCTAAAGTGGAATTAGTCAGCATGAACGTTACAGAGGTGACCTGGGAGCATTGCAGCATTAAAGTGCTTTAGAATGAACAGTTCTCTTGGCTCTGTCCTCCAACCATTTGGATTTGTAGACAGGACAGTTACCCAATAGAAAGTGAGTGCTATCACTGTCACTTTATCATACTATTTAAAAGTAACTATAGAATGACATACTTACATAATTAAATTTACTTTTGACATTCTTACATTCAGTATCAACAGGTTCAAATCTACACTTCTGACTAGGGCTATGACGTTAGACAGGTCTGCACTGCAGGCTGGCAGTTGACATATGACTTTCACTGTGCATAGTAAAGCCTAAACTTGCATTTGTAGCTGCAGTGATGAACATCTTTACTGACAAGAGTTTGTAAAGTATTCCTGAGCTCATATGTTGATATCCATCACAGAAACTGGGTTTCAATGCAGTGCTGTCTGAAGGATCGAAGGTTTGTGGTTTCATTCAGTTGCGGTTTTTGGCCTTGCCCTTTATGCACACAGATTTCTCTGTATTTCCTGAACTTTTTATGATGTGCAGATGTTTGAAATGTTTTTCCTCCCCATCCTGGCTTACCTTCTCTCCTTTTCTGCATGTTGTGGAACACCAAAAGTAGAACAATTCATCTTTTTGGGTGACACTGACTAATATTGCGTTAGTGTCATAGGTCCATAGGTTTGCCTGCAGTATTGTCAATGCTATCTATCTATCTATCTATTTATCTATCTATCTATCTATCTATCTATCTATCTATCTACCTATCTATCTATCTATCTGTCTGTCTGTCTGTCTAAAATGGGATTACTGTAGCTAAAGATTGTACTAGCTAGTCATTACTAGTGTTAAACTCCTGGATGTTTTTGCATGTGAAGCAAATATATGTCTTACTTACTTGGTTTCTATGGAAAGCGTATAACTTACAAGTGCGCCATCATAGGAAACTGCAAAGAGTAGCATTAAAACCGGTTTAGCATGTTTTAGTAAAGTGAAAAAGCCACATTTGACATCAACATTAAATCAATCATATATTAAATCTACTAACTCTCAGTATTGAACAGGATTGAAGCCACCATGTTCAAATGCAAAATTAATCTACACAGCAGATTCTACAGAAAACTGTGTTTCACATTAAAGCTCAATGGCCGGTTGCACCAGCTGTGAGTAAGTTCATACATAGGCTAGTTGTAACATAAGTGTTTACTGAGTTCAGCTTTAGGCATTACTAAATCAAAACGAGTTGCACCACAAACTAGTTTTAATGCTGAGCAGAGTAGTTACTAAATATTTACACCCACCTAAACAGGTGTAAATGTTGGGGAAACCAACAGAAACTGCATAGAAAGAACAAAAAAGAGCAAAAACATGAATTTTTGGTCAACTAAGCTAAAAACTCTAAACATTATATGCTCTGATTTTACTTACAGCTCTAATCATCGGCCTGGTTTAAACTCAGAGCATGAAGCTAAACACCCACAGCTCCAGCTCAGTGAGAGCTGCCCAAATGGCTGAACTGATCTGCTGTTGTGTTGGTCATCCAGACACCGTTGTTTAAAAAGTTGCATCTTTGGTTTCTCAGGGAAATATTAAAGAGTAATCAGACAGCAGCTGTAGATAATTAGCTTTATTCAGTTTATCTCGTACACATCATTCTCTTCTACGGTGTAACTAAGGACTTAGTAAGGACTTTACATACAAACTTAAGCATGAACCTACGCAAAACCGGTACAACCCAGTCCAGCTCCACAACATGATTATCTAGGGTGTGAAAACAACGTGAAGTGGCCATACTAGATCATCGTTTTTACCACTTCAACATGTTCCTGATCTCTTTTTACACTATACTTTCTGAACTAGTATATTAAAAATTGATTTAACAATATAATATAAATTCCTGAACTGCTTTACTTTGACAACAAAGTAAGAAACAAATAAGACAAACAAGAACAAAATACTAAAACTGAATCTTTAGTAGACATACTTGTTTCCATTTTGCTAAACGTCACATCGAGATCAAAGTTCTTGCACTTGACTCCAACTGGGTAAGGTTTGGTGTGATGCCCAGTGACGACCTTGAAGAGATAGAGGCAATAGAGAGTTGGTTATACAGTATGCAAAAGTTTGGGCTAACATCACAGATCTGATGTAAATACTAATCTGCAAGAAGTTCCACAGGGATCAGTGCTGGGCCCTCTCCTTTTTGGCATATACATGTAGCCCCTTGGTCTTCACAGCTTTCACCGCTATGCTGATGATACTCAGATCTATGTAAACATGAAAGCCCACACACCTCTCCCTTCATCCGCTTTGCTACTATGCATCTATGATATTAAGCAGTGGATGAAGGCAATTTTTTTTAGGTTTTACACTGATAAAACGGACTTACTGCTTTTGTTGTAACCTCTGTGTGCTTTTTGATTCAGACCCCTCTTTTGAACCTCTCATTATAGTGTATGTTAAAAGTTATAAAGTTCTTAGTTTATCGGCATCCCAGCAAAAATCCTTCAACACATCCAGTATGTTCAAAACCCCCTCACTTGTCTCCATATTTGGGGGCAGATCTTTTCATGTCACTGTCCCTGAGCTATGGAACTCTCTTCCTTCCTCTCTTTGCAACTGCTGCACCATGTCTTCCTTCAAAGTCCACCTCAAAAATGTCCTGTTTTCTCAATACTTTAATTTTTCTTCTCTCTCATTTATTTATTTGTTTATTAATTTATGTATGTATGTACAGCAATCAGGCATAACATTATGAGCACCTCCTTGTTTCTATGCTCATTGTCCATTTTATCAGCTCCACTTACTATATAGGTGCACTTTGTAGTTCTACAGTTACAGACTGTAGTCCACCTGTTTCCCTGTGTACTTTGTTAGCCCCTTTTTACCCTGTTCTTCAGTGGTCAGGACCCCCATGGACCCTCACAGAGCAGGTACTATTAGGGTGGTGGACCATTCTCAGCGCTGCAGTGACACTGATGTGGTGGTGATGTGTTAGTGTTGTGCTGGTACGAGTGGATCAGACACAGCATTTTAATACATTTCAATTTTGATCACAATATTTGGGTTCTTTGAACAATTAAACACATTCTACTGCAATATTAGTAAACTTTACTTAATGTTAGCCAATTGGTGAACATTGGATATCAGTTTGCATTGATTGTATTACATTCCATTCCAAGTTTGTGTTTATATTATTATTATTATAACAATTATTATAACAATAATAATCTTATATAGCTTTTTTCATGCTGGTGGCAGCTCAAAGCTCTACAGACAAGGGATGAAGCTTAAAAGTAATAAGAAATGTATCAAATTAAAAGATAAAAACCACAAGATGTAGTTTTAATTAAACGCTAAACGTTAAAGAGATATGGTTTTAGATGCTTCTTAAAAGTAAGCACAGAAAGTCAGTAAATCTAAGATCATAAACAGACAGGCACTCTGTGGTGTAAAAGGTGCTTTAAGATCGTTTAGAGCCTTAAAGACTAGTAGCAGAACTTTAAAATCTATCCTGAACAATACAGGCAGTCCGTTTAGCTCTTTTAAAATGGGAGTGATCTGATCTCTCTGTGTTGTTTTTGTTCGGATTCACGCTGCTGCATTTTGATCTAAGGGATGTATTGTTTTATTAGGAAGTCCAGTAAGAAGAACATTACAGTGATCAACTCTGCTGTAACAAATGCATGAACAAGTTTCTCTGCGTCGCTCCAAGATAGAAAAGCATAACTTTAGCCACATTTCTCAAATTATAAAAAGCTACTTTAGTGACTGTATTTACATGCAGATAAAACAGAGCTCAGGTTTCGTACTTCGGGTTTGGTATATGAAGCTAAAGAACCTTTATGTTTCTCATAAAGCAGTTTTAAAGTGTTCAAACAATTCACTCCATTAAGGTGATTAAAGATTCAGTCTTGTTTTTACTGCTGACTCACAACCCCAAGGTGTAATAAAAGAATTTTGGCCTTGAATTAACCAAATATATGACAAATATTGATGTAGCAAAATAACTGTGACTGTAAAATAACATTTTAGCCTTTTTCATGCAGCCCTATTTCTTACTGATTCATAAAGAGTGAGTTTATAAGCAGTTAACTTACTGCCATGGAGCCTTCACCTACTCCTGTTAAAGCGCCACGTGCTGGTAACTGTTGAATGGAAGATAGAATTATGCTATACTGCAAAAAATTATAAACTGACAAATGAAATCTTCTTAAATCTAGTCAATATTGGAGCAAGTTCAGAAAATGGGGTGCACGCTTATTTGGGTTCATTTGAAACCAAAAAGCTGAATCAAAAGGAGCTGAATCAGTAAGCTATAGCAAGGTTAAATCACTGAACAGAAGGGACTGAATCAGTGGGCTACAATAAGGTTAAAACATTAAACTGAAGGAGCTGAATAAAAAGGAGCTTAAGCTACATTACGATTAAATAATGGAACTGAAGTGGTTAAATCAAAAGAAGCTGAATCAGTGAGCTACAATAAGGTTAATTCATTGAACTAAAGGAGCTGATCTAGCATGAGCTGAATCAGTAACCTATAACACCTAAATCACTCAACTGAAAGAGATGAATCAAATGGAGTTGAATCAATGAGCTACAATATCATTGCATCATTGAACTGAAGGAAATGAATCAAAAGGGGTTGAATCGGTGCGATACAATAACGTTACATCATTTAACTGAAGAAACTGAATCAAAAGCAGCTGAATCAGTGAGCTACAATAATGTTACATCATTGAACTAAAGGGACTGAATCAAAAGGAGATGAATCAGTGAGCTATAGATAGAAATAACTCACCACTACTTCCAGTTTTTCCCTCACACCATCTTTCCATGCATCTGGGTCCTTGACCATCACCTCAATGTAGTATTGGCCTGGAACCAGCGGGATGATAACGAAGGGAACGGCGCGTGATGATTTGCCAGCTATGCTCACAATGGTGCGATACTTCTTCTTGTAGCTGGCCAAACTGCATATAGACTTAGTCTCCTTCAGCTCCACTATAACCTGCATTAAATGAAGGATTTCATACAGAATCAGTCCTGACAGGTTGTTGTGGTGCTGGATCACCAGCTTTACCAGCTCAGTGGCTAGTCTGACATCCATAGACTTAAAAGGTCACAGAAAAAGAGGTCCCTAAATGGTTCTTTGGTTTAGATGTATGGTATAGAATCTCTACATTACACAGAGGTTCTTTAAACTTTTAAAAGGTTCTTTGGTCGCACACAAAAACAACAGAACCTTTCTTTACAGAAGCATTTGTTGCAAAGTTCTTAGAGAAACAAAAACTTTTTAAGTAATTTTTTTAAGGACCAACAACCTGATCGATTTGAGAACTTCTGAAGTTGTGAATGATGGCGTTGATTTCTATTTGCTCGTTGACCACAGCCGAATAAGGCAACTTCATGTCAACAAAGAAAAGCTTCTGGACTCTAAGTTCTACTGGGTCTGCCACACAAATACCTGAGACAAGACAGAAAAAACGTTGTTAAATGACATAAGTACATTTACGGCATTTGGCAGACGCTCTTATCCAGAGCGACTTACAATTTGATCATTTCACACAGGCAGGCGAAGGTAGTGTTAGGAGTCTTGCCCAAGGACTCTTATTGGTATAGTGTAGGGTGTTTACCCAGGCAGGGGATCAAGCCCCAGTCTACAGCGTAGAAAGTAGTGGTGTTCCCCACTACACCAGAGGTCACTAAAAAGTGAGCCGTTACTTTGCGTGCTCTAAAAACAGAAAAGCTGTGTTGTGCAAAAATCAAAGACCATCCTTGGTTAATCCAGTTTCCAATCAAAATTGTCATTAACTTATTCCTTTTTCAGGAGATATTTTTGAGAAGATTAGATTAAATATAAGATCGTTGTCACGCTTCTGCCTTGAGGAAACGACAGAAGTTCTCTGATGGCTCGGCAATCATCGGACTCATTACTGATGAGGACGACAGACAGTACAGAGAACTGACCCAGGACTTTGTGGACTGGTGTCTGAGGAACCATCTCCTGATCAATGCGGGGAAAACCAAAGAGATGGTGGTGGACTTCTGCAGATGCAGTCACCTCCCTCCACCACTGAACATCCAGGGAAGAGACATTGAGAGGGTGGACTCTTATAAGTACCTGGGTTTTCGTCTTAACAATAGACTGGACTGGTCAGAAAACACAAGTGCACTTTATAGGAAAGGCCAGTGCAGACTCTCTCAGAAGACTGAGGTCGTTTGGAGTGCAGGGGGCACCGTTTTGACACAGTTTGGCATCAGCCATCTTCTTTGGAGTGGTCTGCTGGGGCAGCAGCATCTCGACTGCGGACAGGAAGAGACTTGACTCATTAAGAGGGTCAGCTCTGTCCCGGGAAGCCCCCTAGACCCAGTGCAGATGGTGGGAGAGAGGAGGATGTTAGCCAGACTAGCATCCATGCTGGAGAACAGCTCCCACTCCATGACTGAGACTCTGGCAGCACTGGGCAGCTCCTTCAGTGACCGGCTGCTTCACCCCAAGTGTGTGAAGGAGGCCATCGCAGGTCCTTCCTTCCTGCTGCTGTTAGACTGTACAGCCAGCACTGCTGGTATATTTCCCCTGTGCAATATAAATCAGTACTCCATGTGCAATATATTTTCTAAAAATATCTCTATAGTGTAAATATTCTTGTGGTTTCTATTTAAATTGTTTATATTGTTAATTCCTCACCATCCCATGTGTGATATAAACCAGTACCTCGTGTGCAATATTCCACGTGAATTTCAGGCAAAATATTGTTACAATGTAAATATCTTGGCTTTTTACTTATTTATAATTCTTTATATTGTTAATATTTTTGTGAAGGATAGAGTTTATATTTTTTATCTTTTTTTTATGTTTAGTTAATTAACAACGTTAATTACTTGCTGGTTAATTCTGTTACTTCTTCCCTCTTATTTCAGTGCCTTGCTGTCCCTTTGCTGCTGTAACAGCTGAGAATTTCCCCGTTGTGGGACTAATAAAGGATTATCTTATCTTGTATTACTCCTTGCTCGGTCTCCCCTGCCGGCTCTGTTAAGCCGCTCGACTCCTTCAAAAAGTCCATCTCCCGGGAACCCACAGGAGATTACATGAGGCCCATGTTTACTCTCTCCATCATAACCCCCTTCATTGTTCCAAATCACCTGCATACCAATTGCCAATTACCAATTTTGACTTGCTTTGTTATCTCAACTTTGTTTTTTCTGTTTGGTTTTGTTTGTTGTTTTTCGATTGTCTGTTTTGGCTTTTTGACCTAGTGGTCCAATGGTCAGTTGGTGAAAACACCAGCAACTTGAGAGCTTCGCTCGACGGTCAGAGTTCTCACAAGACTCACAAGGTCAGAGTTCTCACAAGACTCACAAGGTGAGCAACAGGAACCACTGTCCCATATTGCTAATAACCTGAAGGAGGTATCTACTCTCTCAGTGCCCAACCAACAGTGCATTCCTGGTTAGTAGGCCTGACGAATTTGACAGCACACATGATTAACTGTCAGGGTTTTTTGGTTTCAGTAACTCCTAGCTTTGCTCAAACAGAAATTTCCTCCATAACGTCTTGTCTGACAGATAAGGCTCTTGACCGCAGTGTGGCCCAACATTCAGACGTTTTCTTGGGACATGGCTACATGTGTGCTACATGGCTCAGTGTGTTCACTTATCCTGTTATCTTGTGATAACAAAAGATGTTATCTTGAGATAACGAGTGAATTATTTTGTGACCTCAAGATAATGATTGTTATATTCAGAAAACTAATTGCCTTGTTATCTCAGGATAACAATGTTGTTATCTTGAAATAGCAATTCACTTATCATGTTATCTTGTGATAACAAGAAATGTTATCTTGAGATAAAGAGTTAATTAACTTGTGATCTCAAGATAAAGTTGTTATATTCAGTTAATGAGTTCATTGTCTTGTTATCTCAAGATAACAAAAATTGGGTAACACTTTATTTGGATAGTCCACTTCAAGGTACATTCAACTAAATATCTGCTAACGTGGCCATCATTTTCTTTAACTCAAAACCTGCTCTAATCCTAACCCTAACCTCAACCCAAAACCTAAACCCAACCCTCACCCTGGTCCAAATCCTCACCCTAACCCCACCACTGTTTAGAATCAAATGAGTTTTAACAGATAGTTTGTTGGCAATTTGAACATCTGTAGATACTCTATAGTGGACTATAGTGGACTATCCAAATAAAGTATGACCCAAAATTGTTATCTTGAAATAATGAGTCACTTATCTTGTTATCTGGTGATTTTTAAAGCTTAAGATTTTGGAAGCTCTTACAAACAATTCCTTTTTCGACGTCTTAGATGAGTTTCGATGTTGTTTTTAGACAAGCAACTAATCATATTTCACAGTTTATGTGCAGCTCTGTTTGTGAATTTATGGGATCAAACATTTTCCTTCAGATTTATTGTTAATAATGTTAACATTTCACATTAAAGATTTAAAGAAAAACACTCACACACATACTCACTCACCATAGTCTGTTGATGTGCTGATAGCGGTGATCACCCAGGTGGTGATTTGTTCTGGAAGCCAAACCCTTAAGGTTGTTTCACTGCGTAAAAAGAATTTTAAAGTCAAATACTTACCTTCAACCACAAAGCCAGAGTGCAGTTTTAGCTAAAGGCCAGAGATAAGAGAGACTTGACTTCAAACAGGTAATTCTTTACTAAATGAACCTAAATATTACCTTAACTTAAATATTTTGTTATTGATCTAATACATATGCATGCAAACAGGCTTAACTCTTGAGGGTCCTGTACGTTTTACGACGTTTTGTGCTTTGTGTTTTATCAATGCTATGAAATGTTCCTCTCAGTCTAAACAATAGTTTTAAATACATCAAATATAAAATGCATACAGGCTTGAAACAGGCCTGAAATACACTATATGGACAAACGTATTGGGACACCTACACATTACACCCACAGGAGCTTTTATGAATCCAATTCTAAATCCATAGGCATTAATATGGAGTTGATCCTCCTTTGCAGCTCTAACAGCTTCCACTCTTCTGGGAAGCTTTCTACAAGATTTTGGAGAGAGTCTGTGGGAATTTTTGTCCATTCATCCAGAAGAGGTCAGACACTGAGGTTGGACGAGAGGGCCTGGTCGCAATCTCCGTTCTAGTTCATCCCAAAGGTGTTCGATGGGGTTGAGGTCAGGGCTCTGTGAGGGCCGGTCAAGTTCTTCCACTCCAAACTCACTCAGCCATGCCTTTATGGAGCTGCTTTGTGCACTGGGTCTCAGTCATGCTGGAACAGAAAAGGTTCTTCCCCAAACTGTTCCACAAAGTTGGAAGCTTAGAACTGTCCAAAATGTCTTGGACTGCTGAAGCTTTAAGATTCCCCTTCACTGGAACTAAGGGTTCTAGGCCAACCCCAGGAAACAACCCCACATCATCATCCCTCCTCCACCAAACTTTACAGCTGGCCCAGTGCAGTCAGGCGGGTAACGTTCTGTTGGCATTTGCCAAACCCAGACTCATCCATCAGACTGTCAGACAGAGAAGCTGATTCGTCACTCCACAGAATACGTTTCCACTGCTACAGAGTCCAGTGGCGGCACTTTACACCACTACATCCGACACTTGGCGTTGTACTTTTTGATTTAAGGGTTGTGTGCAGCTGCTCGGCCATGGAAACACATTTTTCAGAAGCTCCTAACCTGCAGTTCTTTGTGTTGATGTTGCTTCCAAAAGCAATTAAGAACTCTTTAGTGATAGACACTCTGCGCTTCAGCACTCAGCGGCCCCACTCTGTGAGTTTGCGTGGTCTACCATTTCGTGGCTGAGCTGTTGTTGCTACTAGGTGCTTCCATGTCACAATAATAGCACTTACAGTTGTCTGGGGCAGATTTAACAGGATGGACATTTCTGGCTTGTGACAGAGGTGGCATCCTATGATGGTGCCATGTTTAAAGTCACTGAGCTCTTCAGTACGACCCTCTACTGCCAGTGTTTGTCTAAGACTGTAAGACTATGTGCGTAATTTTATCCACCTTTTAGCAAAGGGTGTGGCTGAAACAGCTGAACTCAGTAATTAGGCACCCCTTGTCCTAATACTTCGGTCTTTGTTGTGCATGTAAATGACCTCTGTTCTGTCCCTGTATTGTGGTTCAAATGGCATTCATTTTGCTGAAGAATGTATCCTGGTTTGTTAAGGACGCCAGAATCGCGTTGAAACGTGCAAATCAGTAAACCTGTTTCCGATCCTGCTGTTTAACTGTTACATCGTTTTTTATTTCATAAAGCAAGGAAAATGTGATTTTCCATGTATGCCTTAATGCCTTTTAATATATGGTATATATATAACGTATTTTAGGCTAGCAAATCATAGTGTATGTTGAAGTTTAGTGCACAAAAAATTACTGTTTGTTGATCATGCTGTTTCTGCTAAGACTCAATTCTTTAATTCTAATACTGACCATTTTCCCTTATCCTTACAGTTAGGAAGCATTTGAGACTGCCACAGCCAGCGCTCCGGAAAGATTAAACGTGATATAACATCAAGCTCTTCATCATCCACTTCCTCCTCACCTTGAAAAGAGAGAAACATTTGCTGAACTCTGGACATTTGCCATACACACCGATCAGGCATAACATTATGACCACCTCCTTTTTTCTACACTCATTGTCCATTTTATCAGCTCCACTTACTATATAGGTGCACTTTGTAGTTCTACAGTTACAGACTGTAGTCCATCTGTTTCTCTGCATACTTTGTTAGCCCCCTTTTACCCTGTTCTTTAGTGGTCAGGACCCCCATGGACCCTCACAGAGCAGGTACTATTTGGGTGGTGGATCATTCTCAGCACTGCAGTAACACTGACATGGTGGTGGTGTGTTAGTGTGTGTTGCGCTGGTCTGAGTAGATCAGACACAGCAGTGCTGCTGGAGTTTTAAGCACCTCAGTGTCACTGCTGGACTGAGAATAGTCCACCAACCAAAAATATCCAGCCAACAGTGTCCTGTGGGCAGCGTCCTGTGACCACTGATGAAGGACTAGAGGATGACCAACACAAACTGTGCAGCAGCAGATGAGCTATCGTCTCTGACTTTACATCTACAGGGTGGACTGACAAGGTAGGTGTGTCTAATAGAGTGGACAGTGAGTGGACAGTCAGTGTAGAAACAAGGAGGTGGTCATAATGTTATGCCAGATCGGTGTATGTAACATGTTTAGATTGATTAAAAAAGAAGAAAAAAAAGATTCTAAAGCAATTGAACAAATGAGCAGTGGGTTAAAGGGGTCAACTTCTGAAAAAAAGATGAAAATATTAGGCTTGTGTCAACAAAAAGTACACATTTCTAGCCTGAAAGCTAGAAAGCTAGAGCTTGTGCCCTGCTGAATTGGTTCAAAAGCACCAGAGTGTTTTACATGATGTTACAGAGTCAAGCAAACAATAAGGATTCGTACATAACATGGATGGAATCGGCCAATACTCATTATTAACTGGAAGCCGGCAATTTGCAAAAAAAATGAAGGTAACTTCTAGCCTTCATAACTTCAGAACGGCTAGCTACAGACATGACACACATATCCGACCATTCATCAGATCTGGCCCAAACTAGCTAGTGTGAAGGGATCGAGCTGAGACGTCAGCATCAATGAGTAATTCAGCTCAGAAAATCCTGATTTTGCTGCTCTGTTTTTTGACCTTCATATTCCAACAAAGGGTTAAAACAGCAAAATGATTTACACATCAGATCATCATCAGACTCTGCTTCACCATCCAGAGTGATTTCATCCACCTGTGACCATCCGTCAGCCAGCAAACCAGCTCCAAAATCACCCAAAACCGACTCGCTACTGGTATATTACATACATGCTTTTAGACTTCATATTATAAACAAAGGGTTAAAAATAGCGACATGATTCACACATCAGAACACTCAGAGGAACCTGCCATCACTAGCCAGAGCAACCAGCTCTAACATCTCACAACCCAGAAATACAGCACAAACACACAGCCGGATCACTGTAAAGCCTTCTACTAGCTCTCTGCTTTAGCCTTCATATGGCAGCAAAAGGGTTAAAGTACCCAGTTTGGATTTTTCATTTTCATTTGAAAAAGAGCATAACTGTTCCTGTTTAATGGGATTTAGTTTAGCGTAGTACGTGAAACACTAAATAAAATCACTGTATTTGTAGTTCGCATAGTTTGTAGTTCATTTAAATGGTAAAAGGGGAAGAACAGGGAAAACACTAAACTGTATAATTTAAGAACAATGTATGAGATCATCTTCCACAGCGAATGCGTATACTGACCCAGGGTGTCTGTGGTGACGTAACGTCGTTTTCTGCTTGGTTCAGATGGGCAAGAGAAATCTTCATCAATAGATAAACAGAGCAAGAAAAGAAGGCATTTTCAAGGATTAGTGTGCACCATAACTACAAAATAGCATTAGCATGAAATAGCATCAACTCGGAGATAATCAGATAATGTTTATGTCAGCATTAATAAAGTAAGTGAACCTATTGCTCCTGAGTGCTGCTACTCCATGCAAAACGAATGTCTAACAAACCTGACATAGCTGGTTACTCCAACATTACACCAACATCGACAGAGCTGTAGGAGACCAATAGTGATATAAAGGATGTAACACCCAACACTAATGTAGCCTCATAGCCCCTTTGCCATACCTCTTCTGTCAGGGGTGCTTCCTGCAGAATTAGACATGAACAGGAGTCCTGCATCATAGAAAACTCCCATACTGTCTTTACCACTGCCAGCCGTGCAGGCAAGGTCATGCTTCTCAAAGGTGTCCCAGATCTATTAGTGAGAGCCAAGAAAGTAGTTCAGCCTTATGAGAAACTGTAGAACAGACTCAGTTTATATCACAATACCTAGATTTAGAGTCGGTTATTCATTCAGCCTGATGAGAAACTGTAGAACAGACTCAGTTTATATCACAATACCTACATTTAGAACCGGTTATTCACTCAACCTAATGAGAAACTGTAGAACAGACTCAGTTTATATCACAATACCTACATTTAGAACCGGTTATTCACTCAACCTAATGAGAAACTGTAGAACAGACTCAGTTTATATCACAATACCTACATTTAGAGTCGGTTATTCATTCAGCCTGATGAGAAACTGTAGAACAGATTATTATATTATATCATATATTATATCATATTTATACATCAGATTTATTTGTATAATGTTCAGTTTTTTACTACTTTCCAAAAAAGTTACTATTTTTTTTTTTAGAAGAAGAAACTGTATTTAAATATGTACATATCTTAAGTAAAATATATACATTTAAATATATAAAGTGGAAATATCAGTACTTTTAAGGTAATTACATTAGATAGAGTTAGTCTCAGTACTGGTACTTAATACTGACCAATATTTAAGGTTCAGGTTTCGATATTAGTTGGCATATCTTCTTATTGGAAGGCAGAGCATGGATAGATCAATTATGACATTCATTCTTAACACATGATGATTAAAAAAGGTTTGCTGGTAATCACTGACCTTGGTCTGGGTGAGTCTGTTCTTGTTGTTGACGTAGACGCTCTTGTCCAAAGCGACCAGGTCGACTTTTGCCTCAGGATCACCAGTAATTTTCAGATCAATAACTTCATTGGGGGTATATGCTGCTTTAACATCCTCTACATCAACTTTGAGCTTTGTGCATTAGAAAGAGAGAGAAGAGTCAGCAAAGGTTCACACATGTTGACTTGTTTACTTTAATTTGAGCTACCACACAAGTAGGGCTGTAGTACTCAAGTCCGGTCTCAGACTCAAGCCCGGACTTGTCTCGGACTGGATAGTATCTGTACTCAGACTTGCCTCGGTCCTGGCCAGTGGTCTTGCCACATTTATTTTATGGAGAAGGATTCTATCAAGAGTACTTTCATAGCAGATGGCAATAAATGAAAACATGTCATTTTATGAATGTACTGAATAGCTGGAAACCTAAGGACACACTGGCCCATCCAATAAGAAGTACCGCTGATAGACAGTTTAAGGCAGTCCGGCCATTCTAAACCTGAAGGAGGACAAATGTGCATTTAATACTATAAAAAGTCAACACTGGCAACTATTTCTAAAAACAAAAACAGTATTAACAAGAAATATGAGCTGATAAAAGATTTGTTAGATGTAGAGAAATTATTTTAACAAAAGGTTTATTGGGTCTTTTTTTACACTCTGTTTCAAATGTTTAGGTCTAGACACATTTTGTACCACTTTCAGGAGGTACACCTTAACCTTAACCTAGCCCATTCGGCTGCCGCCGGGCATGCTGGACTTTAACAACAGGCAAAATACTGGTATAGCACGAGGTTTAGCTGACTTAATTTTCTGCTATTTGAGTGTATGTGCATGGTTGTTGCTGTATCACATACAATTTGATATTTTTTCACACAGGCAGGTGAAGGTAGTGTTTGGAGTCTTGCCCAAGGACTCTATTGGTATAGTGGTATAGGGTGCTCACCCCCCAGGCGGGGATTGAACCCCAGTCTACAGCATAGAACTTGGTGAAGGACGTGTCTCTGAACATGTCTTCATCACGCTCACAATCATCAGATTTGAGCCACTCGAGGAAAGGGTCCGAAACACAACCCATATTACAAAGTGTTCTTCCACTTATTGTGTGCAGTAACACATTCCCAGCAGAGAGGTCGCCAAATCGCATTACATTAAAAAGCTATCGCAAAACAACTGTAATAATTTCTTTTGCTGATTCACTCACAAACCTGGGTTGGTAAATGACCTACCGATCCCATGCACGTGTCCTGCACATCAACCCAGATCGAATCAGCCACGACCTCAGAGGATCCCACATGGTAATACGCCACCACGCGGAAAGAGGGAAGCATTTCTTTAGTGACTTCAAGCGGCACGGCTATCACTGAGTTACCTGACGTTTGGTATCTTGAAGCTGTTACGATCCGTCCTTTACTTAGAATCTAGTTCAAAAAGAGCGGAAACATAATGCAAAAGTAAAAATCACATCAATACCACATGAATGAAATATTTTATACCTAAATTCTGTTGATCTGATACACAATATTCATGATGATGATGTGTGCATTTGAATAAAGTCAATTCAAAGCATCACCTTTTCAATGTGTTATTGGACACAGAGTGGGGACATAATGTATTTATGAACACATTGTTTTTCCCCTGAGCTGAAACAATCCTGTTTAAAGTACACACCATACAAGTAAGGTCTTGGTCTCCAACATGACTAGGCCCCATCATCAGCTTTAGGGTAAAATGATCCCCTGACTTTCAATAATCCAGTGATTCTATCTATATGTAGGTAGTTTTGGGAACCACCTCTAGGCTTGTAGGCATGCACTGTCATCTTGTTTTCTGCTGGAATTCCCTTCATGAGTGTACGCACCTTTGGACAAACAGAGTAACATTCACTTTTACTGCAAGCACATTTACCACATGGTGTAATCAACAAAATTACATCCACATTTGAATTATCTTAAAATTGGCAGTGAAGTGTGTTCAAGCAAATGCTGACATAGCTACCCTTATTGTTGGCCAATTGCTTATCATAAATACATACATAAATACACACATATATATACACAAATACATATATACATACATATATATATATATATATATATATATATATATATATGGCTGGGATAGGCTCCAGCACCCCACCGCAACCCAGAAGGATAAGCTGTTTAGATGATGTATGTATATATATATATATACACACACACATTTATATGTGAAGCATATGGTTTCCTTCCTTTCAACATTGTTTATGCTTTCCAGTGTCTACAACCACAGGTGTAATTTCCAGAGAGATTGGAGGATTACAACCTTCCAAGAATTTATATATAAGCCCCCCCAGTATTACTTATTTTCTAATACAACATAGCAAAATATTACTTTTCAAATATAGTAAATGCTACAGAAAATGCATTTATCTGTATTACTGATACTGATATACTAAATACTGAGCAAAGTACTTTGAGCACTTGAGCAGTTAGAAACACCTGTGCTCAATGCTCAATGAATGGCATCGGCATTTAATTCCAATATAAATGCTCAATAAATGCCATCACCATTTAGTCTTAGGCCCAATCCCATTTCACCCATCTCCCCTACCACTGAGCCCTTAGCCCTCCATTTCGCACGTTCACGTCTAGGGGTAGGGTGTTCCAATTTTTTGTTGAGATAGAGGGGTAGGGTGAAGTCTTAGGGCTACATAGCCCTCCAAACGGAGGTTTTTCAGAGACTCCAAACAGAGTGTTATGAAAAAAAGAAAAACCGGCAAGACGGCTGCATGAGCGACCAAAGAAACCCACAAGTGTGAGAATTTTCTGTTAAAAAATATGATAACCACTGTATTATCGTAGTTTAATGTCATTTCAGTGTATTATGCTTGTTTTCTTCATAACAAGCATAAAAAAATCGCTAATAGCATGCTAATGTTTTGGTAGCTAGCTAACTTTCCCTTTCCACCTTAAATAGTCCAGCAGTTCTGACGCCTGAAGCGGCAGAATATAACTGCTGTTCAATTTAAGGTGGAACGGGAAAATTCAAACAAGAAGCTGGAGAATATCTGACTTCAGCTTCATATCACTGCAGAATTAGGGGTGGGTGATGATAAATAATTGCCCCCCTTGAAAGCATATGATGCCCTAAATGTAGCTAAAGCCCAGCAGTGAGGAGCTGAACTTTACCCTCCTCTGCTGTCACTGAAGACGGGCCGGGTCGCCTACAGAGCAGTGCTAGTAGCCGTTAATGAAGCAGTGTTTTTTTTATTTTTTTTTTTATTTGAGGTTTGTCGCATTTCGTAGGGCAAGATTTTAACCACTACCCCTTGTAACTCAGTTCCAAGGGGTTAGGGTGACACTCAAAAACAAGGGGTAGGGGTAAAAAGAAGAAATGGGATTGGGCCTAAAGATATATGCTCAATAAATACCATCACCATTTAGTAGCAGATATACGCTCAGTAAATGCCAATACTTGAAACCTTCAGCTTTGTTTAGCGTTGTAGGACAGTGTGTTACAGAAAATCATTTCACCAGACTGTATATTAAAAGTGAGGCTTACAGTGATGTCTAGACTGGAGGCTCCTTTCAGGGTGTTGATCACGATGTTGGCAATTCCGTTTTTATCAGTCTTTCCTTTTACATTATCTGGTGTCACCGATATCTGAACATTTTCTGCTGGGGTCTCATCAGGGTTCGTTATATACACCTGTTGGATATGTTTAGAGAGTGATATCCATTAAAGGAATGCACAAAAATTACATTGTCAACAATACAAGAAAAATGCAAATTTACCATTAATTGGATAATTTATCCTGTTATGTAAATCTTGTGCTTTTTTGTTTGTTTGTTTGTTTTTTCATCTGTTTTTTTCTGTGATACCTCAATATCAGCTAATATTATCAGATATCCAAATATACCAATCTGGCACTAGTTGAAACAGATGAAGGTGTGATGTTTCTGTACCTTGAAATCATAGGGAATTCCAGGTTTAAAGTATTTTGGGGTTCTTGTGAAGTGAATGGTATATGGTGCTTTCACTATATGAATTCCCCTTCTCTCCGCCTCCACCATTTCACTTCCTGAAACACAAAGAGTTACATCACTTGGTGTAAGATGTTCATGCATTAGTGTGATTTATGAGTAAATAATAACACCAAAATTCCTAACCTTAGGTTTGGTCTTAAAAGTCAGATTTCATTTTTTATTACAGTCACCATTTTATTATAGCTTATAAGAAGAATTACCATTTTGTCTCCATATATTTTGAGAAAATGATTACTTATCCTTTTCAGTTGACCAAAACCAAAGATCACCATTTTCATCATCTGATGCTACATACATACATTAGTCTTCATAATTATGGAAATATGTACAATATAAAAAGATGACCAAGTATGGAACCCTGTGGTACACCAAAGTGAATTTCTTGTTTGTTTTGATATGGCATTTAATAATAGACTCATAAAGCATGTTGGTCCAGGTTTGTCATACTGCTGTTCATAAATTAAATGAAAAGTAAAGTGAATGCTATAAATATTTTATGATCAATACTATCAAAAGCAGCCCTTAAATCAATATGAAACAAAATTGCTAACTTTTTTCAGAATGTAGTCTTATTTTTTTTATTTATTTTATTTTTTTTACCAAAGCTTTTACTAAACTATGACCAGTTCTGAAACAAGACTGAGATGTTAATATTGTTTTTGATTGTAAATACTGAGAACAGAATACAACTATAAGCACAAACACAAATACAATTGAGGCACTCAACATGTGCTTAATCAGCAGCTCCTGTAAGTGGTTGGTGCCACTGTGTCTTCCACAGTTTATATGGATTCAGGGCCCACTTTTACCTTGAGGGTCCATGGTTTATGCCCGAAATCTGTTACACTGTTAGTAAAAGGTACTGTGCAAGTACCTTTTTCATTCATCACAGTACAAACAATTTAAATGTTCTCACAAAGGTACAACAATGATTTTAAGGCCCAATTGGGTACCTAAGTGTTTTCTCAGGGGGAAGGTACACATGTGTACGTTTTCATATCCTATTTTACAACTTGACAATAAAAATGCTGGAGACAGTACAAGGTGTACAGAATCAATACTACTTAAAAAACTGTAATGGAATATGGCAGAAATTCCTTAAGTGCCAATGAGAAGAATTCCCATTTTGAATGGTTGCACAGCTTAAATGGTTCCCACTTCCTGAAGGGTGTTGCCAGTTTTTATGATGGTTTCTCTGGAATTGCTGGCGGGTTGCTATGGTGTTGCGATGTGGTTGCTATGATGTTGCTAAGTGGTTGCTAGGTGGTTGCTATTGTGTTGCTGTGTGGTTGCTACTGTGTTGCTAAGTGGTTGCTGGTTGGTTGCTATGGTTTTGCTAAGTGGCTGCTAGGGGGTTGCTATTATGTTGCTAAGTAGATGCTAGGTTGTTGCTGTGGTATCACAGGTGGTCGTTATATGGTTGCTATGTTGTTGCTAAGTTGGTGGGTGCTATGGTTGTCCACTGCCACCTTAAATTTTCTGCCATCTTAACTTCACTGCTACCTAAAATCACGGCTACCTTAAATCCACTACCACCTTAAATCTGCTGCTACCCTAAATCTGCTACCTTAAATCCAGTGCCACCTTAAATACATTTCTACCTAAAATCTCCTGCTACTTTAAAAGTGTGTATGTGCGTTTGTGTGGTGTGCATGTGTGTGTTCAGTGTGTGTGTTGTGCGTGTGGTGTGTGGTTCGTAGAGTGTGTTTGTGGAGTATGTGGTGTGTTGCACTCCATTCATTCCTATGGGAAAAAAATCAACAAAATTCCACTGCTACATGGAAACCGTGCATCCAATCAAAAAGCTGTGCACAAGCCTGAATCACACAATCAGACCAGACTCTGGAACTGGAAAGGTGTTGATATCTTCAAAACGGGATGAGTTATGTGGCAAAAATCGAGCAGAAAAATAACAAAAATAAAAGGGAAAAAGAATAATCTAAAAAAAAAAGAATACTGATTTTATTATGTTCCTGAACTAGAGGTACTGATGACGCAGCTTTGAGGGTACCACCCCAGTGACGAGGTGAAACACCCCAGTGTATTAATATGGGGTACTATTGTGGCACTTTCTGTATTGCTGTTGATTTGTACCTTAAAACCAAATCATGATTTTTTTAAATTGCACTGAAGTTTGATTGGTCGAAAATTCCATGGCAAAACAGTGATATATATCATGAAATACTGGTATCTCTAATCTATGGGACATCCTCATTTTTATGTTCAAAATACAATTTTACAGGCACCTGCTCTATTGACCATAATTCCCCTTAAACTCATCATTCAAACAAACAAAGTGACTAATAGGACCCACTCTACTTACCACTTTCAGTGAGCACGCTGACAGATACGTACAGTGTTTTCCCAACAAGTTCATCAATATTTGGGAAGGTTTGCAGGATGTGGTCTCTTCTGAGAACAGCTGTACCTTGTCCATTAACAATCTACAAAGTTCAGACCAGAAGCAAGACATTTTAAGCTGTGTGCACGTGTCCATTACTGTGGAGATGATTTATTTTGTAGGGACAATTTTTAACTCCTAGAAGTCACAGTTACCACTGGTGATTAAAAAGAATGTAATTTTTTTATGAATTGTTTCTGACTTATAACTCGTTGGAACAAGTGGAGAAATTCTGTGTAAAGTGCAGGTTTAGAACCTTCAATCCACACCATATTTTCCAAAAAAGGAAAATGACCTTTTATATTTTGTGAAGCCACATAATCAGTCTTTGCTACTTATATAAGTAGCAGTTTAAATCTTTTTAACATTGACATCAACAGAAAGACTCAAACCAGTCAATGCAGAACATAAATGTTCATGCATTTATGTAGTTAATTGCGTAATTCAAGTAATTACAATTGTATGCAAAAGTCTGGGCACCCCTGTCCAATTTACATATGTTGTTGATTATTAAAGGGAAAAGAAATAAAAACAAACTCTGCAACAAACTGCTTTAAAATAGTGTTAATTTACAGTTACTATATATTTTCTAACTTAAATGACAGAAAACCTGTTAGGCTCTAACTGACTTGTTAGGACTGGCCCGGCAGGTCAAGAACTGCCATTAAGAACTGTCGGCTGATGAAAATTTCAGAGCGTAACAAATTCTCTGACTCTTCAAACCTTGTGCTAACACTCAAAAAACATGGGCTCCTCTAAGCAGCTGGCTGACCATCTAAAAATTAAGCTGGGTACAAAGCAAGAGAAGCCCACTTTATTTTATTTAGGAAATGCAAAGTCCTTAAGACAAGCAAATGCCTCTTGATCTACAGCATGGTGAGCAAATAATATATATAGAAAACATGAATGGAACAGATACAATAGAAAGACACATGAATTCTGATCTGAGAGTTCTTGTTAAAGTCACGTGGCTATAAATCAGATATGCATCCGCTCTAGAACCACATTTGTGAGTAACAGGAAACAAACTTGTGTCCACGCAGCCCTGAAAATCACTTCGTCAAAGAATATATTTTGTTTTCATTTGTAAGTTATATTTGCTAGTATGGTTCGGTTCTGGGACCTTCCTGGCCTTCCATGTGCATACATGGAAAGCCTAAAGCAGGGTCAGCAGAAGAAAACCCCCCCAAACAATCGTACCGGACAAACCTCCAGGCAGCAGGAGGTTGTGAAGATGCTTAGAGAGGAAGCAGAGAGATAGCCAGGCTAGGACAGCTCATATAAGCTATGTATGTTTAGCCTTTGTATGTGTAATGGTTTAAACAATGAAACACAGGTTTCCACTTAGAGTAACCCAATGAATTCAAATAGGCTTTAATTTTTAAGCTTACAGAATCACAGAAGTACTGGGTAACAACACTGATGCAAATTACTCCATCAACAACTTTCACTTCAGATGAAATATAAAAGAATTCATTAGAGCAGTAAAAGAGTGACATAAGCTTCTTCTCGTAAATAGTGAAGACAAACTTGCATCACTGGATGCCAAACACCTCACAGTCCAACTGGATAAAATATGCCACCTGCAAGATGCTACTACACTGTTATAAATAAAGGTACTGTGCAGGTACATTTTTCATTTAGCAAGGTACAAACAATGTAAATGGACCCTCAAAGGTACAACAGTGGTTTTAAGGTCCAATTATTTGTTCCCAGTGGACAAAACATATTTGTATCGTTCCATAGCCGAATGTTTTAAAACAGAACAATGAAATAAAAAGCCTGGAGGCGAGACGGGGTGTGTGGAGTCAGTACAACTTAGAAAATTTCATTTCGATAGATTATGGTACAATTATGTTCCCTGACCAAAGGTACTGAGATGTATCCCTTGAGGGTACCACCCTCAGTGACAAGAGGGGAACTGCCCCAGGGACAGGCTCATACCTTTTTTTTCTGAGAGTGTACGGTGTCCCTTTGGATGGTAAAACATCAACTTGCCCCACCAAACTGCAGACATATTCTCTGTTTAAAAACCCACTCAGGGAGCCGAATTCACCTTACATGTTTCCAGAAACACAGTTTACCAAACAAATCAATTTCACCATCAAACAATAAAACTCTTACTTTTCTTTAGCTTTGTTAAGGCTCCACAAAAACTACTGTGCATAGCCATATTACTACTACTCCCTGAGGAGTACCAGGAAGTAGTGTACCTACTGTAAATGCACTACAAGCAGGGCCTATTATGCAGTATCTATGTCCAGTAGTTATATTGGCGGTGTGGCTCAGCTCTGCAACCTCTCTGCCCTTCCATGTGCACATATGGAAAGCTCAAGGCAGGGAGAGCTTCAGAAAGATGCCCAAAACAACCATACCAGGCAAACCACCAGCCAGCAGGAGATTGCAAAGTGGCTTGCAGAGGAGTGGCGGGAATGGGCTGGCTAGAGCAGCTTAAATGAGAGCCCTGATCAATTTAGCCAATCATAGGCACAGCAGGAGGTCAGGGGAGCCATCAGCTGATAACAGCTGGTGATTTGAGACTGGGGCCTGGGCTTGAATTAGTGGCCTGCCTGAACTAACTATGGCCTAAGTACAGTGTAGGCTGTCCAAACATTTGCACATGCCATAATTACTATTTAGTTTTTTTCTGTTTTTGAAGTTCATGAAATATAAAGTTAGCGTGCATCAACATTTGCTGGTTTTTTAAGTAGTTTGCTGCAGAGGCTGTGTTTAGGGCTGAAATTTACAATGATTTCCATAATTGATAAATTGATTCATTATGGCTTCGATTAATAAGGAAAAGAAAAAGTGTGGTCAGTAGTCTGTCAATAACAAAATATTTCACATCATAAACCACGTTTCTTTCAACAAATTAAAGACACTAAATCATAATTTTATCAAGATTAACAATGCCACAAGATGCCTTCTGCACCGCCATCAAAAACAGAAACAATAAACAAGAGATGAACAAATCTTAGCAGTCCAAGCACGATTACCTAGTACTTTTACTATACAGAAGTAGTTCTACAAGAACTTTGCAATGCTGTTCAAAGTATTTTTCGTGGTTGGTAACATTATGTAGTCAAAGCTGATATTAGTGAGCAGATGCCACCTACCAATTAACCTGTCAAAAAACAATAACCTCCTTCACATGTCCTTATTAAAGAAGGCCGAGAGGAAGACGTCGTGTTCTGAGACACATAAGCTGGACGTCCGTCCCACCGCCGTCTTTTAAAGATCAGAGCATAAACTTCATCTCCTCTGCAGACCAGTTTCTGCTCCGCCACATTGAACGTTATAAACTTTCACTATGACGTGACGAACATGATCAGAACGGACTTAAACTTTCCGATAGGGAATGTAATCAGATACAGGCGTTTACACTGATATTATTCTTCTATTTAATGGATTATTCACAGGATTACCCATCAGATAGAAGCTGTATTCTGAATGTCCTCAATCAGACTAGACTATTCTGATAGAGGTATGTACATGGATGTATGGATGCAATAGTCAGATTATTGGTGGATTATCGGGCTGCATGTAAACATGGCTAGTGTTTATTTTGCTAAACCAAAACAGAGCAGACAACGAGGCACTGTTTATATCTTTCTTGCAGCCCTAGTTGTTTTTACTTCTTTTCCTTCAAAAATCAAAAAAGTATGTCATTTGGTCAGGAGAACCAAAACTCCTGTATGCAACTGTATGTAAATCGAATATATAGCAAAAAAAAACTGTAGACTTCTAGGAGTTAATGGACATAGAGTGTGGGTGAGTGTGGGTGAGTGTATGATTGCACACAAGTATGTCTACAGTCTTACGTCAACTCTCGCAAGGGAACTCTGCAGGTTTATCTTGTTGCCTTCATTGAGGAGGCCAAATACTGCAAAAGCGCTACCTTGAACCTCTTGTCCAAACAAATACCTTTAAAAATAAAACAATAGTGAATAAATAATACTAATTAATCTACAGCAATGGTTACTAATCTTTTTGTTAAAATCCAATAACAAACTGACCCCACAAACTATGTTTCATTTTGGGGGAAATCAAGCATGTTTTCTTCACATTCATATTATTCTAGAATCTTATTCACACTGTTCTAGAATGTTCTCTTCCCATCCAATGGCCATGCTCAGGCTTCCATCTGCAGGTCAGTCACGCAGACCAGGGCAAGCAGCAGTCAACTGAATTAGGGCAAAAATGCCCGCTTCAACCCCACTGTCCACCCTGGTCTTCAGATGGAGCAGGAATACATCCCACCACACCACTGTTTATTCATCATTCTTTTCCTTTTTTCACATCTTGAATTTACTGGTAGACCCACTTTTCCAACTCAGCAAAGCCTAAAAATCAATTATGCTTTTTTTTTTTTTTATTACATTAAATATGTGAATTCACATAAAATGGGTGGATAAAACCTCACTCATGTAAAGTAACAGCATGTTATCTTCATCATCAAAATGTGATTATAAATAACTATTATTATTATTATTATTATTATTATTATTATTATCTTTATTATTAGGTCTAATTAGATTTATACTGTTTGAAGGATGTACAGTGCTTGCAACACAAAAAAAGTAAAATACCATTTCTGTAGCAGTGAATCACAGAATTCATGTATAAAAACCAAAAAGAAAAAAAAGGAAATAAAAAAGAAAGAAAGAAAGAAAGAAAGAAAGAAAGGAAGACAGAAAGAAAGGAAGACAAAAAGAAAGAAAGAGAAAGAAAGAAGCGAAAAAAGCAAGAAAAGAAAGAAAGAAAGAAAGAAAGAAAACGAAAAAAGAAAGAAAGAAGAAAGAAAGAAAGAAAGAAAGAAGAAAAAGCAAGAAAAGAAAGAAAGAAAGAAAGACAAAAAAGAAGCAAGAAAAGAAAGAAAGAAAGAAAGAAAGAAAGAAGCAAGAAAAGAAAGAAAAACAAAAGAAAGAAGCAAGAAAAACAAGAAAGAAAGAAAGAAGCAAGAAAAAGAAAGAAAGAAAGACAAAAAGAAAGAAAGAGAAAGAAAGAAAGAAAGAAAGAAAGAAAAAAAGAAGCAAGAAAAGCAAGAAAAGAAAAAGATAGAAAGACAAAAAGAAAGAAGCAAGAAAAGAAAGAAAGAAAGTAAGAAAGAAAGAAAGAAGCAAGAAAAGAAAAGAAAGAAAGAAAGAAAGAAAGACAAAAAGAACGAAAGAGAAAGAAAGAAGTGAGAAAAGAAAGAAAGAAAGAGAAAGAAAGAAAGAAGCGAGAAAAGAAAGAAAGAAAGAGAAAAGACAGAAAGAAAGAAAGAAAGAAAGAAAGAAGCAAGAAAGAAAGAAAGAAAGAAAGAGAAAGAAAGAAAGAAGCGAGAAAAGAAAGAAAGAAAGAGAAAGAAAGAAAGAAGCGAGAAAAGAAAGAAAGAAAGAAAGAGAAAGACAGAAAGAAAGAAAGAAATAAAGAAAGAAAGAAAGAAAGAAAGAAAGAAAGAAAGAAAGAAAGAAATAAAGAAATTATAGAAAAAGGAAGGGAATTAAATGGAAACAAAGGACGGAATCAGTGTTTTTCTGAGAGCTCCTCCTGACTGTGATTGGTCCAAACATTACATAGTGCTTTCATTTTTCTGTTATTTGAGTCACTGTTTAGTAGAAAAAGGAGTCGAGAGCCTGTGGAAGATTATGAATTTGAGGCAGATTAATGCAAAGTTGTGTAGCGCACTTCAAAACCCAATTCGTTACATCTGATGTAAGTTAATATGAAGAGTCTTTATTAAAAGTGATTTTGCAGCATTTCTTTTGGTCAATTCATCATGAAATTTTCAAACAATGCACAGGGCAGCTGGTGTTTTCAAATGATGGAGAAAAATAAAAATTGACAAAAATGGAGATTCATGTTTTTCTATGCTCGGCGACGATATGCATATTTTGAAGTGCCTGCTTCCCTTTACATGGTGAGAGCATTTCAGGAGGATCGGACACTGCATTGACATAAAGGATCTTAAACTAAAGTAATGTACATTTGTACCGTTTATAACACTGTTATTATGCATCATTACCAACTAATGGAACTTAGAAGGAGAGTTTCATTTAGACGTTTATATCAGTTTTATGAAGAGTTAAAGAACAAAACTGATGTCTATATAATGTCATTTACTTCAGCTTATATCTTGTGATTATTGACATGAGCTTCAGTATCAAGCATTGCTTTATAAACATGCTATTCAGTGCTTATGCAAGTGTTCTGATGTCCTTATGTAGGCAGCCTTCAAATAAAGTGTTACCTAATATTGATACATTAACAAACATTTAAATTGAGAACTTTTTGCCCTTCTGGAAGTTTATATTGTGGAGTTACTTTAGTAATAATTACAACATTTACACCAAAAAAGTGAGAAAGTGTTACAAACACGGCCCTAAAGTTAGAACCTAAGAGAACATATGTGTGAGTCAACTTACATGGCCTTAATTTCAACACTTAATGTTTCATCACCCGTGTAGAAGAAAGATCTCTCAGGCGTCAGCTTTACTTCAAAACTGGGCAGCACTAGGAAGTGGAGGCAGAACTTTTAGAAAGCAATACTGAATGTAAAATATTGTTAGTATATCCTTAATATCTGAAATAAAGAATTGGGGGAACAGATTTATCTATTTGTCCATCTATAAATGTATTTAATATTTTGGATCTTATACTAAAGACAGTAATCTTACCGTAATCCCTGACTTCAAACTCTGCAGTGAATTTCTTGTGTGGATAATTCCTCAAGCTTGCAACTATTTTCCAGGTTCCAGTGCTTTCAAAACAGAAGACCAAACATAAGATCAATCACATGAAGTACAACCCAAATTCCAGAAAACTTTGGGAAGCTGTGTAAAAAAATGTCAGTTAAAACAGAATGCCATGATTTGCAAATCTCATAGACCCGTATTTTATTCACACTAGAACATTGAACACATATCAGATGTAGAAAGGGAGACATTTTACCATTTCGTGAAAAATATTAACTCATTTAGAACTTGATGGCAGCAACACATCTCAAAAAAGTGACAGGGGCCGTGTTTACCACTGTGTAGCATCCCCTCTTGTTTTATTTTTTTGTCCATTATTTCCAAAAAGTACTTCAATTTTTGATTAATCGGACCACAGGACACTTTTCCACTTTGCCTCAGTCCATCTTAAATTAGCTTTGGCCTAGAGAAGTTGGCAGCGTTTCTGGATGCTGTTTATATATGGTTTCTTCTTTGCACGATACAGCTTTAACTCGCATTTGTGGATTGCACAACAGCACTGTGCTCACAGACAGTGATTTCTAGAAGTGTTCTTGAGCCCATGCAGTGATTTCCAGTAAAAAATCATGCCTGTTTTTAATGCAGTGCCCCTGAGGGCCTGAAGATCACGAGCATTCAATACTGACCCTCTGCCTTATCCCTTGCGTACAGGGATTTCTCCAGATTCTCTGAATCTTTTGATGATATTATGTATTGTAGATGGTGTGATTTCCAAAGTTTTCACAATTTTACGTTGAAGAACATTATTCTGAAATTGTTCCACAATTTTTAGATGCAGTTTTTAGCTGATTGGTGAACCTCTGCCCATCTTTGCTTCTGAGAGACTCTCTAAAATGCTCTTTTTATACCCAGCCATGTGAGCTAGTTGCAAATTGCTTCTCCAGCTGTATTTGTTTTAGTATCACTTACTTTTCCAGACTTTTGTTGCCCCTGTCCCAACTTTTTTGAGATGCGATTTGGCCATCAAGTTAATGAGTTAAAGTTTTTTTTCATGAAATGGTAAAATGTCTCACTTTCAACATATGATATGTGTTCTATGCCCTATTGTGAATAAAATATGGGTCTATAGGATTTGCAAATAATTGCATTCTGTTTTTATCTACATTCATTTACATTTTACACAGCGTCCCAACTTGGAATTGGGGTTGTATTATCAATAGCATGTTACCATTTAAATTCTTCTATCAAAGATTCAACTTATTGTAAAATGAAAGATTTAAGCTACTTTGCACAATGACAAGTTCAAATTAAAATTGCCATAAAAAAACAGGATGTTAATATGCTATTGCTGGGTTTGTAACAGTTCCATTGTAAATGGTAGTTACCAGTGCTGGGTGATATATTCCTTATTCTGGTCACACTGTGATACTGGCGTTCAGTTTACTTTTATGCACTTGTGTGTAGTTAGTCGTAATAGACTATTAAAATGTTTGTGCTCAGCTAAATCGAGCTGATGAGGTTGAGGTCTGCAAAAAGTCACCAGCATGCAACAGGCCCAGCACCAGAACATTAATGACCAGCAGCAAAAACATCTTCAGCCTTTCAAAATGTTGGTGAAGGCACAGGCCTTGTAGCAACAGATTTTGTGGAGCTTGCTGTAAACTTAAAACAATTCCTGCTCCTCAGAAACAGGTAACACTCCCTCCTAAACCCGACCCTTTACTTCCAGAGAGCCAAGGGTTTCACAGTGATGCTTTGTTTGAATTGACTTCAGTGGACACGTCTAATTTTAGCACCACTTCATTGATTCTGGATGGGTGTAATCTGCAGTATAACACCTGAAGATTCTTTAGTTCACTGTTGGGTCTTGATTTTCTTTTACAAAATACACATTCACTGAGCACTTTATTAGGGGCACTACACTAATACTGAGTAGGGCCTCCCTTGCCTCTCAAAACAGCCTTAATTCTTCGTGGCATGAGTTCCACAAGATGTTGGAAACATTCCTTTGAGATTTTGGTCCATGTTGATATGATTGCATCACGCAATTCCTGCATATTATTTAGATACACCTTCATGCTGAGAACCTTCTGTTCTACCACATTCCAAAGGGGTTCTATTGGATTCAGAACAGGTGACTGGGAACTCCACTGAAGATCACTGAACTCACTGTCATGCTAATGAAAGCTGTTTCAGTTGACTGTTGCTTTGTGATATGGTGCATTATCATGCTGGAAGCAGCCATTAGAAGATGAATTGTGGTCATAAAGGGATGCGCATGGTCAGCAACAATGCTCAAATAGGCTGTGGCATTCAAGTGATGATTGATTGATATTAAGGGGCCCAAAGTATGCCAAGGAAACACTCCCCACATTACTACACCACCTCCATCAGCCTGGACTGCTGACCCAAGGCAATTTGGCCCATGGATTCATGCTGTTAGCACCAAATTCTGGATCTGCCATCTGTGTGCCTCAGTAAAATCGAGATTCATGAGGCCAGGCTACATTTTTCCAGTCTTCAACTGTCCAGTTTTGGTGAATTGTGCTCACTGCAGCCTCAGCTTTCTGTTCTTGGCTGACAGAAATAGAACCCAACATGGTTTTCTGCTGTTGTAGCCCATCCACCTCAAGGTTTGACATGTTGTGTATTCCGAGGTGGTTTTCTGCTCACCACAAATGTACAGAGAGATTATCTGAGCTACTGTGGACTTTCTGTCAGCTCAAACTAGTCTGGCCATTCTCCGTTGACCTCACTCACCAACATGGCATTTCTCAAGAGCACAAAAGTGCAACCAATTCTGTGGTGTAATAACATATCATGAATCTGATGTAAACTTTTTGTTAGGACCTTTCTCAAGAACACATTTAAGACAAAACTTAGGATGACATTGGGGAATGAGGACCAATGTGCTTACAATGTTCTTATTCATACAACAATATTACAATAAGAAAATATCCAACTAAAGACAAACACATGATTATTGTAAAAGTATGTTGTATTAAATAATGAGTTTTTGAGAGTCCCATGAGAATGAACTGTTTTGGTGAGATTTCTGAGTGTTACTTTAAAATACCATTATGCGTTTTACACAGGTGAAAAGCATATAAAGCAATTTTTAAACTGCAAAAATCAGTTTCAAGAAAGAACACAAAGGCTGCAATTTAGCTGTATGTCAAAACCAACCTTTCGGGTTTATACCACCCAACGAACCTTTCGGGTCTATACCCTTCGAGCGAAGCATACATACGGTTTGTTGAAACGATGATCCCTTCTGGTGTCTATAAACATGTAAAATCATATCAGTCATACAAAATCAAGTTTGCAGTCACTCTTTTAAACAATATAAACTAATTTCATTGCAGATGATTGTATAAAAGTATCCTAATATGCTGTGCAACTTCATGTTTGAAATAGTTAATAGAAAGGAAAATGTTAAAAACATCCAGAATGATGAACAGAGCTGTAGATAATTTCATAACCACTGATAAAGCTCTACAGCATCAAGAACGGAGGAAGAATAGAGTGAGTGCCTAATGGTCCGTGTATCTTCTGGTCATTTGATTTTCAAAACCAGCGTTGAAAAACGGGAAAATAGGTCAGTTCTCGTTTTTGGTTCTGTTATTGTCAGTGTAAAAATCAAGAAGTTTTTGTCCTCATTACTGGGCAGAGTGACTTTCATTTCTCTCTGATTTCTCTGTTAAATAGTCGGAGTCCTGTGGCAGTCTCCTCCATATCGCTTCAGTTTCTAATAGTTGAATACCTACATAAGACATACAAGCACGTATATAAACGCCATATATGACTTGGCCTATCTTGTCAACATTCATGCCCGATCTTTCATGTCTTTATCATTTTTTTACTGCTTGATTTCTGAGCTTCTGCGACCGTACATGCCCTCTGTACGTTTATTTTCAGTTCAAGTGATAGAAAATTTTACATCTGGATAAATAAAATATGCCCCTTTATTCCGTTGCTTGTTATTTGACTTTAAGATTAGCTTGTGAAATTGTAAAAGGAAGCTATTTCTTGATTTTTTCCACTGACAATAATAGAATCAGAAACGAGATCCAACCCATTTGATTTTAAAATGAAAATCAAAGGAACAGAAGGCACACGGACCCATGTATCTTTTGGTCATGCGATCCTCATTTCAAATCCAGTATTGGAAAATTCGCTGCTCTAACGCGCCTCTAAAGCTCCTTTCCCCCAAAAAAACAGAGGCAGCGCCGCTGCTGCCACATAGTTATAAGAACACCGAGAACCGACATGATCACAGGACAGCGCATATGGCGTGGCACAGATTTTGCTAATAGAACAAAGACAACAAACACATATAAAATGTTGTATAGCCTTTCATAATGACAGATCTAGGCTGACGTTTTCAACACTCATGCTGGGTCTTTCCTGTTCTCGTAATTTCTTAACTGCAACAGCCTGATTTTTGAGCTCCTGCAACCATGGGTGCGTCTGCAAGTTCATTTTTGGTTAATGTGGCCTCTTAAGCTCCTTGGAACCACCGGTGGTTCCAAAATGCACTTTGTCATATTCTTCATAAATTTCATATTTCATAAGCTACATTCAAAAGCTGGGGGTCATATGAGAGCTGTAACTGTCTTCTTTCCAGAATAGATGTGTGATGTCATTTTAAACCCTTATAATAAAAGAAGCTGAACTCACAATGTTTTTTTTCTACTGAAAGTCGACCCATTTTTCCACAAATCTGGGCTATAAACTATAAACAGATGGCGTCTCTTCAGTGATCTGCTCTGTAAAAATTATTTTTATAAAATAATACAAACAGCGTCTAAGATTTTTGGCTTTCAGCAGTAAATTGTAAGCATATTGCAATATGTTTATGATGATAAAGCACATGTTCTGTTTATTTGAGGGGAGCTTTTACAAAAAAAATAAACAAAATTAAAAAATTGGCATTCTACGCAGCCCCGCTGGTGACATCCTGTATAAATAAAAATAATGCGTGGCCACACCTTACTAACGCATGGGAACGAGATCCTAATGCATGGCCATGACTTAGTAAGGCATGAGAATGAGATCACGCTTTACTAAGTCGTGGCCACGTTTGTTTGTTATTTGATTTTATGATTAGTCTGTGAAACTAATCACACACGGACCCCTAATGCTTTAAATACTCAACATTTCAAAAGTAGACATTAAATTTTAAGGTGAGTAAAACTTGTCAATATAGAATGACAATATATGACTGATTTAAGCACTTTTTAGTGTTCCCAAAACAGCTGAAATATGGTGCCTACTCCATGATTTGTAAATTTACATTGCATAATCACATCAGACATGATTTCAGTCAGTGTTCATCATTGTTTTCAAGTATATTTTTCACAAGTATATTATAACCTTATTAACAATATGTAACAATACATGTGGGCTTATTTTCACCATAAAAACCATCGGAAAATTGTCATGAGCTTTTTCATAGACATGTGTTAAACATTTTAAGGGCCAACAAACAGTAAAACTACACTTGTTTGACTTTGGTGGTGGTGTGTTAGTGTGTGTTGCACTGGTCTGAGTGGATCAGACACAGCAGTGCTGCTGGAGGTTTTAAACACCTCAGTGTCACTGCTGGACTAAGAATAGTCAACCAACCAAAAACATCCAGCCAACAGCGTCCTGTGGGCAGCGTCCTGTGACCACTGATGAAGGACTAGAGGATGACCAACACAAACTGTGCAGCAGCAGATGAGCTATCGTCTCTGACTTTACATCTACAAGGTGGACTGACAAGGTAGGAGTGTCTAATAGAGTGGACAGTGAGTGGACACAGTGTTTAAAAACTCCTGCAGCACTGCTGTGTCTGATCCACTCGTACCAGCACAACACACACTAACACACCACCACCACGTCAGTGTTACTGCAGTGCTGAGAATGATCCACCACCCAAATAGTACCTGCTCTGTGAGGGCCCATGGGGGTCCTGACCACTGAAGAACAGGGTAAAAGGGGGCTACCAAAGTATGCAGAGTAACAGATGGACTAAATATTGTTAATAGTGTAAATAATCATATTCTTGGAGGTCTCATTGTGGACCTAGTGTGGTTGTAATGTTACCCTAATGTGCATTAAATGGTAAAAGCTATTAACCGATTTGTGACTTGTTCCTTCTTGGTTCGTCCTCCAAACTTCACATTTTAAATCATATGTTACTGCGAGTTCATAACAAATAGGCCCACATGAAAATTTGGCTGGCTCAGGGACGTTATATCGGGTTGGAGAGAACTAATCTGAGCAGAGTCTCGTAAAAACTTACCACAATTTCCACCACCAAAGGGAGTGAAACAAGCTTTGCGTCTGTGCCCAAAGGAAAAAGCTTGTATTGGACTGAAAAAGAGAACGCAGAGTGAAGCACTATCAGCACATCTGGGTTGCTTAAACATCGAAACATGGTGGAAGACATAGGACTCAAGGAGGCAGGATGCAAGGCCCAATCCCATTTCACCCCTCGCCCCTACCGCTTAGACCTTAGTCCGCCGTTTTAGACATTAACGTCTAGGGGTAGGGTGTCCCGATTTCTGTTGAGATAGAGGGGTAGGGTGAAGTGTTAGGGCTATATGGCCCTCCAAACAGAGGTTTTACAGAGTCACACTCCAAACAGAGTGTTTTGAGGCAAAACGGCTGAAAAAGAGACCAAAGAAACCCACAAATGTGAGACTTTTCTCTGTTAAAAAATTGCGGTCACCACTGTATTTTCTTAGTTTAATGTTGTTTCAGTGTATTATGGTCGTTTTCTTCATAACAAGCATAAAAATTATAGCATGCTAATGTCTCGCTAGCTAGCTAGCTTTCCCGTTCCACCTTAAATAGTCCAGCAGTTTTGACGCCCGAATCGCCAGAATGTAACTGCTGCACCATTTAAGGTGGAATGGGAAAATTTGAATAAGAAGCTGGTGAATATCTGACTTCAGCTTCATATCACCAAAGAATTAGGGGTGGGTGATAATAAATAATTGCACCCCTCTTTGAAGGCATATGATGCCCTAAATGTAACTAAAGCCCAGCGGTGAGGAGCTGAACTTTACCCTCCTCTGCTGTCACTGCAGACGGGCCAGGTTTGTTTTTTTTTTTTGAGGGTCCCATTTTGTAGGGCAAGATTTCAACCACTACCCCTTGTAACTCAGTTCCAAGGGGTTAGATTGACACTTGAAAACAAGGGGTAGGGGTAAAAAGAAGAAATGGGACTGGGCCCAAGTGTGAGCTGGGGCTTTTAGGAAGGAAAAAGGAAAAAAAAAAAGGGAGTGCCAAAGAAAAGAAAATAAATACTAACAGAACAAAACAGAGAGCAAAACACATTGGAATGGACACGCGAAGTAAGAACCTGAGAACACACAAAACAAACAACACCAAGCAAGAAACAGGACAAACACAAGGGAGACACAAGAAACACTTGGGGCTAATGAGAAGGCAGGACTACAGACCAGAGACAGAGAACCAGGAGGCAGGAACAAAAAACATAGAGAAGCACATGGCCAGATATGAGGGCAAGACAGATGCTACAAACATGTATCATAATATCAAGAATCACATATTTCAGTGGGGAGATGGAGAACCTGGCCTAATGTTTATCATGGTTCCATAACTGAAAGTAACGCTGAGTGTGTTTACATGCACTCCATAATCTGATCATAATAGGATTTCTGCAGTTATCTGATTATTTAAATGGTCATGTAAGCAGCACACTCAAATTTCTTTCTATAAATCTGATAAAGAGAGCTGGATTTTAGCTCAGTAATCAGATTTCTCAGTGCATGTAAACTCTTACTCAGATTTCTTTCAGATTTCTCAGTCTGCACACGAGTGACAACAGACGGGGGAAATAAGCGAGCAGCGCCGCCGCAAGACGGCAGCAAAACACTTTTGGAGTGACACTAAAACCAAATACATGCTTGACGAACTAAAGAATTTAAATATTTTTCTTTTTCCAGATGATGTTTGTTCATGTTTTCAGATAAAGTGGCGCAGTATGAAGGTTTGAGGTTTACATTACGTTGACATCATGTCTTCTTCTGTGAGTTTATTGGTCAGTTTCAAAGCAGAAATCTGATTACTGTCTGACTCATGTAGACCCAGAGTTTCCCCATTATCTGATTACCCAAGTGCATGTAAACACACTGAGCGGATTACTGACAAAAACTCACCTGTGCTATCAGGAGTGTATACAGTTTTGTCTATATGTATGAATATATAACCCGGCTGGAAGGAGACCATGACAATCTTCTCCATGGAATGACGTCCATCAAAGGTTGCTTTCAGATAAACATACTGGTTTTTCTTTGGGTCTGTGTCAAAAATGATGCCATTAAAGGGGATCTACAAAAGCGATCCGTCAACATATTGGAATTGGTTATCATCATGAAATGTATAATAACTTTATTGTGAGAAGAGCAGGCTATGGAATGACTGTACAAACTGGACAGATGATGATAAATTACAGCACCAGGCCCTGATTGCTGAGTTAATAAACTACTGCTCTGAAAGAGTTGCAGCTTCTCCGTTGATGTTACTGAAAGGAAAAGTTAACACTCACATTTACACCAACAAGAGCTTGAAATTTTTCCTCAGGCTTTAGCGTCACCGTTGATGAGTAGAGAACCACATCTTGGGTGGGAAAGTTCATCACTTGGATATTTACATTTAAGGGTTTTTGGGCTTTGTAGTCCTGCACCTCCACAAACACCCGCTCTTCTGTGCCCACCTTCATTATCTGGGGAGCTGAAATGATGTACCTAAAAGAGAAAAAGTAGAAGTTATTGAGGTCTGGCATTTACTTTAAAATTATGTTTTTATAAAAAAAACGAATTTACTAATAATAATACTAATAATCATTTATATGGTGTCTGTAACTTCTGACATTGAACATGTGCCAAGTGACTACATTTTGGGGAAACAGTAAATATGTAAACTTGTGTGACCGTGTGACAGAAAACCAGACGCTTGCGGACGTAAAGACGAAGGTGGTTTAATAAAAGCAGCAATCGTAGTCAAAAAGGGCAAAACACAAATCGTAGTCAAGATACAGGCCAAAAGTCAAAACACAGATCAGTCAGACAAGCGAAAGTACCAAAGGATGAGGCAAAAAGTCAAAAACAGAGCAAACGAAGCAAAGGTCAAAACACAGAATACAATCAAACAGGAATACAACGCTCTGTGGGTTTCTGGGAAACAATACCTCACAGATTCTGACTAAAGCCTTGGCTTATATACTCCTAACTATCTGTCATATGATCAAACACACAGGTGAAAACAGTGAATACTCAGGGGATTGAGAGCGCTGATAGGAGCACCTGTGAGAGTCCGAAGTCACATGAGACCCCATTGAATTCTGGGCAATGGAGTTCTCTCCAGAGTTGGATTCCAAGTGCGGATGTTCAGTCACGTGATCTCCCAGAGAATTCTGGGAGATGAAGTCTGTGTCTTCCAGAGAGTTGGCCGAATGTGTGACAACTTGATAAAGTGAACCATTGCTTTGGTTTATGTACCAAAATCAGTCCACATTCATTTGAACATGACCAACTATAATAGATGGTGAAATATGAAAACATGCACCTGTAGACTTTGCAAGTGTGTATGCTAAAGTCAGATTTAGCCAAGCTAATGCTACTAAAGATGGACAGATATGGGAATAAATCATAACACATTTTACTGAAATCAAGATGCATGAATAAGAATGGCTGATTATGCTTTATTTTAAGGTCTGCTTCTCAATAATTACTAAACTCTTACCAAGCAATAAACAGTGAACTAGTAAATGGGACCATATCATTAGTAAGCAAGCTAAGAAATGTTGTATAAATATGTTTATATGATGAATTAATAAGGTCTTCTCTAAATCAGTTCTCTAAATTTATGCTCTAAATGGACACATTTCAGCAGTGGTGGACAGTAACTAAGTAAATGTAATGACTTTTTATTTTCACTCCACTACATTTCAAAGTCAAATATCTTACTTTTTACTCCACTACATTATGAGAAATCTGTCGTTCCTTTTGGTTTATGTGTGTATAAAAACGTAATGTCAAAACGAAAGAAGCGTGAAGCGAGAACACCAATCAGGGCACAGTGTGCACTTTGTTTTGAGCTTGTTTTGACCTGTTGGTCATACCGACCCAGTGCAGCACACGGTTCAATGTCAGTGCAGCAGCGTAAAATCTTGGGAGAGTCTATTCAACATAAACGATGAACTAACCTAACTTTGTGTAAACAGACCACAATATAGAAATATGTACACATATGCAGTTGTGACTGATGTGTCTTTATCCTGAATTTATACAAACACATTTCATTTTATAGTAAATTAGTTTTGGCTGGTTTATGTTTATGAACAGAGACCTACAGATGCAGTTTAGTAAAGGAAACTCATTTGTGAATCTGAGTTTAAAGTTTTTATTAAACTTAAACTTGTAACTAAGTTCAAATAAATCTTAAACTGAAACTTTGCTTGTTTGCAAAAAGTGATTTCAGAGCCACTCAGTTCTGCCTGATGGAAACTGTTCACCTTCAGTGTTTTGTGCTTATGATAATTTTAATAGTCATCAGCGTCACTAATTAATGACTCTATTAAAAGACTGGTTTACCAAGAGAGACACTGGAGTACTTTCACCTAAAATGAGTTAATGAAGCGAGTCTTGTTATAAAAATGATAATAGGCATCAGAGTCATAATTAATTATTTAGTACTTTTACTTTCGATACTTAAGTACATTTGAAGGCAAATTCTTTTGTACTTTTACTCAAGTGGAGGTCTAAAGGGAGGAACTTCTACTTTTACTGGAGTAATATTTTCCCTTGGGTATCTCTGCTTTAACTCAAGTACATGACTTGTGTACTTCAGCCACCACTGTGTTTCAGGTGCAAACCCACTCATACACATTATGTGTCCAGACATCCTTTTAATCAGAACCTTCTGAGGTGATCTATCACTACCACTATAAGGCTGAAAAGTACCTGAATAAAGCATTCATCAGCTTTTAACAACATATAATTACATATAACTTATTTAGCAGAAATGTCCTAAAGCTTGTCCATATGCAAATGGTAAAATGCATTTAAAAGATTTTTATTAATGAATTTGCAAGACATTAACTAAAATGGACGTTCTTCATTCTTAACAACAGCCTAAACAACCCCCCCTTAGAATGTGCCTATAAATAAAATTTCCAGGTTATAAACTTTTAAAATTTATCATTTGCTTTTGGACTTCAAAGCAAAATTCAATAATGTTATTGTTTACTGTATTGTAAGTTACTGTAAAATTCAAGTGGCTGTAATTTACGAAATGTAAGTATTTACTGCCACGTTTGCCCACGATGAGTTTATATTCCTTGATTAACGTTTCACATAAAGACATTTCAAGTTTGTCTGGAAATGAACGATCACTATCAATTAACATTTAACCAGAAAGGATTCATGAAGCGAGAGCCAGCATGGCAACATATTTACAGGACCATGGTCACATGGTTTTGGCGAGCAAGAGGGGGGACTCTATCCCCCTTTAAGCTGACAACATAGACTCAATTCTAGCCATTTCAAGAAACTTTAGTAATCCCCAGCACCCCATGCACTATCTTGGTGTACCTTATATCACTGTTGTCACAAGAAAACCTCGTATCTCCATTTTTGACATTTTTCAGTTTTTGACATAATTTGAAAATACCTGTTGCTCTTTACATTGTGTGTAAATTTCATGATGAATGGAATAAAAGAAACGGCCCAAAATTACTTGGGAGAAATTCTGGTTCTATTGACTTACATTAAAAGTACACTATGTTTTTTCCTTCTCCTGTAAAGTTACCATTTTGGAGATACAAGGTTTTCTTCCAACAGCGATATATATGAATGAATTCAAAGAAAACGTTATTAATACATCATATGTTTCTATTTACTACCTCGTTTTAAATTGTGAACTCAGACCATAAGACGCAGACCTCAAAATTAGGGGTTACCGAAATTTTTTGTAATGTCATTTTGGCTCATGGAATCGAAAACGAATCAATTTTTCAGGAGCCTAGAAATTTTCATCCCTAAAAAGAGAGTCTGCAACATGGTGTATATGTTAATTTTTTTGTTTATTTTTTTAAAAGTAAAGATCCAAAAAGCTACAGTAGGGATGGCAAAACTTTACACAATTCTGAAAACAAAAAAAAAGCTACATTTTTATTTGATCTTACATCATACTGTTTACATTACAGACTGTGTAATGTATACGATGTGTGTCAGAAATGTTTGGTACTGTTGATATTTTTCTTATATTCTATATAAAAGTGATGTTTTGTGCTTTGATGCAGAATCTTAAGAGAGGATTGCGATGCATTTAAGTAGTCGATTATTCTCCCAACTATAGTTTACAATGAATGCAGTTAAAGGTAATGTGTGATATACTCACAGTGGGTCACACAGTGTGAGCAGTGGTGAAGATAGAAGAGCAGCAGTGATCCACAGCAGGTCCACCTGCCCCATCCTGCCTGTCTGATCCTGCCTGTGTCTGAATAACTGTGACTGAATTACCACCACAACTTTATTAATACACATGCTTTGCCTTCACCCTCAGCTCAGTACAGTTCAAATACAGTTCTGACGATACTTTGTTTACATCTTATAACCACATGACCTTCTGGTTCACAGCAATATCTGAGTCATTAAGGGAACTTACTGTAAAGGTTACTCTCCGGCTGAATTTCTCGGAATCTCAGTATTTGAGTTTGGTTTCTCAGACTAACCTTTGATTGTTTGTAAACTCTGTCCCTCTGTGTCCACTATTGATTTTTTGATGCAGTATCACAGGGATGTTTGGAGCTATTAGAGTGACACAGTCATAGTTTTATAACTAGGAGAAAAGCCCCTAATAAGCCCACCTTAATCTAAGTTGTGCATGTGGATTTTTCAATTTTAGTGATCTTTCAATGAAAGATTAATTGATCTTTTCATATAATTAAGCAAATTGTGTATGGCTTATTTAGGATGAGATAAGATAATCCTTTATTAGTCCCACAATGGGTCAGTATTGTCGTGTCAGTATTCTCAGTGTTACAGCAGCAAAGGGACAGCAAAAAGAAGTAACAAGAACAGAATTAACAAGCAAGTAATTAACTTTGTTGAGTACTTAACAAGGTTTTTGCAGTTTGTTACTTTTTACTGTATAGGCAATATATATACTACTAAAAGTAAAAAAATAAGATAAAAATATAAACTCTATCCTTCACAAAAGGTTAGGGAACCAGCCCAGTGACGAGAAGGTCGCCGGTTCGATCCCCTGAGCTGACAGTACATGACTGAAGTGCCCTTGAGCAAGATACCCAACCCCCAACTGCTCCCCAGGCGCTGTGAATAGGGCTGCCCACCACCCCAGGCAAGTGTGCTCACTGCCCCCCAGTGTGTGTGTGTGTGTATTCAATAGTGGGCATGTATGTAGGTGTTTCACTGCACGGATGGGTTAAATGCTGAGGTCTAATTCCACAGTGTGCAAAACACAGTTGGCTGATGGTTCTGAATTCAATTCAATAAAGCTAAGATATTTACACTGTAAAGATAAGAATAGTAAAATAATAACAGGCAAGATTAAAAGTCTCGACTGGGTCTAAACGGGCTCCTGGTACTGAATGACCCTTTTTGTATGTGCAATTATTGTTTAATTATGGAAAAAATATTTTAATAATTGATAAGCACAGCTTAGGAAACTCAGGCTGTTGCCCTGAATATTCAACTAGCTGATTGATCATAGTGTTTGTAGTCAAATGAGATCCTGTCTGTCCACTAATCACAACTTCTGTTATTTACATGTTCATTTACACCAATCTGGCATAACATTATGAGCACCTCTTTGTTTCTACGCTCATTGTCCATTTTATCAGCTCCACTTACTATATAGGTGCACTTTGTAGTTCTACAGTTACAGACTGTAGTCCATCTGTTTCTCTGCATACTTTGTTAGCCCGCTTGTACCCTGTTCTTCAGTGGTCAGGACCCTCATGGACCCTCATTTGGGTGGTGGATCATTCTCAGCACTGCAGTAACACTGACGTGGTGGTGGTGTGTTAGTGTGTGTTGCGCTGGTCTGAGTGGATCAGACACAGCAGTGCTTCCGGAGTTTTTAAACACCTCAGTGTCACTGCTGGACTGAGAAAAGTCCACCAACCAAACATATCCAGCCAACAGCGTCCTGTGACCACTGATGAAGGACTAGAGGATGACCAACACAAACTGTGCAGCAGCAGATGAGCTATCGTCTCTGACTTTACATCTACAAGGTGGACCAACAATGCAGGTACATCTAATAGAGTGGACAGTGAGTGGACACAGTGTTTAAAAACTCCAGCAGCACTGCTGTGTCTGATCCACTCAGACCAGCGCAACACACACTAACACACCACCACGCCATCAGTGTTACTGCAGTGCTGAGAATGACCCACCACCCAAATGGTACCTGCTCTGTGAGGGTCCATGGGGGTCCTGACCACTGAAGAACTGGGTGAAAGGGGTCAGAGAAGCAGATGGACAAAGCAGAGGGTCATGTCATCACATGCGTAATGTTTACAGTGCAGATCTTTGACATCAGGTCTGGCAATTTACTTCTACTGTGCCCGTCACCATTTTGAAATTTTTGAAAATAAGATTTGTATCAGATTCGCACTTAAACATTCCACCAATATAACTGTAGTTCACAGGCAGTGATGCTCAGTTTGGCATACTTCCTATGGATTTCTGAGTAACCAGTGGATCGCCAAGAGAGATGCTGGACCTTATTTCCAGGTAATGTATCACAAGCTGCCATTAACACACACACATCTTCTAAGCCACCTCTCCTTCTGGGTCGCGGGGGGTGCTGGAGCCTATCCCAGCGGTCATCGGGTGGAAGGCAGGAAACACCCTGAACAGGTCGCCAGTCCATCACAGAGTGGACAGACAGACATACACATTCACTTACACCTAGAGGACAATTTAGCATGTCCAATTAGCCTGACTGCACGTCTATGGACTGTGGGAGGAAACCCACACAGACACGGGGAGAACAAGCAAACTCCACACAGAAAGGACCCTGGTCACCCGGCCGGGGAATCAAACCCAGGCCCTTCTTGCTGTGAGGCATTAGTGTCTAAGTTAGCTAGCATAATGTTAGCTTACCCAGATAATAACCTCCAAAAGTTCTTAAGATTAATTTACATATCAACATTAATGATAACATACAGTATATGGACAAAAGTATTGGGACACCCTCCTAATTATTGAGTTCCGTTGTTTCAGCCACACCCTTGCTAATGGGTGTATAAAATTAAGCACATAGCCTTGCAGCCTCGATAGACAAACACTGCCCCTGTCCACTGTAGGTGCTAACATAGTAAAATGGAAGCATCTAGGAGCAACAACAGCTCAGCTGTAGACCACGCAAAATCACAGAGTGGGGCAGGCGAGTGCTGATCATCTGTTGAACCATCACTAAAGAGTTCCAAATTGTCTCTGGAAGCAACATCAGCAAAAGAACTGCACATTAGGAGCTGCACGAAATGGGTTTTCCTGGCTGAGCAGCTTCACACAAACCTAAGGTCAAAATGAAGTGATACGTGTCGGTTTGTAGAGTACAGCACGCCACGAGTGGACTCTGGATTGGTGGAAACACATTCTGTGGAGTGATGAATCACGCGTCATTATCTGTCCGTCGATGGACGAGTCTGGGTTTGGCGAATGCCAGGAGAACGTTACCTGCCTGACTCCACTGTGCCAGCTGTGAAGTTTGGTGGAGGAGGGATGATGATATGGGGTTGTTAACATCTTAATGCTTTAGCAGATCAGGACATTTGGGGCAATTGTAAGCATCCAACTTTGTGGGAACAGTTTGGTAAAGACCCTTTTTTGTTCCAGCATGACTGAGCCCCAGTGCACTAAGCAGCTCCATAAAGGCCTGGCTGGGTGAGTTTGATGTGGAAGAATTTGACTGGCCCACACAGAGCCCTGACCTCAACCCCATCAAACACCTTTGGGATGATCTAGAACGGAGACTGTGAGCCAGACCCTCTCGTCTAACATCCGTGTCTGACCTCACAAATGCTCTTCTGGATGAATGAGCAAAAATTCCCACAGACACACTCCTAAATCTTGTAGGAAGCTTCCCAGAAGAGTGGAAGCTGTTATAGCTGCAAAGAGTGGGCCGACATCATATTAAACCCTATGGATTAAGAATGGGATGCGAGCGAATACATTGAAAATGTAGTGTGTGTATATATATATATATATATATATATATATATATGTGTGTGTGTGTGTGTGTGTGTGTGTGTGTGTTATTTAAATATGGAGTAGGTGTTCTCTGGCCCTTTCCACAGATGAGTTTGATACCCTGGCATTAAATACTGTGTGCTTTTGTGCCACTCTGCACACATGAGTAGTTATTAGCGTGGTTACTGCAATGAAAAGCAAGGTGTTCCATGCCTCTCAAGCCACACAGAGGTAGTTTTTTTAAAATAAAAAAAATATTTTCACTTAATAATGATAATGTCAATTAATATTATGAGCAGATCACATTCCTGGTATGTGGTACAAGAGGACTGCAGTGCAAAGTGATCACATTATCTAGTTCAAAAAAAATACTCTATAAATGATCAATAAGTTACATATATTCACCCACAATTCTTACTCTTACTTCAGCGTTCCCCCAAATTAAACTCATCCATCATCAGATCAGGATGTAAATTCAAATTTCTTTTTTTGTTTGCTCCCCCAGTGTTCAGCCCAAGTTCACGCCCGTGGCTAGACCTGTCTTCATGATACAGCAGTAGATACATCATGTCAAAATTATGAAATTAATTATCCATGGAAAATACACTTTTATCAGTTCTGTTTTGCCAACCAAGGATCTCATTTAGACAGGCATGCCGCTGAGTCCCCTAGCTTCCCATATACACAATAAGAGTCCCTTGTAATTATAATTAAATGCAAGGTAACTTGATTTACTTTAACATTAAAAAATAAAAACTGAAAGTTCCATTTATATTTTATATTTTTTATCAGTGACTGTAGTAGTAGTAGTACTAGTAGTGCGTATTTACTGACAAAAAGTGGTACCAAATTTGCACTTCCCCCAGACACTTGGACAGGTGCACTGAAACGTTAATTTGCTATCGACGATGTAAAGCCACTGGTGACATTTTGTAGATGTCATGTGGCGAAAAAGGTCCAGTGAAAACTAGGCTTGCCTTGTCTTGTTGACAATTCTTCTGTAGCAGGTCAGGTTCCAAAGTGAAATACTATGAGCCGAGATGATTGATTAGCAAATATAAGGAACGATCACATGTAATATGACAAAACACCGCCAGTTTGTAGCCTCATGCATAAGTTTGATTTGAGAGTTATTTTAAGTTTCTTTGGCAAAGAAAAACAAAAGACATTTATGGGTTCTGGATATTGTATTACTGCTGACATAGTGATATAGTTCATGCTCGACATTACGCTCCACTTCAAATTGATTACAATCTTGTATAAACTTTCGTCACATAGGGGAACAGAACTGAAAGTCAGGGAGGTGTGTTCGGAGATTGCGCTCAAGTTTCTAAGGCATCTGAAAGAAGAAGCATTTAATCATATGCACACAGTTCTAATCTGCTCAAGTGTGATTTATATTCTGACGGTCTTCTCAGCCTTTTTGGGTGTGTATTCATTTCACATTGCTTGGCTTTTTTATAGTAAATGTTGTGTTATGTTATGTGTAATGTTAGTAGAAAATATCTTTGGTAGAGTTTTGTTTGTTCATTTGTTTGTTTATTTAAGAAAGAACATATTTGCTACAATGGCATGCAAACCTTTGCAATGAGAAGGAAATATATATTTCCATTGCTTTTGGAAATATTTGTTTATATATAGATATGTATATATGTGCATATAGAAACAAACTAACTACAAACTAGAAAACTAACTCAAATCTGTAGACACTGATACTGTAATATCTTACTCTGTACTCATCAGAACTGCTTTATGTGGTCTGGCCTTTATCATACAGAAGAAAGGAAAGATAGTTCTGGTGCACTGCAAAAAAATGGTACCTTGTCAAGTGAAATGATCTTAAATCTAGTTGATATGTCTAATTTAAGATGGTTGTGCACTTATTATAAGATTATCTAGCTTATTTCTAGACATTTTTCACTTTTTCAGTAATTTTATTAAGTAAAATGATCTCACTATACTGCCAGATAATTTTGTTGGTTTCAAGCACATTTCTTAACACAAGCAAAATTATCTGCCTATATAGTGAGATAAATTTACTTTAATTTTAATTTACTTAAAATCATTTAAAACAAGAAAAGATGTAAAAAAAAAAGGAAAATTAGCTTAAATAAAGCTTACAGCTATCTCAACAGGAGAAATGATTTATTGTCTAAGATAATTTTGCTTGACAAGATACCCTTGTTGCAGTGTAGTCGACAATTCTCAAAAAAAAATAAATATTGAATATTGAGTAACAATTACTTTCCAATGCAAGTTTCACATGCAGTCACAGTTGAAAGAAAAGCAAAAAGTATGAACATGTGAATGAATTTTGCTTCAAGTACATTACTATTTTAATCATGAAGTTCCTGCCGCAATCATGAAATCTTTAGCTGATAATGAATTGCACATTAATAAATGTTAACTATTACATTGTTTTTTGTTCATTGTATGCAAAATATAAAGTACAAGGCTAAAATGTCAGATTAGCTATCTTTCTTCCTGGCTGTTGAGACTCTGGCCCTCCACATGCATCTGGGTATTTTTTGAAAACGTCACTTTTTCTCTGCATTCTGGCTTCCTGTCCACAGTGTAAAAATGCTTTACAGGGAGGAAATTTCTGAAAATTCTGTTGTCGGTGTTTTATTTTTTTTTATCTGGAGCTTTTTGAAAATGCTGTTTACTGTTTACTGAGCATGCAGAACATCTGATGGCTAGGCTGTTTCTGTGTGCTCGAAAATCTAGGCGTGATCGTTAACCAAAGTTAGGTTCTAAATATATTGCTAATTCCATAACTTACATGAGGTGAAAAGCTAGAAAAGCTCTCTGCCTGATCAGGACTGTGTGGATATTTCAGAGATGGCTCCGTAGCCATGGCAACAGCACAGCAAGCAGTAGTTTTCTTTCATTTTTTTAAAGCTTTTATTTTCTGGCAGTAATCAGACTCTGAATCTGTGTAAAATATCACATTAGGGAGGTCTGATGACCTGCAGGTCGAAATCTACAGTGTTTGTAACGTGGAGGGGCACATTGGGCCTCATTCACCAATGTCTTCCTAAGTTTTTTCTTAAACTTGTTCTTGTGAAAGTCCGTAGAAAACGTCTACGTCAGATTCATGACGTGTTCTTAAAGCACAGAACTGTTCACACCTTTGTGCTCTTGAGGGTGGGTAGATTCTGTTCTTACTTGAGAACAAATCCCTTAGAAGATAACATAAGTGAATGTCAGAGTCTTCGTAAAAACTGCTTAAACGGGTTTTCAGAAGAAACTTAATCTTAAGAAGTGTTGGTGAATGAGGCCCATTATGAGTAAATCTCTGCATTAACTTTGCCAAGCGCTCTGTATTTTGTGCAAGTGTGCTTACACGGTTCTTCTTGAGGTGTGTGACATCAAATGTTATGTGCAATTATTATCGCCTACTGGGTTGGAATGCTCATACAAACATTTGAGTCCTTTTTGCTTTCTCATGGGGACATGAAGATTTTCAAACATGCTGCTTGTGTGGACAATTTGTTTTGGGAAAATATTACAAATTCAACATTTTTAAAAATATCTGGATTTGTGTGGACGGGGGCCTTTGTAGCTTCCAACTGGCAACAAACATTACTTTGTGCCACCCTCTAAAGGCGTTATTAGCAAACATGAAATAAACAAGCATATTGAAAAAAAATTATATTCAGGTTCAACTTTGGCAGGTTTGGGCCTGATATATTCAAATAAACAACATCATTTTAGTTCAGTTGCAGGTTCATATCCCGCATTATTCCCCAACTTGGCTACAAAAAGGACTTTAAGCTTTAACAACATTGGAAATGGCTGTGTGTGTTCACTGTTTGCTGTGCCTACAAAAAAACAAACAAAAAAAAACTTTCACCCTATTAGCAAGAATCAAAACTCCCGCAGCAAACAGTGTATATTTCAGCCAAATTTGATAAGTCGTGGGCAGTCGTGGGCTGGAGGTTAGGGAACCAGCCTTGTGACTGGAAGGTCGCTGGTTTGGTCCCCTGAGCTGACAGTATGTGACTGAAGTGCCCTTGAGCAAGGCACCTAACCCCCAACTGCTCCCTGGGTGCTGTGGATAGGGCTGCCCACTGCTCTGGGCAAGTGTGCTCACTGCCACCTAGTGTGTATGTGGTGTTTCACTGCACGGATGGGTCAAACGCAGAGGTGAGATTTCCCTGTTGTGGGACTAATAAGGGTCACTATAGTTCAGATAATTCATTAGCAAAGTGCTAATAAACTACCAGACAAATCAGGAGATGAAGTACACAATGTAGATAGACTACTGTTGTCTCTTGTAATATTATGATATTAGATTATGATATCATGAGAAATGGGGAAATTTAAAATTATCTCATGCTGTACTGGCGTTTTGCCAGCCATACAAGACCAACATACCCAGCTATGGTTGAACATGGAAAAAAAAACAGCAAGTCAAATACCTGCATGTGGAAAACACCGTTTTTCTGGTTGCCATAGGAAGCCTGCATGTTTACAATCTCTACAGTTATCCAGCCATTAAATGCAGTTTCATTTTTGCAGCCGTTTAGAAAGCAGTAAACTTCAGACACTGAACATATCTTGGCTGACTGACTACATATATATTTTTTTTTCATTTCAGCCCAGCAAACGCCAGCTGCTCCAAGATGAACATTTCAGTAGCAACCGTGGACAATGCCACACTGGAAGCACTGGTCAGCCCTATGATCAGTGTTGCTGTACCTGTCATCTACATTGTGGTGTTTGTCATCAGCACTCCATGCAATTTCATCGCCCTCATCCTTCTCTGTGGCCTTACGAAGTGCACAACTCCTACACGGATCTATTCCATCAACCTCTGCCTTGCAGATCTGCTCTACAGCATCATGCTACCGCTCCAAGTAAGAGCAAACAGCTCTATATAAACCAATGGAATTTGGTTCTATATGTAAGTTGTTACTAATAAGGTACTTTTTACAATAGATACCATTTCAGAGCAGCTTTACTGAAATCTAGATCGAGACCAGGGGTCTCAAACTTCACATTACCTGGAAGCCGCTAGTCAAGTGATCTTCTCCAGGGGAGGGAGGGGAAATAATTCAAGGAAAAGTGCAATATGTAATAAGTGTGAATTAGACCTTTTCTTCTCGCACCTTCTTCTCTCCCATCACAACTTTTACTACTACTACTAATAGTGATAATAATAACAATAATTATAAGACTATCAGTCTGACTACCTGTGGGAAGAAACTGTCCATGAGTCTGGACTTTGCCCAGATGCTCCATAGTCTTCTTCAAGATGTGAATGGTGTAAACAATCTGTGTAATGGATGAGAGGGATCCTCCCTGATGCTGCACACTTTCCTCTAACAAATACACTATATGGACAAAAGTATGGGGACAGCCCTCCTAATTATTGAGTTGAGGTGTTTTCTGCCACAAGTCAGTTGGTGAAATTTCTGTCCTGTCAACTGTAAGTACTATTATGGTGAAATGGAAGCACCTCAGAGCAACAACAGCGTAGGTGGATGGAGTGGTATAAAGCAGTAGTAGTGAGTGGTGGAAACGTATTCTGTGGAGTGACGAATCACGCTTCTCTTTCTGTCATTCTGATGGACGAGTCTGGGTTTGGCGAATGCCAGGACAACGTTACCTGCCTGACTGCACTGTGTTAACTGTAAAGTTTAAGGAGATAATGATATGGGGTTGTGTTTCAGGTTGGTCTAGAACCCTTAGTCCCAGTGAAGGGAAATCTTAATGCTTAGGCAGACCAAGACAATTTGGACAATTCTATGCTTCCAATTTTGTGGAAACAGAACAATCAATAAGTGCTTAAGGTTTGTAAATTTAAAGAATAAATGATAATAATGATAATTATAATAATTTAAAAAATAGGACACTTAAGAATAAATACATCAAGCTGTAACAAAGGCCAGACTAATATTTTCATAGAGTTCCATAGTATTCAAACAGAATGTTAGATACAATGTATGTGCAGCAAATCTGCTTGAATTAATATGAAATTTAATTTTATGTTTATTTTTTATTTTAAAAGTTCCTTAAATGAATGAAGAGAAGGTTGACAATATAGTTTTTATTGGAACGTGCTCCATGTGTAACGTGACAGAACCACTCAGATGCTCCTGGATAAAAAGAACAAAAAGGCTTCACTGTTTAAATCGTCAACCAAAATCGTTGTCAGGAAACAGGCACAGGTCAAATCCAGAAAAGGCAGCAAGTAAAGACACACAATCAACAGGCAAACACAATTCAAAGTGGTCAAAATACAGAAGATCAGTCAAAACTGGACAACACAGCACAGGAAATAAACACTCAGTAGCTCTAGAAAGAAGCAATACCTCACACTGAACTACTCTAAAATCCCACGCTTTACACTAAAGCTAATGAGAGGTCAACAGGTGTTACAGATTTGTATTCAGGAGAGAGAGATCTGTGATCGGAAATTGCTGGGAGTCATGTGATCTCCCAGAGGATTCTGGGAAATGGAGTCCATGGAAACCTCTGAGCCAGAGGGATGCGTGACACTATCATTGTTAGATGCTCCAAAGAGCTCAACTTATAGCTTAATACATACATACATCATCTAAACCACTTATCCTTCTGGGTCGTGGTGGGGTGCTGGAGCCTATCCCAGCTGTCATTGGGCGGAAGGCAGGATACACCCTGGACAGGTCACCAGACCATCGCAGGGCCTTATAGCTTAATGAAAATGTCAATTTTTATTTTAGAAAATAATTTCCACAGTAGTACTTTATACACAATAGTGTAAAAACCAACAATAGTATCTACATTCCCAAAACATGTGGATAATACATTCTTTATAGTTATTACAAAATGAACAATGTTTGCATATTTATTCATTCACCCATCTATCTATCTATCTATCTATCTATCTATCTATCTATCTATCTATCTATCTGTTATATTTAGCAAGATTTGAATTGGTTCCTAACCACTTCCTAAGTTCATTAATGTTCCTAACACACTGATTAGTAGCATTTTTACTTAGCAGTGGACACGTTACCAATGTAAAGTTCCTCTGCTGCAAATTTAGAAATAGAACAGCTCGTTCCACCAAATGCTTCATAGAAAACTCTTGAATAACTAATAAAGATGTTAGGCTGTGAATGTCACAAACCTTTTTTCAATCTAGCAAAATACATCTCATTGCGAAAGGCTTAGTCATGGTACGCATTACAGGCAACTGTTTGCATTTGAGCGTTTCCCAATCAGACTGATAAAACCTAGTGCTTAGAAGTGCCTACGCAGATGTACAGATAGTCATTTAGAATGGAACAGACAAAATTCCAATCATTGTGGCCAGCTTAATGTATAAATGTTTAAAAGATATCAGATACTCCACCCACATGTTTGGTGGAATTTGAATGGAAAATAACATAATGGTCAAACTTTCTGAATCATGTAAAGCAGGGGTGCACAACTGTGGTCCTGGAGGGTCTATGTGCAGCACAGTTCCCCTGCTCACACACCCACTAAACCTGGAAATTATCTAATCAACTGTGTTTGAGCAGGGAGATCACCATACTTCGCAATAATTTGTAGATAAACGAAGGCTGTTTTAGTTATGTTACCTACATGTACATCAAATGACAAATTATAATCAGTAGCGACACAAGATCTTTGATGCTTGTAGTCAATGCAAACAATAAGCCAAAAAAGCCATTGGCATATAAACTGAAAGCTTTTCCTAGCAGCCTTTGTACCAAGTAAAAATAATGATATTTATCATATGGCTTGGCTGATGCAGCTGTGTGTCATCAGTATAGCAGTGGAAGCTTACGCTATGCTTACGGATAACTTTAACTTCCCAGTAGCAGTATATTTAGTGAAAACAGCAGTGGTCCTTGAACATAGCCTTGTGGGACACCAAACTTCATTGTTTACTTTTATAAGTTGATAACCGGCAATTAAGCAGGAACTAAATCAGGAAAGTGTAAATTCTCTGCTCTGCACTTACTTCAAACAGAATAGCATAGCCTTGGTCAGAGGGGGCAACATTTTCTGCAGTGATTAGTAAGAATGAGCTATTGGGCTACATCCTTTCTCCATGTCACAGAGTCCTTGATAAGACTAGATAAACAAACAATTTTGAAACCTACCATACTACTTCATATAAACTAACTGAATGTTTGATCATCTGCTTGATTTAACTAGGTGGACTATCATCTTCGAAGCAATGACTGGATCTTTGGCACGGTGGCTTGTGGGATTTCAACAGCTGCCTTCTACTGCAACATGTATTGTACAATCCTTACGACCTGTGCCATAGCTCTGGATCGATATTATGGTGTTGTACACCCTTTGGAAAGTAGGTATGTGCGAAGCACTCGGAAAGCCATTCTGACCTGCCTCCTCATTTGGACTGTTGTCCTTGCCTTCCAGATCCCATTTTTCCTGTACAGTTTTACTCGGTTCATTCCTCAGCTGAATGTTACCACCTGTTTTGATGTGCTTCCTAAAAAGGCTTTCCAAGGATGGAAAGGGTACCTCTACTTCACTGCCATATACTTACTGTTCTACGTGTTGCCAATGGTAGTTTTAGTTTCCTGTTATTGTGCAGTGGTCAGTGCCCTTAGACAGAAACCTGACATAGGATCCCCCCGTTCTTACAAGCGGACAAAAGCTTTGGTGACAGTTGCGGCCTGTTGCTTCATCATCTGCTACCTACCTGGTATGATTATCCAGCCTATCCAGATGGTTTATCGGAGTAAGGGTCGTAGTGTGTATGCCTACTACAAGCTCACATTGGGTCTCAACAGCCTTAACTGTTGCTTTGACCCTTTTGTGTACTATATTGCTTCCAGGGAGCTCCAGCAAGCACTGTCGAGGGTGCTTGTCCAGTGGATCCGCTGCCCTAAAGGTGAGACAGAGGATCCAGTTTCCTCAAATTTGAATTTGCCTAAACTAGCCGGCGCCACCAGAGGGAATCAAAATCAAAACAAAATGAGGGAATCAATGTAGAGCCCTGAGAAGTAAATGTTATAGTACTGCTTGGATGCAGGGATGGAGATGATTGTGGTGCATTTCTTTGCTTATTGTTCTCTGTGTAGCTGTGCTGCTTTTGGGTCACCCAAAAAATCTTTTTAAGTGACTGATGGCTTTTATCTTACCTTTCTTATTTTTAGTCTGTTTAAGGTCTTTTTCCCTTTATACATTGTTTAATAATGTTCTCTCTACATTAGGAAGCTCATTAACCTTCACCTTAATTACTATTTGTTGTGTAATACCTGGGCGGCACGGTGGTGCTGTCGCCTCACAGCAAGAATGGCCTGGGTTCGATTCCCAGCCGGGAGACCAGGGTCCTTTCTGTGTGGAGTTTGCCTGTTCTCCCCGTGTCTGCGTGGGCTTCCTCCGGGTACTCCGGTTTCCTCCCACAGTCCAAAGACATGCAGTCAGGCTGATTGGACGTGCTAAAATTGCCCCTAGGTGTGAGTGTGAGTGTGTGTGATTGTGTGTGTGTGTATGTCTGTCTGTCTGCCCTGCGATGGACTGGCGACCTGCCTTCCGCCCAATGACAGCTGGGATAGGCTCCAGCACCCCACCGCGACCCAGAAGGATAAGCGGTTTAGATGATGTATGTGTAATACCTTATCAACCAATTACAGCAGCATTATATCTTAAAGTAATGAATAATTAATGCAACATCACCTAAAAATAAACAGAAACAGGTTCTTTATATAGACTGCATTACTGGAGAGTGAACAGTATGGTTTACCACAACAAACTAATTAAAAAAAAAGAAAAATTCAGTTTTCCATGATGTTGGTCCTTTAAAGTAATTTCCGACATGTTTTTCAGTGTAATTTGCTTGATATTATGTTTATGTTTGAAAGTGAATGATGTTTCATGAAAAACGACCAGTTTCTTTTTGGCACTTCATGTAATAATAATAATAATAATAATATGCAGATATAAAACATTTAAACAGTTAAAAACATTTAAAAAGATCACTTTTCAGTGTAAGAGAATCAGATTTGATGAGAAAATAATTACAGTAAAAAAACTTTGAAGATCTGGCAAAAAAAAAAATTAATAAAAAAAAACAGCAGAAAAGCTCTGGGGGAAAAAAGGGTTTTGGGCAAACTTGTATCATCTAGCAGAGGTGCGACCAGTCAGTCAAGTGTACAGCTTTTTTGATGCACCATTTTTGTACAATCCGCATTGAGTGACAAATGTATTTCCCATCGGAATGATTGGGGGGCAAAGTTTGTGCACCCAGTTTAAATCGCGATGATACGAGTCCATTAGCAACACCCCATTAAACATGTGGGGTACCATATAACAACCACCAAATGGAAATCTGATATATGGCGTTATTTGCATTTCAAATTTATGACACATAGCGGTGCTTGAAAGTTTGTGAACCCTTTAGATGTACTGGAGAATTTTAGAACCATTGGGACCCTCAATAAATAAATGTCCAAGTCTAACATTTTTGTCTCATTTGTTTCATTTGGTTCTCTTTATCTATTATTAGGACTTGTGTGAAAATCTGATGTTTTAGGCCAAAATTTAGGCAGAAATATAGAAAATTCTAGAGGGTTAACAAACTTTCAAGCACCACTGTATATGAGCATGTATGGATTGTCCTCATAGCCAATTTATATTAGTCACATATGGACATATACCTGACATTTTTGCAACTTATTTGAAATTGACCATTATCAAATACGGCAAATATATTTTAGCCATGTATCAACATTTTGCTGTTGTCAGAAGAAAACCTCATATCTCCATTTTTCAGTTTTTGACATAAATAGAAAATGCCTGTTGCTCTTTACATTGTATATAAAGTTCATGATGAATGGACCAAAAGAAACGGCCCAAAATGACTTGGAAAAAAAATCTGGTTCCATTGACTTACATTAGTCTTGTTGAGTTGATCTTGTTCTAGTCTTGAAAAGAAAGACAGGAAAGAAATTCCCCTTAAGAGGGACAACGTTATACTGCCTTTATTTCACCCCGATGAGCACTTTCTAATAAACCTGATTATAATAATAGCTAAATTTTATATATACACGATGACATTTGCCAGAAAAATACCTTCACATAAGATCTTTATACATTACATATCTACACTAGTGAATTTACACCTGCAGCAAAACTAGAAATGTAAATCCATTGTCGTGTTAAAGCTCTTCAGTTTTATTTAAATCCCAAATTTCATTCTCTTTGTTTTTTTTTTTCTTCTTTTTTGATTGTCTTTTTGTTTTTTTACCTCTGTTGATGTTTCACGAAGAGCCCTGCTGAAAAGGGACCATTAGAAACCGTTATAATTCAAACTGATTGGTTTTCCTTTCTGGTGTGAATCGGCCTCGTGGTTTCCAACAGTGGCCGCTAGTTTCCTGTAGAGCACCTTTAGATCCCATTCGAAAACCATCAAGTGCATTTAGAATCAGCCACTGGTCACCAGTTCAACCATCAGGATCCTTTACATAGTGATATCAACCCATTAAAAAGGGCAAAGCACATTACAAAACCATCAGGAACCAACAGAGACGCTTGGTTTCTGTGGGTTTTTCAGCAGAGAAATTCAGTTTGATGTATGAATGTTGAGCTTTAATGTGTTCTGTTGTTAGTCTGTTATTGAGTAAATGGTTATTCGTAATAACAACATCTCTCTGGGCCTCATGAAGGATGAGGAGAATATAAAACAAAGCCATGGGTTTTATTTTGCACCACTGGTTTGTATGACAGGGTGAAAAATAATGAAGATACATAGTTTGGCCTTTTTTATAAGCTGCATCCAAAACCTACATACTACTATACAACCCATACTGCACTAATGAATGGACTTCTATGGGTGGTGTTCTATTTTTGAGGTACTATCTCGTGTGGCAGTGTGCGGTTTTGGACGCAGCCGCACTGTAGGCGGCAGTAATGCACAGAGCTGCGTTCAGGCCTCAACAAAAACCTGGCAGAGGAAGATGTAATGGCTGTGTTCCAATCTGCGCTCTTGAGTTCTACAGCACTCAGCTCAGAGTGTTTAACTCAAAATAAAGACTTATAGCCTAACCTTAAAAAAGACTATGTCTAAACAATAACTTATTTTCTTAAAATGTTGCACTTATTGTCTCGCAATAACGACTTCCCAAAATTTGACTCACTGTCTCATCATTTTGACTTACTAAGTCAAAAACCTGGCATATTACACTGAAATGATTTGTCATTAAATTTCTAAAGGCATTATGTCAACATCAAAACTTGGATAAAAATAAATTGTTATTTTGGGATTAGGCAAGATTTCGATAAAATATGGCATTATTTCAACACGATAAGTTGAAATTTTGAAAAAAAATTAACTTTAGATGTAAAAAGAGCCAAACTTTTGACATAATAAGTCCAGATGTTGACACACTGCTGCCAGAAATAAACACACAAACTGGCTTGTGCACAACTGTGTCTCAATTCAACATATGTATTGTAAGAAAGCAGCTAAACTGATGAATGTATTGTAGCGTTCATCACTATTAAAGGAGACTCAGCTTTTGCTCAAGTCATAGTGATGTTGGCCATAAGCAAGTCAGCTCACACATACACACACTTCCCCTGGGGCGTTCTTAGCTCCGCCCTCTACAATAAGAGTCCTTAGAGAATGCCTAACCTAAAACTAACATGCAAAAGCATTTCTTGAACACGCTACAATACTCAATTTTATTATATATATATATATATATATATATATATATATATATATATATATATATATATATATATAAGCTTATATTAAGCTTTTAACAACAAATCGTTAAACGAATAGGTTAAGTAACTTATTATGGGCTGCTTTTCCCTTCAGTTTCTTTAAAGGTTGAAGTTTTGCGTGTAAATTTGCAGAAAACCTTCTACAGTCAGCACTGATGGCTTGAAGCAGCTGAAAATAATTGCTGAGCTAGTTTGTGTTTATTATGAAACCAAATATCCTCTATAGGGTCTAAATCTGGACTCCGACCAGCCAAAACCATCAGTATATTTTGGGCTCGGCCCATTAATGTTACCTTATTATCTTATTCACTTGGCAACACTTACATTCTACAGTCTAAACACTGTATCAAATGAACATGGATCTAAAAAACTGGCTCGTGCAAAAAGGTAGAGCCCTTCTATTCTAGTGCACTAGCTAGTGTGCACTAGCGATTGGAACACCACCCGACCACTGTGCGCTTCCTGCGGCAGGCGGAAACCAGCAGCAGGTTTGGAGGTGACCGAATGGCCGAGTGCAGGACTTCAGTGCTTTCTCTGTGAATAAGGGGCTTCAGGGTAACTGGTTTGAGTGTTGAGTGGTCAGGGTGGTCGCTATGGGGGCTCACCTGGCGCGGAGCTACATCACGGAGAGGGACTCGGCTCCGGACCCGACCAAACCGTCTGAACACGAGCCGCAGTTCGGCTTCCAGGAGGAGCGGAGCGAGAGGGGTGAGCGTTAACGGCACCAGCTGACCCAAAACACGGCGTTCAGAACCAGAACCCGGCCGAATCCAGCCCGTCTGTGGTCGTTACGAGGCGGAGGTTCAGCCTCAGGTCGCTAACCGGAAGCCTCCTCTGTACGGGGCTGGTTGAAGTCGCTAGTCTTCGTGTTCAACTTTCCGCTCCACCTTAAATTCAGCAGCAGAGCTGCTGCAGCGTTTAAGGTGGAACGGATAGTTCGGGTAGGACACGAGCTCCAGCGGAGTCCTCTGTTTAGAGACCGGCCTGCTGAACTCATTTATTCAGTTTTGTTTTCTAAAAGCCTCACAAATTCAGCCCCAGCGTCTTCAGCTAACTAGCTTAGCCTTTGTTTACATCTTGAAAAAAGGCTAAAGATGGTCGTGTCAAAGTTTATAAGGTCATTTTAGAGAAAATTGCGTTAATAATCGCGTCATTTTTTTGCAAAACGTCAGAAATTCTGTACTACATGTAGAAATGCAATGTTTTATAACCTAGCTATCTAGTTTAGCATGTAAAAGCAGGTAGCTGACGTTAGCTGTTTACGTTATCTGGCTCAGGGGTCGCAACCCAAATGTTAAGAAGAGCCATTTTGTCCTTTCAACAAAGATCAGACCACCTTGAGAGCCACAACATTTAATGTCCATTTTAAAATCCTGGCTGTAAATGTGTCTCAGTATGTGCTGATGTACTAATATGGGCTAAAAAATATAATATAAACGAAAACTCAAACTTACTTTGCTTTGCTCTAAGCTTGAGTTCAGCTATAGCTGCTTTTCTCACATCTCCAGCAGGAAACTTTTCCTCAAAAGTACAACAGTTTCTTGTAAAATGTCTCTCAATGTTTGACTTTTTGTGAAGCTGAAGTCGCTTCTCGTGCTAATTTTCCTGTTCCACCTTAAATGGTGCAGCAATTACATTCTGGCACCTCAGGCACCATTTAAGGTGGAACGGGAAAATTTGAACAAGAAGCTCTGCGACTTTTTAGTGTTTTACAGTTTCTCATTGCAGATTAAACATATCAGGAAACCAGCTGGAGTGATAATAAACACAAATAAGTCTGTTCATCCCTAAATTATCGATGTTCATCTGTTTCGCTGCTACTAGCTAGGTGAGATTGTCTGTGTTGCTATAGTGACCATAAGTCTGAGGGCCAATCTTTAGGGTTGAAGGTTGGTGAAGTAGCAGTTATGGCTACATTAAGTCCAGCATTTAAGACCATTTATTGGTAAACTGTGTTTAATGATCAGCAGAGCTTTATTTTACTGTAAAGGAGGATTATTTCCCATTTAAGGTGGAACGAATAATTTGGATAAGAAGTTGGCGAATAGCCTCGTCCTCTTTTATAGAAAGACTTTCTAGATTATTTTCTGACAGCGTCACAAATCCAAACCAAAGTCTTTAGCTAGCTCGGTAGAAACTGAATATAAAAGCTCAGGAACATACTTAAATGGTTCTCCAAAGGGGTCTTAAGTAAAGAAAATGGTTCTATATAGAACCATGAACACTCAAAGAACCCTTTCCATGATTCTCCACCAGTCTGAAGAACCCTTTCGTGATGCAAAGAACCCTTTAATCATGGAAAGGGTTCTTTCAATGTTCATGGTTCGATAAAGAGCTGTGTGCTTTTCTACACTCTTAAAATAGATGGTGCTTCAAGGTTTCTTTAGTAAAGAGAATGGGTTCTATGTGGAAACCTGAACACTCATAGAGAACCTTTGTATGGTTATAGGGTTCTTTGCATCATGAAAGCGTTCTTTAGATTGATGCAGAATGTGCTGTAGATGGTTCAGTGTCAAGCTTGTAACAACAGAAGAACCTGTTTGGGTGTTATATAGAACTATTTTCAAAAAAGTTCTATATAGAACTGTCTATATTACGTTCATGCACATTTCCCGTCAATTTGAAGAACCCTTTAATCATGCAGGGGGTTCTTTGAGTGTTCAGGATTCTACATAAAACCATTTTCTTTAAGAATCCTTGAAGAACCATCATTTTAGTGTGTAGGATCAGCTGAAGCAGCGCGGGTGTAAAATCCTCGTCCCTGTGGATCTGAAATTAGACAGAACCGCGTTAACCTTCCCCTCTTTGGTGAACAGGCTGCACAGTTATCTAGTGCGACCTACTGTTAAATCAAGGAACCTTGACAGTCGTACAGGGACCAGATCTCATCAGGGGGTTTGTGTGGTCTGTGTGTTTAGTGCCTGTGGCGACTCAGGAGCAGATGAACTTGGCGATGCTGCCGGTGGAGCAGAGAGACTACTGCGCTCACCACCTGCTCAAACTGATGAAGTGTAAGAGAGACAACTTCCCCAACTTCCTCGCCTGCAAACACGAGAGACACGACTGGGACTACTGCGAACACCAAGAGTGAGGATACACACACACACACACACACACACACACACACACACTCACACTCACACACACACACACATCCATACATGCAAACTGGTCGCCTTTTGGCACAATTCACCATTTTGAGCAGTGAATACGGCAAAATCATGTAGAGAATAAAGTCATAGAAGTACGACATTAAAGTGGAACTTTACCAGGAAGCCTGTTATTAGGATAAGAAACGGGTGAAACAGCTGAGCAGGAAACTCTGTTTATCTAGAATAAAGAGCCAGACGGACTCGGAGGAAACTGTCTACATGGCTATCGGGGCTGCGTCTCTGTGCCATTCAAAGAGGGCATGAAGTTTCACAGACAATGAGAATGATCATCAAAATGATCGATCCAGAAGGCGTGGAACTCCCACACACACACTTTGTCGTCGCCACTACAGCAACCGAGACCCCAGCGCGTTATAGCAGCCCCCATACAATTAGCCCACTTTATCCTCCAAATATTGCGAGTTTATTCTTGGAACTTTATGACTTTATTCTCAAAATATTGAGACTTTATTCTTGAAGTATTACAATTTTATTCTAAAAATACGACTTTATTCTTGAAATATTACAATTTTACTCTAAAAATACGACTTTATTCTTGAAATATTACAATTTTATTCTAAAAATACTTTCTCAAAATATTACGACTTTATTCTCAAAGTATTGTTTTTTTTTTTAACAGTGGCCCTAAAATGCTGCTGTAATTGCCAACGAGAGTTCTGAGAGAAAGTCTCTCACAGTACAGCACAGTCATTATTCAGCCAACCCACAGATACAGCAATTCAGTTTAGCTGTCCAATCAGAACTAAGTTTACACCACCAAAACATGAAGCTGTTCAGTTTGTTTTCACTTTCACATGTTTACTTAATTCACTGCTGACCTGACTGGTTTGATGATGAACTAACCCAGGATTGCTTAGTGTTGCTCACAAAGGTCCTTGTGTTCTGGACCCTTCAGTGTTGACCATAGACTTGTGTATATAATAATCCCATAAATCAGGATTCGTAAAGCAGCATATCTCAGATTGATCACTTGCACCAAAAGCAGACGACCGTCCAGTAGAAATGTCTTTGAGCACTTCTGTTATTGGACATGCTTGACATTTGGCTTAAAGCTTTAGCTTGACCAAACATGCTCATGTGTCTATCAGTGAATGGAAGCCAGTAGCTGCTAATTAGCATAAATACATTTGCATAATGCCAGTTAGTTTGCATTCATTCGTTTAGGGCCGTCACAATTACTCGATTAAACTCGATTAAAAATACCACTGGATAAATAGGGAATGATGGCTGTTCTGATCAGTGTTTAAACTGCGGACTGAAGGGTCTCCAAAAGAGGGCGCTGTTAGCACTCAAGGAGCTGTTGTATGCATTGAATACACGCTTAAAAAAAGATGGTTCTTCAAGGGTTCTTTAGCAAGGGAAATGGTTCTGTATAGAACCACGAACACTCAAAGAACCCTTTGAATGATTAAAGGTTCTTTGCATCATGAAAGCGTTCTTCAGATTGATGGAGAATGTGTTGTATATGGTTCTATACAGAACTTTTTTGAAAATGGTTCTATACAGCACCCAGAAGTGTTCTTCTGTTGTAACTGTGTCAAGCTTGTAACAATAGAAGAACCCTTTTGGGTGCTGTATAGAACCGTTTTCAAAAAGAATTCAGGACCAAGAACCAGTATTCACTCAGGGAACCCAGTGCATAATTAAAAGGTTCTTTGCATCTTGAAAGGGTTCTTCAGATTAACATGGAATGTATTGTATATGGTTCTATATAGAACCTTTTTGAAAATGATTCTCTATAGCACCTAAAAGGGTTCTTCTGTTGTTACTTGTGTCAAGCTTGTAACAATAGAAGAACCTTTTTGGGTTCTGTATAGAACCATTTTCAAAAAGGATACGGAATCAAGAACACTCAGGGAACCCTGTGCATAATTAAAGGGTCTTTTCGCATCTTCAGATTGATGTAGAATGTATATGGTATGGTATACTGTATATGGTTCTATATAGAACCTTTTTGAAAACACCAAAATGGGTTCTGCTATTGTGTCAAGCTTGACACTGCAACAATAGCAGAACCCTTATGGTGCTATATAGAACGGTTTTACTGATGCAAAGAACACTTTAACCATGCAAAGCGTCCTTTGAGTGTTTATGGTTCTATTGTAACCATTTTATTTCTTACAGAACCCTTGAAGAACCATCTTTTTAAAGAGTGTTTTGTAAAAAACTGATTATATTCTAATATGGATGGACAGTATGACCTTTGTTGTTGCTATGACGTTACATCACAACACGGTTTTGTGAGTATGATAGTACAGACCTAGATATGGTCCGTCCTTAAAGAACACTGAACAACTGCATGTTTGATTAGAAGAGAGCAGAATCGGTTCTGTTAAATTGGGTTTCGTTCTGCGCAGTTTGAACTGCTAAATAAAAGTAATTGTTCTCATCGTTTTGATAAAAAAAAAATCTGGTGCGTTTTTGTTTGTTCAAACTTATGAAACCTCAGGAAAATGAAACACTGTGATGTCATGTATTGCGACGTCTTCCCGTGTCGTTATGTAGCTGCATTAGCTTTACTGACTGCACTGTTGCTTTATCTGGCTCTGTTTTTGCAGCTTTCTTGGTAAATATTTTGTTTAATGCTCTGTCTTTTGTCTGTCTGCAGTTACGTGATGAGGATGAAGGAGTACGAGCGAGAGAGGAGGCTGAACCTGAGGAAGAAGAGGATTGAAGCGCAGCCAGCGTGATCTCCCCTCCCTTTATCCTCCCTTCATCCTATCCCTCTTTCATCGTTCTCTAGTATCTGTTCTCTTTGTCTCTACAAAGCTGCTCTCATAATAAATAAAGAGTACGTTATGAGCCGTTGGCCACACGCTAAGACTCCTTTTTGTGTCTGTCTGTGCACAGATGTTCACAGGTGCATCATCTTTAAACGAATCTATAAAACACAGCTCGGTCTTGTCCGTAGCCTCTTACGCTCCTTGGAACCACCGGTGGTTCCAAAACGCACTTCGTCATATTCTTCATAGCTTTCATATTTCATAAGCTACATTCTAAAGGTGGGGGTCGTATGAGAGCTGTAACTGTCTTCTTTCCAGTCAAATAGATGGGTGATGTAATGCACAATTTTTTTTCTACTGAAAGTCGACCCATTTTTCCACAAATCTGGGCTGTAAACTATAAACAGATGTGTCTCTTCAGTGATCTGATCTGTAAACATTATTTTTATAAAATAATACAAAGAGTGTCTAAGATTTTTGGCTTTCAGCAGTAAATTGTAAGCATTTATCAATATGTGTGATCATAAAACATGTTAATTTGAGGGGAGCTTTTACAAAAAAATAAATAAAATAAAAATTTGCATTTATTTCATGCAGTTACTGAATAATTTGCCTTACGATTTGGTCACGTAAATTCAGATGGACAAACCAAAATATAACCTGGAGCATAAGAGGTTAATATACTGATGGAAAAACTTTCTACAGTTGCACAACACCAGTGGTGTAAAACTGCATCTGTCTGAAGGTCAGTTCAGCTGTTGGCATGTCAGTACTTTAATTATATTGTTATAAACAGAGGTGAAAATTACATAATGATCTTTTGTGACTATACGTAAGTATTATTTTGGGATATTTGTGTATTACAAGCACTTAATTTCAATAATACTTCAGTATTTTACTCTGTGATGTTTGCACAGATCACCAGTGTTTTTCCCCCTCGTACAGAACAGGAAAAACGCTTGTTCCTAATAGAAGTCAATGGGCAGATGCTGAAGCACCTCATTGGTGTCTATTATAAGGAACTTTACTAATTACAGGGAAATACTGCCTATTGTAATCAACCATATGCTACAAATGAAGTAGACGGTGATGAGGCTGAAAAGCCCTGGAGTAAAATGAGCACTGACCCCTCATATGCACCCCAAATTATTGGACAGCCTTATTTTCCCTGATGTGAATGGAGAAATACACTGTTGAAACATACTTTTACTTGTTAGGTTTTCATTTAGACATTCAAAGTATGTGTTGCGTATCTCAAAGACCTGGATATTTTACTCTGTTTTTTTCTTCTTGCCAGGCAATTTGAATTTATTCTTATTCAAACATCCAACCAAATTCATGAGTAACTGGCCCTGACACTAAGTTGTCTTGGACCAGGACCAGATATTAGTCACTACATCGCACCACAAAAAAAACAATTTTAACAGTTAAATATTTATTTTTTGTTAAGTGTTGATACTTTTTGACTTTCTCTCAAGTATATTTTTGGCTCTACACTTCCACTTTTAGTAAGATTTTAACACTACCCATACTTTCACTTATAGTATCTCGATACGATTTTCCACTATAAGTAAAAAATCATAAAAATACACCCATCAGGCATAACATTATGACCACCTCCTTGTTTCTACGCTCATTGTCCACTGACCAAATGTCCATGTCTGGATATTTTTGGTTGTTGGACTATTCTTAGTCCAGCAGTGACACTGAGGTGTTTAAAACCTCCAGCAGCACTGCTGTGTCTGATCCACTCAGACCAGCGCAACACACACTAACACACAACCACCACATCAGTGTTACTGCAGTGCTGAGAATGATCCACCACCCAAATAGTACCTGCTCTGTGAGGGTCCATGGGGGTCCTGACCACTGAAGAACAGGGTAAGTGGAGCTGATAAAATGGACAATGAGCATAGAAACCAGGAGGTGGTCATAATGTTATGTCTGATCAGTGTATGTAATTGGCTCATTTTTTGGCCACAAGAAAACTCTTGGGCTATTTTGACACAAAATAAAGCTGGCTGTGTTCCAAAATAACTAAAGTAACTGAACTGAAACAGATTTGCGCACCTAGGTGAGGTTCATGTTACAGTGCTGGGTCTGAAAGATAACGTTGCTGTCCAGATACGCAAATCAAATGAAGCTGCTGCTGGTGTTCTCAGAACAATGGACTGACCACCCCAGAGTCCAGACCTCAACAACACTGAATGCTTTTGGGATGACTTGGAACATCAGAAGTGGAAAATACGAACCAACTTCTGAAACTGAACTTTGGAGGAGCAGATCTTTGGCGTCACGGTATCACAGCTAGTTTAGTCTTTACTGAGTACGTTCACTGGTATTGTTGCGTCTTTTCCATGCTCAGAACCAAAACAGGTGTAAGTACAGGAATTTTAGACATACAACAAAGCAGAAAATATTTAGTATGTATTTCTAATGTAAACATTAATATCGGTAAACAGAGTTCAGACAAAGTGTCTTTGATTTTCTGGTTTTTTTCAACAAATTTGTTTACAAATCAACAAAAAAAAAAATCATCACCAAGAACAATGATATTCCAACTTTGTGCTCTGTCAGGTCAAGTTTGTATTCTGTTTTATGGTTAATCAGCCTTTATTAGCCTTTAGTGTAGCCCGTTAGCATTACTAGCTGGTTTTGGATAAAGTACATGTTGCTGAACACAGTCGTGGTTAGAAAAGGCCAGAAGAGCTTTTTCAAACATCAGTACTGCCTGAAATTATTTTACAATTAAAATAACAAAGCTTTAAACTGACTGTAAAACAATTACTGTAATCCGAGCAATCAGCCTTTTAGTAGTCTTTACATACAGAAATACTTCCAGTACCATTAAGAGAATCCAGCGTTTGTAAACCTAATCTCTATCTGCTGCACCTGTAGCATAAGATTGATCACCAAGGACAATGTTTTCCCTCTCATACTTGGAAAAGAACAGAAAACACTTATTCCTACTAAAAGTCAATGGGCAGATGGTGAAACACCTCATTAGCATGTATTACAAGCAAGTTAACAAAGGAAAATTACTGCCTATGTTAATCAACCATATGCTACAAATGAAGTAGACAGAGATAAAGCTGAAAAGTGCTGGAGTAGAATGAGCACTGACCCCTCATTTGCACCCCAAACTATTAGACAGCTTTATTTTCCCTGATGTTAATGGAGAAATACACTGTGGACTTTATTATTTTGAAGTAATAGTTTAGCGAAAAATGGCATATACACAATTTTCCCCTTACTCCAAATGCAGATCATTTTAGTCCATATTTATAGATAACAGTGGGTGCGTTTAAATGCACTCTATAATCCGATCATAATCAGATGTCTGCCGTTATCTGATTATTTAAATGGTAATGTAAACAGCATACTCCAATTTCTTAGATTGGAGTAAGGCCTAGAAATCTGGTGAAGAAGTCCGATAAAGAGAGCTGGATTTTAGCTCAGTAATCAGATTTCTCAGTGCATGTGGACTCTTACTCTGATTTCTTTCAGATTTCTCAGTCTGTGCATGTGCGAAAACAGACCGCGGTACCAGAAATAAGCGAGCAGCATCACCGCGAGACGCAGCAAAACACTTTCGGAGTGACACTGAAACCGACTACATGCTTGATGAAATGAAGGATTTAAACAGTCTTCATCTTGTAGATGATGTAAGTTCATATTTTCAGGTAAAGTGGCTCGATGCTTAAAAAAAAGCCACGGCCTGAAGTTTGAGTTTGACATTACGTTTGCGTCTCATCTTCTTCTGTGAGTTTCTTGGTTGGTTACAAAGCAGAAGTCCGATTACTGCCTGACTCAAGTACACCTGTAGTTTTCCCATTGTCTGATTTATCAAGTGCATATAAACGCGTTGATCAGATTCTGACAAAATCAGATTTTCTGCAGTTATCGGATTATTAAGTGCATGTAAACACACTCAATGTGTCATACGGTGTCAGAAACCACATAAAAAGTCTATGTAACATTACTTAACATGGTTTGAGGCAAGCGTGTGATGATGTAGGCATAAAGGTGGCACAATGATAATTGGTGTATGTAACCTTCCATCGCTTGTTTGCTAGAATAGCCTCACAGCACTAATAAGAAGCAAACTTCAGACACTAGACAGACATCTTGGCTGATCAACATTTGGGGTAAAGGGGAAAAGTGTGACTTTTAGTTCGTCACCAAACTATCTCTGTGAGAGGGACCTTAGGGGAAGGGTTTAGGGAACAAGGGTTAGAAGCATGGATTTGGGATTTAGGCCAGATTGTCATTGGGGAAACGAGTAAGCAGGGGAAGTTGGCGATGGTAGGGTTTTTAGGAGGGGTTAGGGGACGAGTGCAGGGTGGATGGATGCGAATTGGAACGGTTCTACAGTATAAAGGGTAGAATGGGCGAGCGCAGAGGAGGGTAGTCGCGGAACTCCTTCAGGTAGCTGCGGTGTTTCGCTTTGGCCCACACGGTCATCTGGATGAAACCCACCAGAGTGAAGAAGGCCACCGGCAGACACTGAGTCATCAGAGTGAAGCCCAGCCAGGAACCCAGCTGTTAACACAAACACATACAAACAGCAGTCAGGAAGGTTAAATCCTAAAAACAGACAATGTTTTTTTTTTTTATGGTAACCTCCAGGACAAACAAAAGAAGGGATCGTATGCAAACATTTGCGCTCCCTGGTCAAAAGCAAATGTTGCGGTTGATTTTCTAAGTGAAAATAAGTTTAAAACATCCTCTACAGAGAAAAAAACCTCTGTACATTTTATTTGCTGAGTTTAACATATTGGAAAAATATGGCCTGTGCACATTTTATATTTCACGTTTTATCTTTTTCCTGTTAGAATTTGGTGGAATAAAGCGAAATAGCAATAATAATGGTAGCGCTGTTGCCTCACAACATGAAGGGTCTGGGTTCGATTCCCCAACCAGGCAACCAGGGTCCTTTCTGTGTGGACACTGCATGTTCTTGCCGTGTCTGTGTGGGTTTCCTCCCACAGTCCCAAGAAATGCAGTCAGGCAAACTGGATAGATGTGAATGAGGGTATGCTCTGCGATGGACTGGCGACCTGTAGAGGGCGTTTTCTGCCTTGCGCAAAATGACTGCTGGTACAGGCTCCAGCGCGACCCAGAAGGATAAGCAGCTTAGATAATGTGTGTGCGTATATGCAAAGCATCAGGGCAGAAAGATCAGGTCTGAGCAAAAAATTCAGCAATAAGACTTTTAACATGAACACAGCCTCAGATGCACCGAATCTTAACCTATGATAGACTGTTGTTGTGTTTCTCAGATATAAACTGACACTCTAACTGGGCACTAGCAGCTGAAATATATACAAAAATCCTGAAATATTCAACCTCCTGATGTCCCAACATTACACTTTTTCAGAACTTCAAAAGTTTGTCCAAGACATTGGATCAGTTTTCTTATTTTCCAGGTTGCTGGTAACTAGTATAGACATTTCTAGGTGTTCCAGGAAGCGTGGGAACCCTGTTATATTACTCTCTCTCTCTCTCTCTCTCTATATATATATATATATATATATATATATATATATATAAATAATTTACACACACACACACACACACACATATAGTATACATGCATGAGCTGACCTCATAGGTGTAGTTGGGGCAGGACACCAGCAGAAAGATCCAGGTGAAGGGGTTTTTAGTTGGATATGGAATCTTTCTTGTCTTAGAGCCTTGAAGATTAAAGCAGAGACAGAAGACTTTGATTACTTACAGTGACTGAGCTAATAAAAACCGCAAAAGCAAAGATGTTCTATGTGCTGGGCGAGTAGGCATGTCTCTGTGAGTGTGAGTGTGAGAGGCTCACCTGGAGGTCGTAGGTTTCTCAGTGCAATATGGATGGAGAAGTTGCCAATCTGGCAGAACTGTAGAGAGAGAAAGATGTTTAGCACTCTGCTCTTATGTGTTTAGTTCTAAAAGATAAGTTATAATAAAAGACCACAGAGTGGAGAAAACCGGTCTGGTCACAGCTCTTACCAGGAAAACGATGAGCGCCATTTTCACCTGCTGCTCTCCATAAGCTGCAACACAGATGCAAAAGGTGAAGAGAGAGAACTAAGGAAGCCTGTGATACCCGGTTCTGAACAAGAACCAGGTATAAATACATAGTCAAGAAGCAGTAAATAAGTAGACAATGAACATTTTGTAACTTATAATTCATTTACAAATAAGATAAAAGTGTAACTCTGTAAAGATTTTTTTAACTGAAAGGTTCTTTAAGGAACCAAACCTTGTCCTTGTATGGCAACACACAAAAGAACCATTTCCCAATTATTACCATCAGGCTGTAAAACTACCCACACTGCACTGCAGATTCATACTGGATTAAAACCACTTTACAGTTATTACCATCTGACTCTATTGAATAAAATCATACTAAATTAAAATCATAGATCTTAGTGTTATTCGCTTAAGTTACACGTTCTCCCCATGTAAAACTAATCCAGCACAAATCTAGGGAGCTGTTCCAGTGTAGATCTGAGTGTTGTTCTAGAGCAGTGCTTCCTAACTTGGTCCTCAGGGGCCCATATTTTTGCTTCAACCTAAACTGCAACACCTATGGATGCAACCAGTTGTTCTAGAATAAATCACAATGTTGTTCCAGTGCGAATCAGAGTGTTGTTCTAGAATTCATTTGGAGGTTGTTCTAGAGTAAATCAGTGCTGTTTTAGAGTGAATCTAAGTCTTGTTCTAGAGTGAATCTAAACATTGCTCCGCTGTGAATTAGAGTTGTTCTAGAGTAAATCACAATGTTGTTCCAGCGCGAATCAGAGTGTTGTTCTAGAATTCATTTGGAGGTTGTTCTAGAGTAAATCAGTGCTGTTTTAGAGTGAATCTAAGTCTTGTTCTAGAGTGAATCTAAACATTGCTCCGCTATGAATCAGAGTTGTTCTAGAGTAAATCAGAACATTGTTCCAGTGTGAATCAGATGGTGTTCTAGAATGAGTTTGGGGGTTGTTCTAGAGTGAATCAGTGCTGTTTTAGAGTGAATCTAAGTTTTGTTCTAGAGTGAATCTAAGCATTGCTCCAGTGTGAAAGAGTTGTTCTAGACTGATTTAGAATGTTTTTACAGTGTGAACTGGAGTGCTGCTCTAGAGAGAATCAGGGATTATTCTAGAGTGAATCAGAGTGTTGTTCTAGAATGAATTGGGGGTTCTTCTAGAGTGAATTAGTGCTGTTTTAGAGTGAATCTAAGCACTGCTCTGCTGTGAATCAGAGAGTTGTTCTAGAATAAATCAGAATGATGTTCCAGTGTGAATCAGAGTGTTGTTCTAGAATGAATTGGGGGTTCTTCTAGAGTGAATTAGTGCTGTTTTAGAGTGAATCTAAGCACTGCTCTGCTGTGAATCAGAGAGTTGTTCTAGAATAAATCAGAATGATGTTCCAGTGTGAATCAGAGTGTTGTTCTAGAATGATTCTGGGGGTTGTTCTAGAGTAAATCAGTGCTGTTTTAGAGTGAATCTAAGTTTTGTTCTAGAGTGAATCTAAGCATTGCTCCAGTGTGAATCAGATAGTTGTTCTAGAGCGAATCAGAATGCTTTTACTGTGTGAATTGGAGTGTTGTTCTAGAATGAATTTGGGGGTTGTTCTAGAGCGAATCAGTGCTGTTTTAGAGTGAATCTAAGCATTGCTCCAGTGTGTCCAGCTGTTCTACAGTGAATCAGAGTGTTCTTCCAGTGTGAATTACACGTATCTGGTGCTTGTTGTGTACTCACTGGGTGGCGTGTAGAGCGGGTGGTTAATGTAGTAAGCCATCCATGCAGCGAATCCCCAGTAATATGTACAGTTCTGAAACACACACAGACTGATGACATGTGATGTTACAGGTCACACACAAAATAAAATCTGACCCTGATCCTGGTTGGGGTCAGGGGTTATTGCTAAAGTTAGCTTAGAGCAAAGTGTCAACAACATTCCAACAAGCCACCCTTCATACAGACCACAGCACTGTCCAGTATCCTAACTGCCCCATACATAATAGAATAAACTCATGAAGGACTTAAAAGTCACCTTGAAATCAAAACTGAGTTCACCATCGTTGGTGAAACGATTCATCATAGTGATGATATGATTCATCACCTTATATCAAAAAGGAAAAAGTCTGGTTTTTCTTGTGATCTTCTTTCAAAATGTAAGGTGGGCAGAATATAATTAATCAATAACATCCCCCTCCCACCACCCCATGGAGAGAACTCGCTCAGCTAGATTGGAGACAATCCCTGACACCACACACTTTAACAAATTAGCTGATAAGTTAGGTGTGTTCAAAGCAGAACGGTCCAATCTTATCCACAAAGGGCCGGTGTTACTGCAGGTCTGCCCCTGATTCTACTTGTCTAATCAGTTGGTCTCAGCCTTCAACAGTTGATCAGGTGAGCTCCTGCTTGGTTCCCCAAGATTGTCTCAGAGAAATAAAGCAGATCTCAATATTATATTAATGATCACTGATTTCTGAATCGTTTCTCCTAAACCCCCCTAGGGGATTAACATCAGCATTTCACTGGGAGACGTTCTGGTGATGAATGAGAAAAACACGTGTTCTCCTTTGGCACTGACAGATGACGATGAGATCTCACACTCTTCTTATGGAGCTGTTATTCAGCTGAGACTGTGGTGAGACGAGTCAGACACTAAAGAGGTAAGCCTCATGTCTGACAACACTTTGAACAAAGTGAGAAAATCTGAGTTTTATTTCTCAGGAGCCAAATTTTAGAAACAGGAGAAAATGGCTTCAGTCTCACCCTGATCTCAAACTGGACTTAACCGTGTCTAGGAGAAGTACCTGAGATCAAGAGGAGATCTCAGTTAGAATATTTCTTTCCTCTGGGTCAAACAAATCTGTCCTAAAGCAGGGATGGCGACCTCCAGTGCTGGAGGGCCGGAGTCCAGCACAGCACAGTGATTCACCTGCTCAGACCGACCTGCCTCAACTCAATAGCTAATTGGCAAGTTTAGCAGGTGAGTTATGCTTTGTTTGCACTGGCCTGTAAATGGAAGGTTAGACTTCAGATCTACAAAGTGGGGAAAACAGACGAAAGTGAGAATTGTTAGCAGCATGATAACCAGTTCACTGGTGGTTTTGGATAGTAAATAAAATGGCTATGTTTGTGTTATTGACATTGCGACCCCTGGTTCCTATCAGCACCACTGTAAAGAAATCTGAGACTGTACTCTGAATGATTTTAGCCCTATTTGAGCTGGATTTGATAATGTAGTTTGTGCCTGATTTCCCCAAATAGCCCGGATCAAAACATGATCAGACAGATATTTAATTCAGGATTATGTGACAGTCATCACACTCCTGAACAGTAATAATGTTGTGCGGCTAAACGTTAGTTATGATGCCAAAAACGAGCCTTGAGGATGGAGACTTTACATCTCATTTCAGTGTGGGCCCATTATCAATAGCAAATTTCAAATTATGGGAGGGAATACACAACAAACTGTTATGGATTTCAGAAGTCATGAATTTGACGATTAGGGAAAAGGGTCAAATTGAGCTCTGTGTAGCTGTTAGCCTCGTCTTTGGGTCCCAAAAAAGGTTTTGTTATTATTTCACTTTGATGTTGACTCGACTGCTGAGAGAGGTCCTGGTTCTGGGCTTTATACAAGGTAAATCGCCTTGGATTTAATAGTGGGCATTGCAGATTCTTACTGGATTTAAATCATGGATCTTGTTGATAATCACTCAAATTACATCCCCGTGTAAAACTAATCCAGCTCCAATAGGGCTATTGTTTACATCTAAACTCCTAATTTATGCAGAAAAATGTTGAAAATTTTCTATAAAGCCTGAATTTTGTCAGGATATTTGTCTGTGTTTATAGATGTGTGTTATAGAATATCAGAAACCACTAGTCTATTTGAGATACTGAGCATCTCCACACGACTCGACTGTGTAAACGAGTGTCTTTACTGTGTCTGTGAGTTTCTGCTCACCTTGAAGATGTTACGGAGCGGCATCGTCCCGTGAGAGAAGCGGTGGACAAACAGAGTCTCTAGTAGTCTCTTAACGTAGTGGAAGGAGTGACACATACACGCCAAGCTACAACACAACAGGACTACATTACCCATCAGCCCCTCGTCTTTTGAACATTCTATTACAGGGAAGTTATAGTGAGGACCAGGTTTATTAACCACAGACTGATAACTGATATATATATATATATATATATGTTCTCCATGCAACATTATTAAGACTGAGGTTATCAAAAAAGTAACCAATAACTTCAGAGAAGAAGAAAAAGAAGGAGGTAAAGGGTGTCTGAAGCGTCTGATGACACTTACTGTACGACCCAGTGTTTGCTGGTGGTGAAGTCGTATTTTGGTGGGTAGATGAACGGCACCCGGAAATAAAACATCAGATAAATCAACAGAGGACCTGCATACTCCGTTAGAAACACCTGAATGAGAGAGAAGAGAAGAGAAGAGAAGAGAAGAGAAGAGAAGAGAAAATCAGAGAAGAGAAGAGAAGAGAAGAGAAGAGAAGAGAAGAGAAGAGAAAATCAGAGAAGAGAAGAGAAGAGAAGAGAAGAGAAGAGAAGAGAAGAGAAGAGAAAAGCAGAAAAGAGAGGAGTAGAGAAGAGACAAGAGAAGATAGGAGAAGAGAAGAGAAAAGAGGAGAGGAGAGGTGAAGAGAAAAGAGAAGAGAAAAGACGAGAATAGAAAGGTAGAGAAGAGAAGAGAAGGAGAGAGAGAAGAGAAGAAAAGAAAGAGAGAGAGAGAAGAGAACAGAGAAGAAGAGAAGAAAGGAGAAGAGAATAGAAGAGAGGAGAAGAGAAAGTAAAAGAAAAGAAGACAGAGGAGAGAAGAGGTGAAGAGAAGAGAAGAGAAAAGAGGACAATGAAAGAGAGAAAAGAACAGAGGAGAAGAGAAAGTAAGAGAAGAGAAGAGAAACAAGGAGAAGAGAAGAGAAGATGAGAAGAGAAGAGAAGAGAAGAGAAGAGAAAAGCAGAAAAGAGTAGAGAAGAGACAAGAGAAGATAGGAGAAGAGAAGAAAAACGAGAAGAGAAGATAGGAGAAGAGAATAGAAAAGAGGAGAGGAGGGGAGAGGTGAAGAGAAAAGAGGAGAAGAGAAGAGAAAAGATGAGAATAGAAAAGTAGAGAAGAGATGAGAAGAGAAGGAGAGAGAGAAGAGAAGAAAGAGAGAGAAGAGAGAAGAGAAAAGATGAAGAGAAAAGTAGAGAGGAGAGGAGAGAAGAAGAGAAGGAGAGAGAGAAGAGAAGAGAACAGAGAAGAAGAGAAGAGAGGAGAAGAGAAAGTAAGAGAAAAGAAGAGAGAGGAGAGAAGAGGTGAAGAGAAGAGAAGAAAAGAAGCGAAAAGAGGAGAAGGAAAGAGAGAAGAGAACAGAGGAGAAGAGAAGGTAAGAGAAGAGAAAAGAAGAAAAGAGAAGAGAAATAAGGAGAAGAGAAGGAAAAGTGTTCTTTAATTAATGTTGGAAAACCACTAAAACTGACCACTAATGAGAACTAATCTCTCTCTCCGTCTCTCTCTCTCTGTTCTATCTCTGTCTCTCTCTCTCTGTCTCTCTCTCTCTCTGTGTGTGTTCTATATCCGTCTCTCTCTCTCTCTCTCTCCCTCTCTCTCTGGGTGTATGCCGTTGGCAGCAGGCTCACATATTTCCACAGGTTATATATATATATATATATCCCTTTAGCCTTTGTATAGGGTGGTCTTGCTCAAACACACACAGGCCAGACAAATGCATATACCTTCAAATACATACAGTAAAGTTATGGTTGGTACACAGAACTGAAATAATCATCAGAGACAAATTAAACCAAAGACCTTTTCACAAACAGTCCCCACAGTTTCCTCGCCTCATCCCAAATGTACTCGATCAGCCCAGACATGCAGAGCCACCATGCTAATGTAGCTAACAGTAACGACTCACTCACTCCAGTGATCGTTACAACATTGACGCCCGTGTTTCAGACAGAATCGGTATAACATGTTTCTGACACACGTATGACACACTGTTGTCTATAAACATGGAAGTTTATTAGCATAGCTTAACCAAGTGTGATTATGCATCTCCGTTAGCTTGGTGCTAACAACACTACAAATTCCCAAAGAGCTCCTAATGGAAATTAGCATAATGCTAGCAGGTAACTGGATGATGAAAGGCTAAAGTAAATTACAAGGTAGCTAACAAGTAATAATACACATATTAGCTTTACACAGACTGCGAGTCTAAGTCATCACACACTGCCTCAGACTGTTAAGTAGTTTAGTCATTTCAAGTAGACTTGTTTATGTCGTTTCTGACACTGTATGATGTTGTTGTCCATAAACACTGACCATAAACATGGACAACAGTTGATTAGAATAGCTAAAAACAAACGTGATTGCACATCACCGCTAGCTTGGCGCTAGCAACACTACAAATTCCCATAGGGATGCTAGCGGAAATTAGCATTATGCTAAGGCTATATTATCATCGGACAATGAAAGGCTATTTATAAAGTGAATTACAAGGTTTCTGTATTCATCACGCTATTTTCCCAGACAGCGAGCATATATCGGTCCGCTGGTTTGAAAAGGTCGGCACCCCACTGGCTGTTTGCCACTGCTGGTCCACAATCGGACCGCCCAGATTACTGTCCTGCATACAAGCTCTAACTAGTTTTTAATCTTCTCAAACAGATTTTAAATGCACAGAGACTTTATTTTAGAAAATAAACTTACACAAATTTTTACAAAACAACCGAGAGAAAAAGTAATAATGACTAAGCCTGATATAAAACGATTCCATAGAAAATGTTGCTGACGCTGTGCTGGATTAAAATGATTTACTAATCTAATTTACAATCTAATCTTAGTATAATTTACAATCTAATCTAAGTTTAACTAAAGAAAGGAAGGTAAATTGGACTGTGAGTGGAAAATGAGCGATGATAAGTGGACTTTTGTCTAATACTCCGCTTAACCGCCTGTGGACGGCCCGGAAAACGCTAAGCAAAACACCAGTGGACCACCAGCTTTGCCATTAGCGGGCCGACAGTGGACCACTGTCCTCTTGCTATCAGGGTTGCTTTTTCAAATAGACCTGTTAGTTTCTGACACTCTATGACATATTGTTGTCCATAAATATGGACAACAGTTGATTAGAATAGCTAAAAACAAACGTGATTACACATGACCGCTAGCTTGGCGCTAGCAACACTACAAATTCCCATAGGGTTGCTAGCGGAGATTAGCATTATGCTAAGTGTATATTATCATCGGACAATGAAAGGCTATTATAAAGTGAATTACAAGGTTTCTGTGTTTATCACGCTATTTTTCTGTGCTTTTTCAATATTTGCCAGATTAACTTGAATTACAGTACGGGTGAAACCCCCGATAGCAAGAGGATAGCAGCCCACTGGAGGAAAAGCTGGCGGCCCGCTGGCTTTTTGCTCAGTGTTTTGCAGGTGGCTCACAGGTGGTCAAGCAGAGTATTAGCGAAAATGCCACTTTTCATCACAGTCCAGCTTATTTATTCTCCTTTTACTTAACATTTCTTTCTTTTATTATCCTTTGTAAATTAGTTTCTAGCACAGTGTCAGCAACGTTTTCTACAAAATCATTTTATATCAGGCCTAGTCGTTATTTGTTTCTCTCAGTTGTTTGTACTATTTGTCTTTTTCTACAATAAAAGTCTCTGCGCATTTCAAATCTGTTTGAGATTAAAAACTAGTTAGACCTTGTATGCAGGACCATAACCTGGGTGGTCCAAGGGTGGTGCCAACCCCTATCAAGCCAGCGGGCCGATATATGCTTGCTGACTGGGGCGCTTCCCAACCAATCAGACTGGTCTACAGCACTGTTGTAGAAGGCGGAGATTAATGGCACAATGCAATCTCTAGAAAGGTATGCTACATTAGCCTCGTAGCTCCAGTGTAAGCAACCTTTAGATATCGAACACGTCTTCTGTGACTGACCACATTTGGGGTAAATGGGAAAATGACTTTTGTTTGTATGCAGCTCTACTCAACCTTCTCAATATCTAGTAGAGTGAAATGGTTTCTTGACGGTCGCGGAAGTCAGGTTTAGGTGCAGGTGTAATATTAGATGGACACAGTAATACTGCACTCTACGCAAGTCCCCACAAGTACGGTAAGACCAGAGTGTGTGTGTTACCGTGACCCAGCTGATCTGCGCTCCCGAGGTCTCTGAAGTAGAAGGTTGCCGTGGTACCGACAGGCAGGTGCTGCAACACGTCTTCATCCTTCAGTGACTTCCCCTCTGCAACACAATCCCACAATGCATCAGTATACAACCGTCATCATCACAGACCCAACCTGCACGTAAGCTCTGGTGATGTTGAATGTTGGTGATGTACTTTGTTCCATATATACGGAATGAGCTGGAGGAAGTTGCGGGGTCGTCTGGGATTCCCTGCTCTCCCATCTGCTACCGTGACCCTATCTGGACTAAGCGGTTAAGGATGATGAATGAATGAATATATTTCCCTCAAAACGAATACAGGACAAAACGTACCGGCTTTGGGATATTTTTGTTTTCCACAGGACGCAATAGCGGCCGTTTTCGCAAATGCTATTGATTTTTCTCCATAGTGAGACCAGCTTAGACCCAAAGTTGCTAATAGTGATGACAAGATTAGATTAAGTGACCCTTATTAGTCCCACAACGGGGACATTTCATCTCCGCGTTTAACCCATCCGTGCAGTGAAACACCACATACACACTAGTGAATGCACACACTAGGGGGCAGTGAGCACACTCGCCTGGAACGGTGGGCAGCCCTATCCACAGCGCTGGGGGAGCAGTTGGGGGTTGGGTGCCTTACTCAAGGGCACTTCAGTCACGTCTCAGGGGATCAAACCGGCGACCCTCCAGTCGCAAGGCTGGTTTCCTAACCTCCAGCCCACAACCGCCCCCGACACATAACTTCAGAGGTCTATGGCCACTGATATTACACTCTTTTATAGCTATTACACTTAATCAACTCCTCAACGCTACAGATTGTGCATGTAATCTGTTCTGATCATCTGGGCCTCGTTCAAAAAAGCAGGCCTTATAACATCAGTGGCTAAACCTCTGTAGGCTGAATAGGTAGATATCAATCAATCAATCAATCAATCAATCAATCAACCTTTATTTAACCTCGGAGAACACTGAGGGTGACCCTCATTTACAATGTTGCCGAGTTGATACAGGAAAAAGGGATTAATATATGAAAGAGCATCTGAAATAATAAAAGTCAACTGAAGTATAAAAAAATGAGACATTAATAATAAGAATCCATAATGAATAGAAGAAAATAGAAAACAATAATTAAAACATAACTAAAATGTAAAGCGTAAATACATGTGCTGTTATTTTTGTGATACAAAAAACAATGAATTCTATTTAGGCAGTTTTTTACATCATCTTTGTTGCGCAAAAACTTAGTATCTCCATTTTTGATGTTTTTTCTTTTTTGTTTTGCATAATTTGAAATGTCCGGTTACGCTTGGCCTTGTGTTAAGATTCCATGATGAACCAACCAACAAAAATGGTGAAAAATGACATCAACTGCGCCAAAATTGCATCAACTTCCATTAAAAGTTAAGAATGTTTTTCCTTCTCCTGCAAAGTTACAGTTTTGGAGACTGAAGGCTACTTTTTGACACTTTAACAGTGTTTTCATACCACATCAAACTTTCATTTAAAAATTTGATATTATTTAATCATCAAGTTTCCTTTAATTATCAACTTAAATTTGAATCCGGCAAATGCGACGTTATGTTCATTTCACTGGGCCATGTTTGAAAATGGAATACAGGTTTATCTAGATAATCCACTGTCTGCAGCTAAAACGTTTGCTTTCCTCGCTGTTCTTGGCTATCTGAGGTCTGTTATACTACACAGAGTGAAGTCTGTATTAGTGTGTTGGTCTGACGGTAATCAGATTACTCACTGGGGTCGAGACGAATGGACTGTCTGGCGGGATACCACTGAGGGTCTGAAACAAACACATAAACAAACGACAAACATTAAAAAACAAGCGCCAACATAGTTCAGTGCCCTTAAAACCCCAATGGTCTAATATGCAAATCAAAAGCACTTATAAGTATTAGGACCTGACTGATATACTGTTTGGCTGATTAAAGCAGTGGATATTACATTTCTAGAGATGAATGGATTTATACTCTCATATCAAAAGAATTATGACAAATAAAAAATGAATAAAACAGCCAAGAATGTTGGGTAGCTCCATCATCAGTGCCACAATATTTATATTACTTTCAGTTTCTGCTGTTTACTTGATTTTCAGAAATCTGCCAGTCGTTAACAGTGAATCGTGAAATAAAACAATCATTTCCATCAATATTATCAATCAGTACAACTATTAGGATCAGTTTCTAAGCCTAGTTCTGGACTACGCAGCATTAATCCAATACTAGGCTTGATCCTTGTCCAGAAAACCGACTCTCGCAGTCTAATATTGACCAAACGCAGTCGTGTGCAAAAGTTTGTGCACCCCCATTGACATTTTTTGATGTGTTTCTAAGTGAAAATAAATGAACACAAAACACACTTCGGCACATTTTAATGCACAATTAGTGTTTATTTGCTGAATTTCATGTACTGGAGGGAAACATCACAGCACAAAAGTCACAGTTCGAAACTCATGGCACATTTTATAAGGTATGTTTGTTTTTATTTCCAGTATGTTAAACTCAGCAGATAAATAGAAACAGTGCACTAAAAATTGCTGAAAATGGCTATATTTAGTTATATTTTCACTTAGAAAAAAAAAATGTACATAACATAAAATTTAACTGGGGAGTGCCCAAACTTTTGCATACTTCTAATTATACCTAATTATTCACGGTTAGCTAATTATTCATGGTCAGTGAATGGTTTAGCACCTTAAAATAGGTATAACTATTTAGGTAATAGCTCTATAACTACAGTTGCTATTACACTGAATTTAATCAGCGAAGCTTGTGGGTCCGGCGTACCCCTGTCCTGCATGTTATACTATATTTTTGTTATGTAATACACTTGATTCAACTAATCAGCCCCTTAACGCCATTGCTAAGCTGAAGTGTATATAGGTGTATGTGTTAGAGCGGGAGAACACGGACAGCGCTTAGCTAATATGCTCCCATTAACACGTTCGGGCTGTCGGTTCACTTACGGCTCTTATGGAACATCGACTTGATCTCCCCGATGGTCGCATTGGGCTCCACCTGTTAACCAACAAACATAAATAAACACTCTCTACAGCCTGTCTGTATGTGTGGGAGAAATTAGTGGTATATTTAGCCACTCGGGCTGTTGCCCCCTAGTCAGTGGGGTCTTACAACAGCTGCTGTTCTTCAAGACAGAACCCATGCAGAGCAGATGCTTGTCCTGTAACTGTAACCTATATATCCTCTAAACACATACTCATATTCCATAATCCATACCGTAATGCATGGCTGTTTTCATACAAAGCACATACAGGTGATAATCACATTGAGCAACTCACTGATACTGAGCATCATGACTGTGAACAGCCAGAGCTGAAGGGTATGAACACTATATTCTGATTGTACAGTACTGTGTAAAAGTCACCACTTCATTCATTTCATCCAGTCAAAAAGGCCAATAAATACAAGTTATTCATTTTTAAGCATCAGGAATAAAATCTGAAATCATACAATTAACAGAAAATGACACAGAAGCCTCAACAGCTAAATATAATACCACATATTTCAGTGTTCAGTGTGTCACTCTTTCCCTTTATTCCACCTTCCATTCTTTTCATGAGCCTGACTTTCAGTTTCTCTAATAAATCTGCAGACACAAACTCCAAAGTTCAGTCTTAGAAGCTGGTTGATCATTTTCTGAAGTAATCAAACACATTCAGTGATGTTGAGGTCTGGACTCTGGGGCGGTCAGTCCATTGTTCGGCTTCTTTGTTTGATGTGTCCGTCTCCTTTTCTCAGTGAGGTTCTTCTTGATCAGCTACACATCCTTTCAGACCCACAGCGCTGAGTCGTCTTCTCACAGTGGAAGGATGGACAGAAACACCTGTGGATGTTTTCAGATCTGAAGCAGCTTGATTTTCTCCTCCCTCTCAAAGATGAAAGCTTTAGGTGCTGTTTATCTGATGGGGGCCGTTTTGATGATCTACCAGGTCTTCCAGGTGGTTGTTAGGAGGCCCATTTTCTATTTTAATCATTTTTTTTCCTTTTGACTTTCTCTTTCCTTCTGCAAGTGGATCATCTTATATCTAAACTCCTCATAAATATCTCCCGAAAAATCAATAACCTGTACTTAATGGCCGATTTTGACTGGAAATAAATAAATGATAAATGTTCTCTGACCTTTGCACAGTGCTGTACATATTATGATATGCCTTACAATGTACTTAACCCACATTGGTAAGCACTTGATTTTACACGGCTATAATGGCTTGCATCAGTCTGACCTGATTTATTTATATTCATTGGATGTTTTGATGAGTCACTCACAGAAACAGTAATCTAGAATTGTGATTGGTCAGGATGCTCACAGCACACATTGAAACAAATCGGAATGGAGCAAATTCACAGTTGCAGTACTGATAAACAAGCAATATACTGATTAAGAAACGTGCTACTCTGCAAAGGCAACGGTGGAAATAAAACTCCTTGAGCTCAGATGAGGAATCATATATTATAAATGAGCTTCATATAAGAGTATTATATATAATATACTATACTGTGTCAAGGTCACTATCTTTCAAGCAATAGCTGTCGATTGCTTACGACATCACAGCATGGTTAAAATCCATTGTGGCATTATATTGCAATTTCAATTCAACGGTGATGTCACAACAGTTTAACTCCATCGTGACATCATAATACCTTCAGTTCCACTCTAATGTCACAGCAGTTTGAATTCTGCTATGGCACCACACCACTTTCAGTTCCACTGTGATGTCACAGCGGTTTCCATTCCACTGTGATGTCACAGCACTTTCAATTCCAATTAAATACCCCAACACTTCGTATTCCGCTGTAATATCCCAACACTTTCCATTCCATTATGATGTCATAACATTTTCAATTCCACTGTAATATCCCAACACTTAATTCCACTGTGATGTCACAATACGTTAAATTCCACTGTGCCGTCACAACACTTTCAGTTCCGTTGTGTGATCACAGTACTTTCAACTTCACTGTGACGTCAAAGCAGTTTAAACTCTGATGTCATGCTCCCCTTTTCATTTCACTGTGACGTCACAGCGGTTTCAGTTCCACAGCTGACGTTAGTGTGGAGGTTCCTCGGGTCGCTGGAGGTCGCACAGTAGCGTGATCCCAGATAATCCAGTGAGAACGGTCTGCAACACCCTAGACACTTCATTACGGATTCCTCAGTAAGGGTGAGAGAGTGGTGAGGCTTCCGGCCCCCGCATCGTCTCACAGTAACACGGCACCTCGCAAGACTACACCCAGGAACTCTTCACACTGAGCACTAGCGCATACGCTATAGATAGAATCAGCCTTACCAGGAGAAACACACTGCCAACCCTGCCTGAGGTAGATTAAAGGAATACTTCAGCAAATCATCAGATTTACCCAGTTATTCCTTTACCTGAAATTATAGCTGTTTATGTCATATTGCTGAGGAGCTACAAGCCTCGGCAATTAGCATCATGCAAACTGTCTAAATCATCATTTACCTCAAACTTTGTTGATTATGACAACTTGGTTATGAGGTTTCTGTCACTGTATGACACACTGTTTAGCCAAAAACTGACATTACCAAATATTGCAGTTATTTAAAGGGGAACTCCACCGATTTTGCAAAATTACTGAATCATTCAATGGTTCGTATTTAAACAAAATCATTCAGAGTGGTTTGGTGTGAAATATGCCTTTCTATAGAAATTTAGAGTCAAAATTCTTCACCATCGTAGTACTAGGAACCAGACGTCCATATGTCTACACTACAAATATCACTATTTAATCTGCTATCCAAAATGACCAGTGAGCTTACACGTCTTATACGTTTTTATACGTCCTGTTGATGATGTGAAAATAGTGCTAAATTCAAAAAGTATGTTTCGTTTGGGTACTACTTTTTCCTTACAACGGCCTACATATACCTCTCCTCCCTGTACGCAATATGTTTTGTTTGTTTAGGCAGCGTTGCGAAACATTTGTGAAAGAAGAAATTAATGGTCATGCACACATCACTGAGTGTGTTTACATGCACTCAATACTCCGATCATAATCAGATTTCTGCAGTTATCTGATTATTCAAACGGTCATGTAAGCAGCACAAGGTAAGGCCTCGAAATCCGATTAAGAAATCTGATAAAGAGAGCTGGATTTTAGCTCAGTAATCAGATTTCTCAGTGCATGTGAACTCTTACTCTGATTTCTTTCAGATTTCTCAGTCTGCACATGTGTGAAAACAGGCGGTGGTACTATAAATAAGCGAGCAGCATCACCGCGAGACGCAGCAAAACACTTTTGGAGTGACACTGAAACCAAATACATGCTTGACGAAATGAAGGATTTAAATATTCTTCGTCTTCTAGATGATGTTTGTTCATATTTTCAGGTAAAGTGGCTCAATGTTTAAAAACAAGCCGCAGCATGAAGTTTGAGATTTATATTATGTTTACATCACGCCTTCTTCTGTGAGTTTATTGGCTGAAATCTGATTACTGTCTGACTCAAGTAGACCTGGAATTTCCCCATTTTCTGATTACTCAAGTGCATATAAATGCGTTGATCAGATTACTGACAAAATCGGATTTTCTGCAGTTATCGGATTATGAAGTGCATGTGAACGCACTCATTAGCCAAGTTTACTTGCAGCCTAATAATCCGTTAATAATCTGACTAATATCTCAATCGGAATAGAATTCGTCCATGTAAACACCTCAGTCGGAATAGTTTAGTCTGATTGAGGCCATTTGGAGTACAATTTCTATCCGACTGATCGAGGTGGGTAATCCTGTAAATAATCTGTTAAATAGAAGAATAATATCAGTGTAAACGCCTGTATCTGATTACATTCCCTATCGGAAAGTTTAAGTCCGTTCTGATCATGTTCGTCACGTCATAGTGAAAGTTTATACCATTCAACATGGCGGAGCAGAAACTGGTCTGCAGAGGAGACGAAGTTTATGCTCTGATCTTTAAAAGACGGCGGTGGGACGGACGTCCAGCTTATGTGTCTCAGAACACGACGTCTTCCTCTCGGCCTTCTTTAATAAGGACATGTGAAGTACGTTTTCCTGAGTCTGACATCATTTTAAAGCAATTACAAACACAAGCACTGCTCACTGCTGCTCATCTCACTCTGACTGGACTCGCATGATGCTCGTTGTCATGGGTAATGTTTACTCTAAGTGGTTCTCAGAGATTTGCCATCAGATTGTTGAGTAGAGTGAGAATATAAATGCCTCAGTCTTGATCTGTAATCGGAATGTACTCAATCAGATTGGCAAAAACCTCTGCATGTAAATACAGACAATGTTAGATGTTAGCTTACAACAGACTGTCTAAAGTGGGCCATAATAAAACTCTAAAAGTCTCGCTATCCTACCACATAAACTGGCAGAGTGGGAAGTAGTTTGTTGTTGACACCAGCGATTTCCATTCACTCTGGGTTGCTCTGTGTCGGTGCCATTTTGTGTAATAACTTAACAGGATGTAGCTTTTAGAGCCATTAAACGCTTTGGACGTCTGGTTCCTAGTACTATAATGGTGAACAATTCTGACTCTGTAAATTTCTCTATAAAGGCGCATTTCACACCAAACCACTCTGAATGACCTTGTTTACATCTAAACCATTGAATGATCAAGTAATTTTGCAAAATCGGTTCCCCTTTAAATAAGTGCTGCTATTACGCTAATTATCGACCTTTCCTCATATGCAAAATTACTTGTTCATCACCGCTTATCCTATATATAACCATTAATTTTATACAATCCATTTATCCTATGGCTAGTTTAAGAATGTTTCCTTTAGAAAAGGTTACTTTTGCACTTATGCAAACGTTTGGGAATCCCTGGTCAAATGGAGTTCAGTGTAAGAGAAAATAAGTTACACATCATCTACAGAGACACACTATTGAACATTTTAATACACAATTACTGTTTACTTGCTGAATTTGACATACTGGAAAAAAAAACATAAAATGTGGCCTGTGCAAAAGTTATGGCATACTTTATATTTTGCTTTATTTTTTATTATTATAATTATTATATTAATTATGTATATATTGAGGCTGAAATAATCAGAGAAATGCCATATTTGAGTGTGTTGCCTGTAGAGGATGCGTGAACTTATTTTCCCTTAGAGAATCAACAAAACATGTAAACTGACCAGGGGTGTTTTAACTTCTACATACAACTGTAGTTATCACCATAAATTACTAACGTTAGAAGCTATTCCACATGATAATTATTTGGTAATTATATAACCATTAGAAAATGCAAGCTATTTGGTGAGAGCATATGTGGTACTTCAGAATGGAAGTTACATTAATTCACGATAACATACTTCCTATAATTCATCTATAAAAATAGACAAATGTATTCTGCCCAGCTAAAAACAGTAGTAGCAGCCATAGATGACAGTATATCAAACACTAAGCTATTCCTTTAACAGTGTTGGCCCTGTACTGTAAATCCAACAGCAGGCAGCGTAGAGTTTGGGTCAAAGCTGGTCTTACCTTGTCCAGGAAGCAGAGCTTGTCCTTGGTCTTGGCGTCCAGAATCTCCACCTCAAAAAAGACAACAGCTTTCTTAGTTTTCTTTGCAGGTTTGCGTTTGGTGGGAGTGGGGACAGGGGGGCCTGTGAGCAGTGTGGTGGGCTGAGCCTTTTTGGGCAGGGTGGCTTCTAAAGCCAAGGTATCCATATTCCTCCACTCTCTCTCTCTCTCTCTCTCTCTCTCTCTCTCTCTCTGTCTCTTTATTTCTTTAATCTGTCTGTTTAACCCTCTAAAACGAGAGCAAGACCTAGACAGTCAGCTGCAGAAACCTCTCTCTCTCTCTCTCTCTCTCCCTCTCTCTCTGTGTCTCTCCCCCACAGCTATGCCCTCTCTACCCCACCTTCTCTCTCCCTCTGACTCCACCCTCTTGTCTTTCTGGCCCCCCTTTATTTGAGCACTGGCCTTTCCCCAACCCCGCTGCACACTGCCTGTCAAAAGTCTGGGGACACCTCAGCATGTTTTCTTTGTCTGTGTGAAATAACTTACCATATTAAAGGGCCCATATGCTACATTTGTCTTGCCCTGAGGTCCATTTGTATAATTTAAGCATTAAAACCAGCCATAACTCATTTTACATAACTCATTTTTCTCGACCGTTTTTGTTTCTGCGTCCTTAGGATCGATATATGTAAATGAGCTCTGTTCCCATTGGCTGCTTTGTATTGTGCCTCATTCAGAAAGCAGCCCAGGCTGAAATACTCCATATAACTTCAGCATAAATGGGTGGCGCTAAACTGCTGTAGGCAGAATAGGTGGAACAACAGCACCCAAAAGTACTAGATAATTATTTTGGGTAACATGATGGCAAGTTCAGAGACAGTTTAACTACCAGGTTCTAGATGTTAACTAAGTGTGAGGTACAAACTGCAAAGTGCCGTGTAATTATTTGGGGTCAAATAATGGTTACAAGACAATCCAACTAATTTAGACTGAAATAACGACCAACTGGTTCTAGATATTACGCTGATAAAGGATACAGTGAATTATCTCATAATTATTTGAATTAACAGGGCAGTAAAATAATGGTTCCAAGACAGTCCAACTAAATGACACTGAAATAATGACCAACTGGTTCTAGATATTAAGCTGATAAAGGACACAGTGAATTATCTCATAATTATTTGAATTAACAGGGCAGTAAAATAATGGTTCCAAGACAGTCCAACTAAGTGACACTGAAATAATGACCAACTGGTTCTAGATATTAAGCTGACAAAAGACACAGTACAATATCTAGTGATTATTTGGAGTAATAAGATGGTAAAATAATGGTTCCAAGACAGTCCAACTAAATGACACTGAAATAATGACCAATAGGTTCTAGATATTAAGCCGATAAAGGACACAGCGCAATCTCTCTTAATTCACTGTGGAGCTGGTATCTCTTATACTTCTTCAGTTAAGATCTAGAACCTCCTGGGCATTTCAAAGTTATTTAGTTAGACTGACTTCATCAAGTTTGCACCTCACACTTAGCTGGTTATTACCTAGAACGTAGGGGACTGTAAAAGAAGGTGTTACCAAAATATGCACACTTGGTCAGAGAGAGAAATTTTGACCGTAGGGTTGCCCAGGAAACATGAGCCAACAGAAGACACGACACACCTCAAGAGGAAACATGAAAAATTCCCCCCCCTTGCCCCCCTCCCAGCGTCCCCCTTATCAGACAAACTAGCTAATTATAACCTGCTCACTGCCAGACACCAACTGTACACACACTCACACACCCTGCCAAGTCACTTTTAAAACAGGCGAACACGAAACTAGCCGTGAAACTCGTCACGGTTCTGACTGGCTGTTGAAGGGCCACTCGGGATGGTGGGCATGGCCACTGAGCTGCACATGCTCAGTTGGTGTCCTTGCACTTAGAGGACATGGGCAAAATCCACCAAGTCAAAGCAGAGCCATGTTAACAGCCATTTGAAGAAAAGAAAACCTCATGTAGAACCACTGCTGTCCACTGCTGTGACCAGCAGGGGGCAGCCTCTGTTACAAGCGCTACATTAGCACTCATGCTAATATTTTTTAGCAGCCTGAATTTTTCCTCCAATGCGGTCGACCAAATATCCATTAACTCTTACAGAACCCGAATATCAACGTTAGTCAGAATTGACTCAAGGTTAAGGCACACACTAGGGCAGAGGTCACTAATAGGCAGGCTGCGGTCTGAGTCTGGACCCAGACGCTGTCCTATGCGGACCTGGACCTATAACCGATAAACTATGGAGAATTATTTAACCTCTTATGCTCCAGGGTATATTTTGGTTTGTCCATCTGAATTTACATGACCAAATCGTAAGACAAATTATTCAGTAACTGTACGAAATAAATGTCATTTTATTTTATTTAATTTTTTTTTTGTAAAAGCTCCCCTCAGATTAACAGAACATGTGTTTTATGATCACACATATTGCTACATTCTGACAATTTACCGCTGAAAGCCAAAAATCTTAGACACTCTTTGTATTATTTTATAAAAATAATGTTTACAGAGCAGATCACTGCAGAGACGCCATCTGTTTATAGTTTATAGCTCAGATTTGTGGAAAAATGGGTCGACTTTCAGTGGAAAAAAACATTGTGAGTTCAGCTTCTTTTATTATAAGGGTTTAAAATTACATCACCCATCTATTAGACTGCAAAGAAGACAGTTACAGCTCTCATACAACCCCCACCTTTTAAATGTAGCTTATGAAACATGAAAGTTATGAAGAATATGACGAAGTGTGTTTTGGAACCACTGGTGGTGCCAAGGAGCGTAAGAGGCTACTTTCGACAGGGTGGTCCTATTTTAATCGGCGTGGTTTTTCTCGCCTTTATGGTAGCTTTAGCGGCCGTAAACTCACAGACCAATCGCACGCGTTGTAAATATCACACATGACGCTACTCAGCCAATCAGATCTGTGCATTACGATGAGCACTGAGACTGGAGTGAGTGACACACAAACAGGGGAGGGACGAGGTGAGAAACAGCAGTCAGAGAAGAAAGTGAGCCACATTATTTTACATGGCGCGCTGTAAAAAGAGAAAACTGACCATAAATGTTGTTGAAATATGACTGAATTGGACTGTATTTGATTTGACATTCAGTTGTTGACTGTATAATATGCTTATATACCTACTAGGCTACTTCAGTAAGCAGTATATGGCACTGAATCATAATGTAGGTTAGACATTATGATGTTCTGGACCTTTGCTTGAGGAAATTTTCTCTAACTGGACCGTATTCAATTTTTATTAAATACCCCTGGACTAGAGCAACATGACACTGTGTTACTGTTATCATGACTTCTGAACATTGTGCAACTACATGTATCATAAAAAATTCAAGAGTGGTTTTGAGAGCACAACAGTCTCCCACAATGCACTTGTACAATCTAGTGAACACCACTGTAGATCAGCTGAACATACACCAATGTACATCGTGAGTGTCTGGTTACTAAGCGATGTATGGTGGACGCTGAGCCATTAAAAATCAGACTCTCAACTCTCAGTACAATTATCATACAGCAAAAACAATAACTGGTAACTGCAGGTTACAGTCATGGACGAACTATTACAGTCATAAACGTTTGGACACTGATAGTCAAATGACGTTTTGTTGATTTTCTAAGTGATATATTAACAAATCCTCCACAGAGAACATATTTTAATACACAAATACTGTTTATTTGCCAAATTTAACATTTAACTCTTAAAGCTCTTCACAGTCATGGGCCATATTTACGCTGATTAATCGGTAATTAGTCGATTAATTCTCATCAAATACCAAATTCTTTTCCAGGCCGAACTGTAATGTAATATTTAAGCCGTATCACCCACCCTTAACACACTCACACACATATGGAGGGGTTTATTAATAACTTGTAGAGGCATGTGCAGATGACACTGACAGCGTCACACGAGGTGGGGTGGGAGAGGGGGCTGCACTTCAGCAGGACAGGTGCCAGCGTCCCAGCAAAGGGTCATTTCGCAACGCAGAGAGCGCCGAGAGTTTGGGAACATTCTGTGGGACGTTATGGTGACCGGAGAGCGAGGCCTTCACCTGGACGCCCTCACCTCCCTTAAATCTGAGGAAAGCAGGTCTGTGCTGTTACTCTTTTTCTATTTAGACAGTCTTACTGGGTTTAACACGTTTCACAAATGCAGTTATGAAGCTTTTTCTTCTTGCTGTGAGGCTAGAAGTTAGTCCGTTAGGCTTACGTAGGTCTATATGCATGTGAACATATGGAGATGGGTGGTCTTAATGTCTTATTGGTTGGCCGGTCGCTTCATGAAATGTGAGCTGACGTCATAAAAGATTGCGATTAACAATTTAACTGTTTTGTTGTTCGTCGTATGCAGCTGCTAAAGTGCTGAAGTGGCCAAATCAGCTGATTAGCATTGTTGCTTCCTAGCATACTTACTTAGCAGCTAACACTGGTTTCTCTGTCTAAATGCACCACATGGCTGTCTACAGTTACACAGAATCATGTGCAGAGTCGAAAAAAGAGTGAAAATAAAAGCAAAAAGAAAATATTCTGCTAGCATCCATGCTAAAACGTTAGCCACACAGCTAACACGTAAACAAATGCTACTCAGCACTGCCCTAGAGCACTAAGTCAGAAGTTACAGCATTGCTGGCGTCATGAGCCGCAAGATGTGTCTCAATAACTGCATTTACTGCTCTCTTTGTGCCTTTATTGCCTCTAACCAGCACAGCAAGCTAATAGTTTGCTTCCTGAAGCATAATAGAGCTGATTTCAGATGGCGTAATTGTGAAATCTGACCCGACTGTGTAATTGGGATAGGCCTAGTGCAGATTGTGTGTGTTGAGACACTTTAAATAATGCATTTTCCATGCATTACTGTAGCAATAAACAGCATTTCGGAAACAACCTGATCAGTCTAACTCATTTGAATTCATGCACGCTGCCCAACCAAGGCTCGGGGGCACCTTGCTTACTTTTGGCCGGTGAATTTTATCGCTGTTCTTTTCGATTACAAATACCGGCTAAAGGTTTGTTAGCAGAAAGCAGCTCTGTGTTCTGTGTAAATAACGACTTGACGGTTTTTCTTTTTAGAATTATTGTTAAACGCACAAACTGAAGCTCTTTAAGCTCAAAGGTGGTTAAACAGCTTTAAACAGAAAGGTCTGAGTGCTGAAGACTGCTGACATCACAACAAGGGGCTAAAATGGGTGGGGTTTGGCTTTATCTATTCACAAGGCAGCACTGTCGCTTTAATATGTTCCATTATCAAACCAACAAAAACACCAACAAAACATGTTTATTTGTATTCGTTTGAAAGGCTGGGTACCCCACAATACATTCAGTGTATCTATACACACAGACTATCTGTCTATCTATCTATCTATCTATCTATATATATATATATATATATATATATATATATATATATATACACACACACACACACACACACATATATAATGACTTGGAGAACATTCTGGATACATTGACTTTCATTAAAACTAAAGTTTGTTTTGTCCTTCTACTGTACAGTTGTAGTTCTCATTTTGGAGACATGAGGTTTTGTTCCGACAGCAGTGATTTATATATATATATATATATATATATATATATATATATATATATATACACTAGATTATTAAAAGTGTGTATTGAAATAATATCAATTTGACCCTGAATCAGTTTAAAATAAAGCTAAAACATTAGCTGAAAGGCTAACACGCGGTAGAGGCAGACAACAGGGCGGCGTGTTGTCACTACTGTGCTAAATTGCATCTCGATACCCTTTCATGATTGTGGGTATCACCAGAGCTTCTAGAGCACTGCTTGATTCTAGAATGCAGCTGTATTCTAGAACCGAACAACTCGATGCATCATAAAAAAATAACTGCGTAAAGTCGGACTCGGTCGCACAAAACATCTTAAGTATTCAGGTTAAATCCTTAAAGGATTCACCAAAAAGTTATTAAATCTGAAACAATACACTGTAATTATTAATTTATTTATCAGAGATGTAACAATTCAACATCGTATCGTCCTGAACCGTGACTGGAATGTTAGCTTGCGGGCAGTGGGTTAGATCGGGATGCTGTAAAGCGGCTTTTGTGTCAAATACCGTACTTTTATAACGTAATATGGCAAACTCAAAACTGAAATATCAACATATGAACATTTTCTGGCAATCCTTATTTTCGCTTTGTCAAAAATATCTTGAATCGATCGATATCGTATTGATTCTAATGATGAACTGTGTAAATCCTTACACCCCTATTATTTACAGTCATTTTTTATTTTATTAGGAACCTGAGATTTGATCATGCGAGACATCCTGCATGTTAACTTTAGCGCAACTTCATTCTTGATGTTCTAGGTCATTTGGGAACCCTCTACAGCTCTGTTAATCACTCCAACATCTGTCCCTCATTCACAGCTCTGAGCTTCATTAGCTCAAATCTGTGAAGGGAGCAGCATCATAACAGACTGAGCCACCTGCTACATTGTTTATAGGCTCTCTGGCTCCCCCTGGTGGCCACATTGCCTTAACGGCAATAGCTCTGTCTCAGTGTGTGCTGTTCAAGGCGTGTAAACAGTGTGGGGCTCCATTGGCCGTAACAGTGGAAACGCGTTTACAGTGACACTGCGGAGACACACGCAGCCTGTTAATCCATATTAAACAGGAGGCTAATCCAGATTACAAACAATCCCCCACTTCCAGGAGTCCTACAGCAGCAGCACAGAGGCCCTGATCACAGCCTGCAACACGTCTGATACAGTAACATCGTCTGATCCAACTGGAGAGATGTCAGACAGCGCTGATGACCTCATCGACGAGTGGGGAAGTGATGTCATAGTCGCCACAATGCTGGGAGAACAGGGAGCTGTGATGTCAGCAGCCTTAATGAATGAGTCCACCATATATACACTATAATAAATTAGTCTTCAAGGGTTCTTTAGTAAAGGCAATGGTTCTATATAGAACCATGAACACTCAAAGAACCGACATACAACAATGAGTCCTTTATAGAGGTAAAAGGTTCTATATAGAACCATGAACACTCACAGAACCAACATAGAACAATGAGTCCTATATGTAGGTATTTTAAAAAGGTTCTACATTGAACCATGAACACTCAAAGAACCGACATAGAACAATGAGTCCTATATAGGGGTATTTTAAAATGGTTCTATATAGAACCATGATAACTCAAAGAACTGACATAGAACAATGAGTCCTTTATAGAGGTATTTTAAAAAGGTTCTACATAGAACCATGAACACTCAAACAACCAACACAGAGAAATGAGTTCTATATAGAGTTCCATATAGAGTTCTACACAGAACCATTTAATGCTTAAAAGGTTCTTTGCCTGGTAGTTACAAGTTTGATGTTGTAAATAATAGCAGAACACTTTACAGTGCTACATAGAACCTTTCTGAAAATAGCTCTGTATAGAACCATGAACACTCAAAGAACCAACATAGAACCATGACTTCTATATAGAGTTCTATGTCAAGTTCTAAACAGAACCATGAACACTCAAAGAACCAACGTAGAACCATGACCTCTTTATAAAGTTCTATGTAGAGTTCTATATGGAACCATTTCATGCTCAAACAGCTCTTTGCATGGTGGTTACAAGTTTGACCTCATAAACAATAGCAGAACCCTTTTTGGTGCTATACAGAACTGTTTTCAAAAAGGTTCTATATAGAACCATGCACAACACATTCTCCGTCAGTGACCAAGCGAAGAACCGTTGAAGCATGAAACTGTTCTATACAGAACTCATGGTTCTATACAGAACCACTGCATCACCCAAAGAACCCTTGAAGAACCATCTTTTTAGTGTGTATATTATAAACTGTGTATTTCATTCAGTGGCTGTTTCAGAATATCTCAGGAAGCCCCCCAGAGACCCCCATCCGACCCCACTCTGAGTAAACAGGGGGGTTTAAGGTGTATTTTGCGTATGAAGCTCTGCTCGTTTGCGGTTATTGTGCAATCTTGCGGGTCAAAGCTGGACTGACAAGCAGAGCAGCCTGAACCTCCTTCACTGCCTCAGTGAGCCGCTGTCAGCGTTATTACACCTTTAATAAATCACTGTCCTCCCTGCCCATTACAGGAGCGCGCGCGCCTATAATGATCACCAATCACTAATTACTAATACGGCGCGCGCTCAGGCTGCGCGCTGTGCGGAGTTATTAGAGCCTCTTACCTCGTAGTGCTTCATTTCTGCTGCAGTTTCAAACTCTTTGTCGTTCCAAGATGTCGTCTGACAGGTCCAAGGTCCAATCAGGGCGCTCGGAAGACACCCCGCCGGCCAATGAGCGCCCAGGATGTTGGCACGCGCTGGACACGCCCAGTTTGTCCTGCTAGCCAATCGGAGGCCGAGTGGATACAATGAAGTGATTTGTAATTGGGAGAATAAACGAGACGGCTGAGAGAGAGAGAGAGAGAGAGAGAGAGAGAGAGAGAGAGACAGAGAGAGAGAGAGAGAGAGAGAGAGATCTACTGAACCTGCTGAGAGTCCAAAAGTCACCAGGAGCTGGAAACACTTCATCACTGTTTATTGAATATAAATATATAATATTTACTCAACTGCTACTGATTGTTCCATTTAAAACTGGAAAATAATGTCAGTATATGATCCCATATTTGATATATACCATCATATGCAAAAGTTTGGGCACCCCTGGTCAAGTTATGTGCTCTGTTGATTTTCTAAGTCAAAATAAGTGAATTCATCCTCTCCTGAAATGTGACATTTTTGTGCCAGATTCAGTGCATATTTGCATTACATTTATATTATTTATGTTTATTTGCGCCCTCCGCCCAATGACAGCTGGGATAGGCTCCAGCACCCCACCGCAGCCCAGAAGGATAAGCGGTTTAGACAATGTATGTATGTATGTATGTATGTATATTTATTTGCTGAGTTCCACATATGGGGGGAAAATAGAGAGTGTGCCATTACTTTTTCACAGGCCACATTTTGCATTTTATTTATTTATTTCTTCCCCACTATGGGGAAAACTCAGCAACTGAACAGTGATTGTGCATTAAAATGTGCAGTAGTGTGTCCTCTGTGGAGCAGGGGTGTCTAACTCAACCACTAAAAGGGCCATATTAAAAAATCTCAGCCAATCGGTGGGCCAGCTGTGTTTTATTCTTACCTAACATTTTGCCAGGACCCGAACTGGCCATTGTTTATTCAAAACATGCCAAAATTGCAACAGCAAAATAGACATTAAATACTTATCCAAAAATAATTCTAAATAAAAATCAATTGTTTTAGGTAGTTTTTTTAAATTGCCTATTTGCTTGACTAGATACCGGGCATCTTTTCGTTTTGTGTAACCGTTCGTCCACGGATTGTTGTTGGGGATCAGAACGCACACTATGTTGCAGTGCATGCCGGGGACTGTCGTGCATCTCAGTTTGAAACGGGCTAATAATAACAGAGAATTAAAATAATGTTGTGGCCCAAATAGGACCGTGTTACCGGCCTGACTTGGCCTGCTGGCCATGGGCTGTAGAGGATGTGTTCACTTTTTCATTCACACTCAGAAAAACAGCAAAAACACTGACCAGTGGCGCCCAAACTTATGAGTACGATAGTCAGACAAGAAGACGATACAGTAACAGAAAAGGTGAAACATACTTTCCTGCGTCCAACACGCTCAAATGAAATGCCCCTATTAGAAAGATCTATAGCCCATTTGCCAAGCATGAGGCCCGTGGGCCAGATCAGCAGATCATATATATATCTACAGTAGTGCTGTAGCTGTAAGACATGTAGTGCTGTATAATACTCATCATCATCTGTTATGTTTCCACCTCTATATAATATTTCTGTAGTGCTGCCTTATAGAAGCCTATGATACCAGTGTAGTGTCCTGTACAGGGACAGATGATGGGCTGTGGGCCCAGAGGTGTCTGGACACTCCAAGGGCAGCACATAAAAAAGTCTGAAAATGATTTAGCTTGATTAATGTGTGTTATTGTGTTGTGTCTATATGTGCTCTTTTATGTATGATCTGAAGATTTTGTGTAAGACTTTGAACCTTTTCCCTTCCAGCCAAACCAAGCTGTAGTGAAAAAACCCTACACACATTGAAGATTTAACTCTAACACACCCTCACACGCTAGTCTAAGACATCCCATTTGAGGGGCAACAACAAGTCCCGTGAGTCAATAATAATATAAACCCTGAACGGTTTAGACTGGGGCAGTTAGCCTGGGGCAGTATGACTGATCTGGCACTTCATATGCGCCTGTCTGAAGGTTAAGAGTTACATTAGTGTTGTGATTTTTTCTAAAAGACAGTGAAAAGCCAGTCCAACAGCAGTAGAGTTTAGAGACACTTCATTGACTTAGTTACGCTACTTAATAAGGAATCATGTCCTCTGAAAGTCAATCCTACTCAGAGACACGTGAATCACATTAGCAGCGCTGGACCTCCTGCCATGGAGAAAACTGGTGCATCTGTGAGGAGAAGCTGGTGAGGGTGTCGGACCCCGCAGCTCCAGACTGACCTGACCGATGTCTCTTTCCTGTATCTGTTGCCGCGGAGATGCTGGGCTTGCGTGCACCGCTTTTTCCCGCCATGCCTCCTGGGTAGTGAAATATCACTGAGGCGGAGCAGAGACCCTCCAGCGCAGCTGAGGCAGAAAACAGCAACAGACAGAAGAGCAATAAGAATTTTTGAGTTATTTTGCAAAGTTTTTGAGAAGCAAAAGTTTGGGCACCCCCAGTCAAATGACGTGGACAAGAGGACATTTCTTCAGCTATGCTACTTATTTAGTCATTTGTACACATTTAATGGCTATACATTTATTGGATGTTTACATCTGTGGTGGACTATCCACTATATTTGAGTATTTGAGCCAGCACAAGCCCCCCAAAGCCCCTGTCAGTCAGATGCCAAGACCATCCTTGGTCCTGTAGTAAACTACAGCAGTTTATAATAATCTACAATATATTCTCTTCTGTATACTATTCTTGTAGTGCTGTCTTATAGTAATCTATAGTACAGTGTGTATGCATGTGGGTGATTCCACATTCAGGGGGCTATTTTTCCCAGCCAACTGTAAATACTTGTGAAACATAGTAATAAAAATGCATTTATGTGTGAATCCACTGAACATTTCAGCCTCTTTCTTTAATAATAATCCATTACAGGTTATGAACAATGTACATTTCAGTGTCCAACAGCTTCCACTCCGTCCTGCTACCTGAACACATTCAGCCCTCTGAAATATCTGGACTAGTCCACAAGTCACATGTTAAATCGGTCGTTACATCATCAATTTTCCTGAAGTTCACAGGAAGATGAAAGGTTCTGACATCCTTTTGTCTTCATTTTCAGTGATATTGGGATTTTGACTGACCAGGTCACTTTGAAAGGGAACTATTAATTAAAAAACACATTTTAATTACATCATTAGAAGGTCCCAATTGTTCTCATGCCGTTAGCGTGGATGCTAGGTAACCACACGTGTATTTGATCATTCAAGTCGCTGTAAAGAAACCGTTTTTTTCCAATCTATGCTTGTTATCACATTTTTAATGGTTAAATGCATGTTATCTTAGATTCAATGTTTAAAAATGACGGTTCATTTTTAAGAGTTATACTAAATGGCACCATAATTGTGGATCCATCCACGTACAGTATGTCTGAATATGTTTCTCTGTTCATGTTGGATGAGAATCAAATTCCTGTGGCTTTGTAAATCTGAATAAAGAGCATCTGTTTCCAGTTCTGACTGGGCCTCCAACAAGCTTTTATGTTCCTAGAACTGGTTTATATACAATGGTAAGGTGGAGTGGATTAAAGAGGAATTCAGAATTTTCCAGATTTCTTAAAAATTCATTGGTTCAGATGTAAACAGAGTCATTTAGAGTGGTTTGATGTGAAATGGTTCGCTGTAGAGAACTGTACTGACTCTTTACTGATGTCTTTACAGTGGTGGTGATAGGAACCAGGGGTCGCCATGACTACAACACAAATATAGACGTTTTATTTACTATCCAGAACCACCAGTGAACCTACAGGAGTCTTCTGAGATTTTATATGTAATGCTGATGATGATAAAATATTGATAAATCAGATGAAATACGTTTTGCCTGTGTATGCTTTCACTACGAATGAATAATAATAATAATAATAATAATAATAATAATATACTTTAAGCCAAAACTTGTTTAATAATACTAGTCATAATATAATAGTACAGTGTTTCAGGCATCAGGCAGCATATTCATAACTAGGTCATGTAGTGACTTTCCGTGAGGGAGCTCATTAAACTCTGAAGACGTCTGGTTCCTATCAACACCACTGTAAACTATTAGTCGGTAAGTTTCTCTATATCAGAGCACTTCACACTAAACCACTCTGAGCGACTTTAACCATTTATCTTAACCATTTAATTATGCATTTTAACAAAAATGATTTGAGTTTCCCTTTAAGTGTGTGCAATAATACTAATATTGGTGAATTAAGCAGGGTTTTAAGTTACCAGGCTATTACTGCAGTACTAAGCATGTATAATACAACACTGATGTGAAACTGAAAGTAGCCCACTGTCCCTCTTTACTCAAAACCTGAGTCATTCTGGAAGTCAAGAGAGTCACTCTGTACTGAACGGGGACTTTTACAGACATCTTTCATTTTCTTCTTCTCCTATTCGCTAGGCCAAATATGATAATAGTTTAAGAAGATTTTAAATTATATGTGGTAAATATGCACTAAAACGTCTGTGGTAAGGTGCTAATAAGAATATAATGGTATAAAACTTAGGCTATTACAATATTATGGTGTGCACACCTAATGGCCACTTTATTGGAAACCCCTTCCTTGTAGCTCCACCTTGTTGGTCAGTTTCTGTTGGCTGGATATTTTTGGGTGGTGGTCCCTTCTCAACCTAACAGCGACACTGACATGTGTAAAATCCCCTACAACTTCAGCACCACACACGCTACCATGTCAGTGTCACTTCTGTGACGAGAACGGACCACCACCAAAATAATATCTGGATGACAGCCATGTGGTCAGAAACTGACCAAAGGTAAATGGGGTGGAAGAATTCTGCAGCAATAGATGTACTTCCCCAGCAAGTAAGCTAGCACTGGTCCTATAAAGGCCCATTCGGGGCTTGATGCCCCCCATAGGCCTTTTACATTGGTCGATCCTCATGGATTTCTCAGTTAGCCGGATAACTTACGCTCGAAAGAGGAGGACTGTCCAATAGAAATGTCCCTCGGCTCTTTTCCTGTTGGACAGGCTTGACTTTGGACTTAAGTTATCTGGATAAACTGAGAAATCTTGCTTTGAAATAGGCTAGAGAGCACCGCTCTACAGTGAACCACTTCACATCAAACCACTCTGAATGGCTTTGTTTACATCTCTACCACTGAGGGGAGTAATCCAGGTCCAAAGAGTAAAAACCCTCCCCAGGATGTTGTTCCAACTGCTTGACTTCTCTAATTTGCTCAAACCAGCAGTAAAGGTGTTCAGGAAGCTGGAACAAAATCCTGGGGAGGGTTTTTACTTTTTGGACCTGGATTACCCACCTGTACTATTGGGTGAGACAAATGGTCTGAGGCATATAAATGAAGAGACATCGACCTTGAGATAAGTCAAGTCAAGTCAGCTTTATTGTCAATACTACATTATGTACAGGACATACAGAGCACTGAAACCTAAGTGTAGAAAAACAGAAAAAAAAATAAAATTATAATATAAATATAAGAAGGTCCCTGAAATTAACAGTAAAGTGATATATAAGTGAAATAATTCTTCACCAAACGTCTTTATTACTTTAATTAAAGTAAATTAAACTAAATTTACCCCGAAAATCAACAGTTGCTAACAGTAGCGTTGCTGAAGTGGCCCAGTTTGAAACTGAAAACATGCCAGGCCACGTTGTTCCCATGGTTACGGCTGTTTTTTTGCTCTTGGGCGACGCTCATTGGCTCTCGCCTCTGTTGCGTAGCGCGTTTGACATGCCGTGACTTCAATTCGGTCCAATCAGAGAGCGAGGATCGTTCTGAGGGGCGGGGCGTCCGCCAGCGCAGTCTACGGTGGAAGCGCTGAGAAAGCGCCGGAGAGCCGGAGAACTTTCTCGAACTTTCTGCGACGGTTGAAAAGCGCGGAGCAGCGCGGCGCTCTCAGTCACAAACACGGAGAGAGGAAAGGGGCGGTCAGGAGAAAACAAGAGATATTCCGCTGAAAACAAGCCAGTTTGGGATAGAGACAGTTGAAAGTGAGCAGAACAGTCGACTTGTGACAGTTTTGGACGCTCAGCGCGGTTAAATTCTGCCTAATTTTCGGTTTAACTAGCTGTAACGTAGCAGCGACTAAGAAGTTTCCGTAGATGGTGAAGATGGGGAAGGACTACTACGGCGTTCTGGGCATCAGCAAGGGCGCGTCCGAAGACGAGATCAAGAAAGCGTACCGCAAACAGGCTCTGAAATACCACCCGGACAAAAACAAGTCTCCGGGAGCCGAGGATAAGTTCAAGGAGATCGCCGAGGCTTACGATGTCCTGAGCGACCCGAAGAAGAAGGACATTTACGACAGATTTGGAGAAGATGGTGAGTGACGTGTCGTTTACGTTAAATGCGTTGTGTTCCAGCGCAAGAGTTACAAACGTAGCGTTAAACTCTGTCCTCTAAATAGGTTTTCTTTCTCTTAGAGTCCTAAAATGCTGCATAATACTTAAGTAATATCCATACTAGTTTCATTTTTGTACAATATTGACGCAGTACTGTATTGTATTAATCTAAAATAGTGTCAGTAGCACTGTCCAGAGTTGCTTTAGGAGTCCTACGCAGATTCCCGTAGAGCTGTTGTCGGTTTAGTTAGATCTTCCCAAAACGGTTTTATTCGATTATCGAGGCTGTTGACAGGTCGGACTGCGGGTAGAATAGGCTGGTTCATGAAGGCTCATGTCTGTGCTGAGGCTCTGTAGGCGTTCCTGGTGATATTGCTGTGTGCTGAGTCTTATCTGAGCTCCAGTTTAAACTCGTTGAAAGTCCTCCAGCAACTCCACACCCAGCTAATCCAGTCCGAGAGCTGGAAATAACTGGCAGGTCCAGACTGGCAGCCCTGTATGTGTATGTATTTTGACCTAATTTAAAAATACCTATTGCCCTTTACATTGTGTGTACATTTCATGATAAACGGGCCAAAAGAAATGGCTTTAAACTTACTTGGAAAACACTCTGGTTCCATTGACTTACATTAAAAGTAAAGTAGGTTTTTTCCTTCTCCTGTAAAGTTACCATTTTGGAGATACAAGGTTTTGTTCTGACAACAGTGATATAAATATAAGTAGTAGGTCTTCGGCTGTTTCCGCGTGCTGTGCATTCTGTGAAGTTGTTCTGGCGCGTGCTGGAAGCTTCTGACAAACAGGGCGGAGAGCTGAGACCTGTCAGCACTTCTATTAATGGAGCACGTGTTTAATGCTCTGAGAGGACCAGACAATCAGGAAGAGGGAAAAAAGATCTACTTGTTGGACCGGCATCCTCCACTCGCTCGTTAGACAAGAAAGGAAAAAAATGTGGAATTTTGAAGAAAGAAACAACAAGCTGAATCACTGCACACCGCATTTGAAAAGCTAGATCACTAGATAGTCACTGTGTAGTCGATTTCGGACACTAACGTTATATGGGTTTGCTCATTACTTACAAACCATCTAGTGCATTATAAATATCCCCTGTACACTGTTTGCTCTGGTGCACTCTGGGATTGTTTGAGTGCACTGAATACTCTACACCGGTGGTGTCCAGTCTTATCCGCAGAGGGCCGGAGTGACTGCAGGTTTTCACTCCAACAAAGCAGGAGGTCACCTGATGAAGTGTTTGAAGACTGAGACCAACTGATTAAGTACGATCAGATGTGCTTCAGCGGTTTGGAGTTGGAAAAAACCTGGCCACACCGGCCCTTGGGACAGATTGGAACCCTGGCTCTACACTATAGGTGCTTTTCAATCACCCCCGTAGTTCCCTGCAAAGTGTACAGCACGGGGTATTCAGACGTTTTAAGGGTGATCTGCTGGAAGGGAACTAAAAACTGCACAGGAAGCAGTGAACCACAGTTTATCACTTCACAGGAAGCTGCAGAAAAGTTTACCCGTCAGTCACTGCAGGTCTCGTGAAGGTTGAGTGTGTGGTTGTGTGTGCTCTGTGGGGTGTGTGCGCACACATAATATAACACTGTTGTGGGTGAACAAAACCCTTGTATTACCAAACTGGAACTTACAGGAGAAGGAAAAAACATAGGGTACTTAATGTGAGTCAATGGAACCGACTTTTTTCCAAATCATTTGGGCCGTTTCTTTTGTCATTCATCATGAACTCACCAATAATGTCATAGGCTAATCGGCTTGTCACAACGGCAATTTGATTAGCACATGATCAGTCACGAATGTCCTCCATCAAGCGCTCCCTTGGGACAGTCAAAGCGCCAGAAAGTGTAATTGACAAAACCACCCAACAAGAAGAAAAGTGCACGCATCACAGAAAAGGTGATTCAGAAGCCCGCGTATGAACTTGAGGATAGGAAGGGTGTGTTTATTACATACAGGAGATCGTTCGATTCGAGCAGGAACTACTATTACTGAGGCGCTCTGAGTCAGTCAATTACTATAGGGTAAGTAGCTCGTAATTATAAACGTATAGACATGGCCGATTTGTACTGGATAAAATGCAGATCTCGCTGGTAAATCACACAGTTTAAAGCCACAAACCAGGTAAAGATAATCAATCTGCATAGGGCATCAGTTGCTTGTCGAGAGAACCGGGATGCTGATTACATGATAATTGGGTCCTGTTTGACTGGTTAGGTGAGGACAGTATTAAATACGCTAATGTGTGTTTTAAGGATGATGAGTGCAAGTTGAAACAAGCACATATATATATAATATCATAATGTCAAAGGCGTCATTTGGGGAACCTGTTTTCCTGGCACCCAGTGCATGAGAATCATAGTATTATCTCGCCCATATCAGCCATTAGAGGAAAGTGTAGCTACCAGGCTTAGTAAGCTGGTCACAGCATTCTCACTGTAGACCAAAAAATTGTGTATCCAAGAGAAAAAATGTGGCGAAAGTTGTAGAAAAGGCCCATCTATCTGTGTCCAGGGCTACCCAGCCGATTGAAGACAACAAACTTTACTCGCTTGCAGGGCGACAAGTTGGTTCTGTGGCCCAAACATGGCCCTAGTGGTCACCACACATTCCAGGGTGACCCTCATAGACAGTTCTGAGTTTTCGCGGCTTAAACCTCTAGCACTTCTTTCTTTATTCTATTCTTCTTCTCTCTTCTCTTCTCTAACCATCTTCTCATTGTCTTTTAGTCATTTTATTCCGCTTCCCCCTTCTTCGCTTCTTCCCCTCTTGATATTATCCTAATCCAATACCTCTTTTTACCATTTCCTTATTCTCTTTCTTAATTGT